TTTGTGTATTGTTGTTTTTCTCAATATACAAGTGTCAGATCTCATAAAACAAAAATGATATCTGTTTTCAATGAAATTTCCAGGATATGTAGTTCACAAAAGTTAATATCTGTCATTATGGCTTTACAAAACCCCTTTATCTCCACTAATATCCAGGGGTAAATTCAGCTGAGAACAAAATATGATATAGGATGGGTCAGGAGACTTACATGTACCTAATTTGTCCCCAACTCTTCTTTCAACATCTTTTCAGTGCCTCACTTTGACCATTGGCTAGAATTACAAGGCAGCATCCATTTTTCAGTAGAGAACACTGTTCCAGTCTGGAGAGATTATAAACCCACAAATGCTCATTAACTCTGACTCCATGGTATCAGTAGGAACCAAGTTCCAAGACAGGGCTAAAACCAAAATACACAATCCTGTGAACTGAATATTGAAGGTCTGCTTTCTCTTGGGACATTACTCAGGACTCATTTCTCCCTTTGGAAGAGATGAACAATGTACTAGCAATAATAATTAGTATTTAATAAATAATTATTGTGTCACACTATGTGTAAGTAATTTTAAATCATGTTTATCCTCACAACTATTCTATAAGGCTACATCCTCACTTTCTCCCCATTTTGAAACTAGGTTTAAAAGGATTAAATGTCTCTTACCAGCATAAAGCAGCTGGTAAGTCCTTAGCAAATGAACCATAGCATCTCAGGTCACTCCTGGGCCTATAGGCCGTCATTATGGGATCACACGGGAGAATGTTAAAAATATTTAGGAAGTGACAACAATAGTTGGATATGAAGACAAAGTGGCATCCCTGAAATCCTGGAAAATATGAGAATCCTAAAGCCAGGGTTATTTTACTTTACTAACATTTATATTACACGATTTGACAGTCACTGTTCTAGGCTACTTTATAAATAACTCTTAATTCTCCTTTAAAATGCTATGTGATGGACTCCCCATTTTACACAGAAGGAAAATGAGAATGACACATGTTACAGAATTTGCTGAAGATTGGAATGTGACAAAATGTGAGTGCCACAAAAAGAGGCCCTGCAATAAAGCAACAGAATCTGACATGATAACTACAAACTCTGTAAGTTCTTCACGCCTTACTTTTTTCTGTCATAGATTCTAACACCTGCTCTTGTGTAATATCTAGGATCATTGTTGAATTCTGTTTATTCCTAAATGTGGAAATAATCACATCCCTGTTTAAAATGACTTACCAAAACTCTTCTGCAGATTATTTTGAACTCGTCTTGCATTAATTCATCACTACCTGAATTAAGGCTCAAACGTGGAATTAGAAAAAAAAATGGACAGTGAAATTGGATGTTGGGTGCAGACACCATGATATTTTATGCCTTTAAATTGCCTTTGGGCCCCTCTAAATTGAAAGAAATACTTTAGAGTAGAACCCCCTAAACTGCTTAGGCAGGATGGCCTCTTTAAGAAGACTTACTTTACTCTCCACCATTAAAAAATGGAGTAGACTTAGAAAGATTTGCCACTTGTTCTGGTTATTTAAAAAAAATACCTGAAACTTAGTGGAATAAGTGACCCCAATCCAGTGCTGTTATTATTATCTCTCCTGGACTTAAAATTTGACTGGGTTCAGATTGGCAGTTCTTGCTTGGGGTCTACACAATTTACAGTCAGTTAGTGGCTGGGTGTGACAGTATCATCACTCACATGGTGAAGTGAACTGTCCCCTGGAGTTTCAGCGTGACCTATCTATGTGTCTTCCATATTGAACAGTTTAAGCCCCTTTATAGTACATCAGCTGTATTCCATGAATATGTGCTTCAAAAGAAAACAGCCAGATGGAAATTTTATTGACCTTTATGAAATGTTCTCAGAAATTATGCCAGTTTATATTCAAGAGCAGCAAAATTAGACTTCAATTTTTATGTGGAGGCATGTCAAAGAACATGGGAATAATTTTTAAACCACCACGCCCAGAAAAACATCCCTTGGAGATTGCATTGTGCTAGTTGAGATCACAATTGAGTGACTCTTAATAGAATGTTACAAATGAGGAATTATGAAGGGAGTGGTGACTACAGTACCTCATATCCGTAGAATAAGTGAGAGTTATACCCTCTCACTTCTCTGCAAAGTCAATAATTGTTCCCTAGCCTCATTTTTTCTGTTACAAAGGGGAAAAAAGCAATAAAAAAAATAACAGTAGTTGTCCTCGTATTACCATCAATAAGTCTTTGGGGGACGGGGAGAAATTGAGACCAGAGAGAGGATATGAATTTCTCAACGTAAAATAGGAATAAAAAAATCAGTTTTTCTCTGGTGGATTAAAAGGATAGAGCTTCTTTCTACTGGGGATTCTTGGAAGCAGAGATGGTAACTCGGCCGGGCACAGTGGCTCATGCCTGTAATCCTAGCTACTCAGGAGCCAGAGATCAGGAAGATCACAGTTTGAAGCCAACCCAGGCAAATAGCTGGTGAAATCTTATCTCAAAAATACCCATCACAAAAAAGGGCTGGTGGAATGGCTCAAGAGATAAGGGCTCCTGCCTAGCAAGCTTCAGGCCCTGAGTTCAAACCCCAGTGCTGAAGGAAGGAAGGAAGGAAGGAGGGAGGGAAGGAGGAGAGACAGAGAGAGAGAGAGAGAGAGAGAGAGAGAGAGAGAGAGAGAGAGAGATGGTAGCTCGCAGGGCAAGACATGGAAGAAAAAAAAAGAAAACATTGATGGTAGGCCCCAGCAATGTGACTGGAACCAAGCTATGGAAGGAGACTTCTTGAGTTGCTGGGTTGCAGGTGCTTAAAAACATTCACAAAGTGATTTCTGATGTTCTGTTTCAGGATGTTTTCAGGTCTAAGCTAGGGTTCCCCTAAATATCTCCTGCTGATAGTCTAAAACCCCTCCCAGCATTAGGTTAGTGGTGAACTGAGAAATGGAATTGATACAGCTGTTTTCATGCACTGGGACAAAGCAGACTGGAGGCACCTAGAGAATCTAAAAGTCCTGCCACACAAAAGTTTGGAAAGAGCTGAGGGGTGCTGGGATTCCTAAAGTGTCAAGTGTGGAGGATTTAAGTAATATGATTGTGAGCAAGATTTTTAACCTTACCAAATTCAGTTTCTTATTTGTACAAAATGAATAACTATGATATTTAATTTATAGGCCTATTGTAAATAATAAATTAGTTCATATATATATATATATAGGGCATATGACACAGAGCAAAAACTTAATAAATCCTGACTTCATTATTAATAATATTTTAAAAGCTTTGGATACCAAAGAAATGGAATCCTTTAAAGATTAGAGTGCTTGAGAACACCCAGATGTTTTAAGTTAACAATTAAATTTTCAAGAACTGAGTTTGCTTGTAATTTTTACAGATAAAGGGATATTATTTTTACAGCCTTTTATAACTGAGCAGTACTCTGTGTGTGTGTGTGTGTGTGTGTGTGTGTGTGTGTGTGTGTGTGTGTGTGTTGCTGTGGATTGAATCCAGGATCTCATGCATGCTAGCCAAGTGCTACTAAGGAGGCTAAGACAGAAGAATTGCAGTTTGAGGGCAGCCTAGGCAAAAGTTAGCAAGACCTTGTCTCAGAAAATGAGACAGAGCCAGGGTGGTTCAGCCCTGTAATTCCAGCTACTAGGGAGGTGGAGATTGGGAGGTTTGTAGTTAGAGGCCAACCCCAGGGGAAGTTAGTGATGCCCCATCAATCAATAAGCCAGGTGTGGTGCATGCTCCTAAGGTTCAGCTATGTGGGAGACTATAATTAGGAAGATAAAGGCCTACCCCTGCAAAAACATAAGACACTGCCTGAAAAATAACAAAACCAAGTAAGGGCTGGGAGTATGGCTCAAGTACTAGAGCACCTGCAAGCATGGGTTCAAACTCAAGTACTGCCCCCCTCCAAAAAAAAAAAAAACAAAAAGAGAAAAAAATAAGCTGGCATGGTGGCACAGGCTATAATACAGCTACAAGGAAGAAGAGAGGCAAATTCTGTAGTGGACCTACAGGTTGCTACAGAACCACAATATTTTCTTTTTCTTCTCTTTTCCTTTTTAAGGTACTGATGATTGAATCCAGGGCCTTCCACTCTTGCACTTGCTAGACAAGCCCTCTATCACTTGACCACTTGAGCCACATCCCTGGTGCTTCTTTTTTTAGTTTTGTTTTTCAGATGAGACCTTACACTAACTTTGCCCATTCCTGCCTCAAACTTCGATCTTCCCATCCAGCTACTAAGGAGGTGGAGATTGGTAGGGTTACAGTTGGAGGCAAACCCTGGTGGATTGCAGATGTGTACACCACCCTTGGCAGGCACTGGTAAGTTCTTTAGTTTCTCTGACAAAAGGCTGACGTGACTGAATGTTTTGCATTTGTTTAATCTCTTCCAAATGTGGTGTTGAACCTGCTATTTATTACCTATCTCTGGAGGGCAGTAAGGTTATCTTAAATGGAAGATAAGGTTTTCTTACAATGGTGTAGAAGACGAAAACTGAACAGGCAAGGAAATTGGTGTCATTTGCTATTCCAATAAAAGGACATCTTGGCAGTTTGGGTTTTGCCCTAGACCTTTATAGGGAGATATAGGTAAGTATTGGGTAGACAGATTTAGAAGCAAGGACTTTTTGTAGGTGGGGGAGCCTCAGTCAGTTGGTTGAAGAGCAAATGTTTATTTCTGAGATGAGACATGGACCCACTAACTCATTGTTTCATGACCTTCTCAGAAGGTAGAAACAAACAAGTGAACCAAAATAAACCAGATTCAGAAAGGCAAATATCTCCTGTTTCTCTCACATGCAGAATATAGACACAAAAGGTGGGGGTAATTTCTTAGCCATTATTGTTTTCTGGGAGCAGAGGGCTCAGGTAAAGCTCAATCTTGTCACAGAGAATCTGGAGACTTTGTTCCATGTCCTGACTTTGCCACTAACTTCCATGAGGACTACAACCTATTACTAAAATGTGAGAAAAAGAAAAATAAATGATTTATTAAATCCATTTTTCACCTCAATGTTCTGTGAGTCTCTAGAGACAGCAGAGGGATCCTGCAAAGCAGGAGATGGCAGGGAAAAACAGGGAGAAAAGCTTAAAGTCACAAAGGTAGGAGGGGGCATCAAAGAAAGGCTATGTCACAGAGAGGTGACTAGGTCAGCAGATACAAATTACACTTGAGGAGGTTTTATGGAGTGAAGAGTCACCAGGGCCTCGACTGGCCTGAGTTGACTCCTAGTGATGCCATATACAACTGGGTCTTGATCAGGACTAGCTTGAAGAGTTATATAAGACTTATTAATCTCCTCATCTCTTCCCTCCCATGCTCCCAGCCTCTCTTGTCAAGGACCTTGGACTCCAGATTGGAACAGTTTACAGTAAACTCTAGCAAGATTACAGACTGCCATGAAGATCTTTCTCATCTTTCCTTTCTTGACTCTAGCTGGTGAGTTTGAGACCTGATTTTTGCCAAAGCTGAGATGTAGGAAAATGAATAATGATTGGAAAGAGAAGTAGCCAGCCACAAATAAGGAGATAGGGAGCTGAGGGCATTGGTTAAAGGAACCAAGAGGAAGAACTCTCACTGTGCAGCACACCCTACCAATGTATTCTGTGAGCTCCTCTGGTGCCTGCGAGCATCTCAGCGTGAGCTCATTGTCAATGCCCTGACTTCTTCAGGGACTCGCGCAGCAGCAGCCCTCAAGTGTGTCATTGCTCCTGCACCGCCATGCTGCCCAGTCCCCAGGCCAATGCCTAGTAGAAGACATGGATGGGTCAAGGAAAGGAGGGTCAGAGACTCTGAAAACCCCAGGCTTTCATATTCGTTCATTACCAAAGTCAGGTTGTATTTGATTTTTTTAGCTCAGTTCTTAGTAAAAGTTCATTTTAAAGGTACAATGTATTTAAAACACTAATTTATTCTATTTATTTTTGTAATACACAGCACTGCCAATTAGAGCATCTGATTCACATTAGATAAGCCCCTGAGTTAGTGTCACACAACTTTAACATAATTCCATCTCAAGCAAAACTGTGCGTCAGTTCCCTTAATGTGTGGGAGTTAAGAGGCATGTGCTATTTCCTCTGATTTTTAAAAATAAAGACCTTGATGTTATTTTTGCAAACTTTTAACTACAAAAAACTCCCCTAGCCAGATTTAGCCTCCTCATTTCTTTGTTTCTCTTCCCACTTGTGACCTTTCAATTCTCCAGGAATTGCTCTGGCAGAAAATTCAGATGAACAGTTGAACTTACCAGATGATTTTACTGTTCCTTACATGGCCTATCTGCAGTCCAGCCCGGAGCCCTGTGTGGGGTCTCTCATTCACCCTGAGTGGGTATTGACCGCAGCTCACTGCCCCTTGCCGTAAGTACCCTTTTGCTTGTAGGATATTAGAGGGATCTATTCCAATGGAAGTGGGTCTGGTGAAGCATCTCAGCAACTTTTAGTGGAATTAGAAAACCTAGGAAGACAGAATCTTCTTCCCAGATATAGAATGGAATACACATTTGGATGATTTAAGTGGATATCAAAGGAAGACATCAGAAGACTTTCATGGAAAGTAAATAATATACATTCATCCACAAACATTTTATTTGAAAAATGTTTGGAAATATTTACTATGTAGCAAGGACTACTTAATGCAATGAGCAAGCAGTGAGGGAATGAGATGGAAGTAAGTTTTCCCTCATAGAGCTGACATTATAGTAGAGGGAATAAGCTAAACAAAACAAGTAAACAAGCAAAAAAAATGGCCAAAAGTAAAGCATGAAAAAGAATAGTAAGCTGTAATGTATAAGAACAGTATACAAAACCATGTCAGATCTCTCTGAAGATATGAAACCAATCAAATGAATAATGCCTAGGGGATATTCCTGGCCCAGAAAGCTTGTTCTCTGCATTAGGAGGAAAAGAGAGGAAATAAACCCAATTTTCATACTCCTGAAAGTGGAGCTGGAAAAACAGATATTCTTTATATCATCCATATCTAACATATGAGCTACTACTTTAGCAGGGAATGGCTCTTTGATATGTTGCATGACTGGACTCCTAGTGACAAAAGCAAGAGGGTCTGCATTTGCCTAGGAAATAGAAGGGAAAATGGTGACTAGGAGTCTAGACAAACCAAACTCTTCTGATTCTAAAATCAATGTAGACTACACATGATAAAAATAATTATATGGGCCTGAGAAGAGCACGGGAAAGCCCAAGAATATCTGGGGACAATGGGTACTAAATATGTGCTTGCTCAACAGCTGCCTGAGAGAGTGTGGAATAGACCAAGAGCTCTTCAGTCATGGGTTGTGATGCCATCTCTGTCACCTTCCAGCTGCGATTATCCAATACTCTACTGAATGTGTTCTGGGTGTTAAACACCATGTTAGGTTTTACAGATGCATGTTTATAACATAATTGTGTAAACTTTTATTTTATAGACAAGGGTAGATTACTTCAGTTTTCAGGTTAGGAAATAAAATTAAGATGATTAGAGAAGGTGACTTCTGACATTTATTGTAGTATGACATTCTGTGACCCTGTTCTTTCTCGTCTCCCTACTTTTTTTTCCCAAAGTACTAAAATTCGACTGGGAGTTTATCAACCCAGCATCAAAGACAAGAAAGAGCAGATACGGAAGTACTCATTGACTGTGCCACACCCTGAATTTAATCCACAATACCTGAATAATAACCTGAGGCTGATAAAACTCTCCAAGGTTGCTGTGCTGAACAACCATGTGGGAACTATAGCCATAGCTATGGAGCCTATGGCATATAATGAATCCTGTTTTATTCCAACCTGGACCTGGAATGAATACAAAAACTGTGAGTGTTTGACTCTGTGTTTCTCATCGTGGGGAGATGTGGGCTGAGAAAGAAGGTGGTGAAATATTCTTGATGGAGCTGTTAGGAGGACTGGCAGAGTGGCTCAAATGGTAGAGCACCTGCCTAGGATGTGTAAGGTCCTAAATTTAAATCCCAGAGCCACAAAAATGAAAGAAAGAGCTATTATGAGGTACTGTTCTTGGTGCTAGAGTGATTACTGCCAAGATTACTCAGGGACTGACTGATGTAGGGCAACTAATCTGACAATAACAAGTGGAACAGGAAGTGATGGTCACATCTCTAGAACATTGGAGATCCAGGTCCAGGGAACTGAATTAAAATACAGGTGGGGGAACAAAGACAGTATGAAGCAGAAGGATGGGATATTCAGGGTTGCTAAAAGCCTGTTATATGCTTCATGGAACAGCAGAGGCATAAAGGAGAGCAAAGCTTATGTGATAAGGTGAGGCAATGGAGAATGTTCCCCACTCCCTGCCATGGAGAACGCAGACCACGCGAAGAGGTATGGAGAACCTTGAGAGATAAGGAGATGGCTGAGGGAAGGAACCATCTGTCCCACCACCAGTGCTGGTTCCCTGCAGTATACTACTTTCATTCCTACTAAGACCTCTGAGAGCTCCCTCCTTATAGATGGAGATGAGGGTGAGTCACAGAGAAGTTAATGATTATGACACACTATAGGTGTCTTTCTGGCCTGAAACACCTCCTAGTAAAAATATCATGGCCCATGTTATAGGCACATATCCTTCTCCTTTGTGGGCCCAAACTAGGATGAGCTGAAAGATCTAATCTGTAGGTACCTATATTCTCAAGGGTGCTTTGTGAAAAAAGTGGTTTTCTAATACACTCCTTGGTCCCTGCTGGCTGTTACTTTGTGTGGTTGATAATAACCAGTGAGCAATAATAATCAGGTGTCTTTAGGTATTACCAAAATCCATTTAATCAGGTTTAAACCCTTCTTCTCGTGGCCACAGAATGATTCATCTGTTCTATAAAAATAAAGTGGGAACTTTAAAAATCAGTATGCTTTGTTAAAACAAATAAGAAGTGGGAATTTTTATATCTCTGTGTCTTGCAACTTCATACCTTAATATAGAAGCAAAGTACCTGGGAATCTAAATATATTTTCTGAATGAATTACAGCTTCTATGTCTTTTGTCTTTGACTTTGCAAATCTTGTTCAAAGTAATTGCATTATATCTTACAGAAGTACTTTTTTATATGCCATTTGAAATTAAGCTAAACTGTACAAAGGTTTTGCATGTCAGAATCATAGTAACAGACTACATCTATAAGATCGTTTATGCAAGGCTTTCAATATTTATTAAGAATTCTTTATTTCAAGTAATTTAAGTTACTTCCACTTGACTTGTTAAACTGATTTTAATTTCCTTTTCATAAAAACTTAAAACTGAACATTATTCTACTCTTTTCTGACCTGATCCTTTCTGGTCTAATCTACCTTGAGGCCTTTTATTGGATACATTGTCAGAAAAATCCTGCTTCCTAGGTACCCTCTGATCAAGTTTTGGTTTTTTCCTTCTTTCTTGCTACTCTCCCCAGAGATTAAGAGATTTAATGCTATGGTTAGAGTCATTCCATTCTGAAGTTGACAGCATAAAATTTCTGTACATGCAATTTCTATGATAGAGATGATGTCTTAGGGGAAATTTGTATGTAGATGGACACATTTACACACATGTCTGAATAATCAATTTATAATCTGTTTACAGTCATGTACCACATAATGGTGTTTCAGTAAATAACTGACAACATAATACAACTGTTCATAAAATTATAGTGGAGCTAAAAAGTTCCTAGTGCCTAGTATTTTACTGTACCTTTTCTGTGTTCATCTGTTTAGACACACTTAAGTACTTGTCATTGTGTCACACTATTCAGTGCAGTCATGTACCATACAGGTTTATACCCTTGGATCAGTAGGCTCTAGCATGTAGCCTAGGTGTGTAGTGGACTATACCACTTAGATTTGTGTAAATGCACTTTACAATATTCATGCAGAAACAAAGTGGCCTAATGTATTTCTCAGAACATAAACCCACTGCTAAGTGACACAGGATTGTACATTTAAACAGCAGCTTATACACACTAAAATATTTTCCCCTTTATGATAAAAAGTAAAGAAGTAAAGTAGATGCCCACAAAAAAAAGGCAAGGTCACAGAAGAACGATGGCTTTGTTACTGTCTCTTTCTCCTCATGACCACTCATAATCTTCACACAGTTGTTTTGAAACATTACAAACTATATCTAGTAGAGAGAGAACTATATATCTGGTAACTAATGGATGGATAACTTATGAATCCCCTTCTCCAACATGGAGATTCCAAACCCGGAGCCCTAAGAAGGATGGAGTGTCTGTTGCTACCTGTGTTAAATATTCTCAGGGGTGAATTTATTTACAAAGTAGGAGCAGAGCACAAGAAGAATGACTCTTGAGTTCATCTGTCTTCTCTTTCCCACAGTTAGTGACCCCGATATCCTGACATGGATAAACCAATATTCTCTTTCCTATAAAGACTGCTGGAACACCTTGCAACAAGAACAGGGAGAAATCGTGAACATCATGTGTCTAGGGAAGCCTCTAAATGTTGTAACTGATGTTAAGGTATCTCTTCCTCTGTCACCCGGGAATATCATAGGGGTTCCATGAGCAAGCAAGGATGATTATGGGGATGACTCTGATTCAAAAGGCTCTTCATAGGGTACCTCAGTTTTTGGTTTGTAATTCATTCCCCTTCCTCCTCTTAGAGTGGGAGGGATCTGGGGTAGGCCATCTGTCCTTTATCCAGATTGCATCAGGTTGGGTCAAATTTGAACAGAGAAGGATGAGAGAGAGGGATGTGAAGAGGGTTGTTGCCTCAAGAAAAATAAGTCTATTCTCTTACACAATTTTTCTAGTGTAATGTGCTACTTCTTGGGATTTACTCTTGTTCCATGAAGACCAACTGACTTCTTGTTCCCTCTTTCTGGCAGGAAGTTCAGCTGCTCCAGCCATCTGTGGTGGGAGACTACATGGAATTTTGTCCTGGTCAAAAGCAGGTGTCACCCTGGGAAATGAAGGGTTCTTCACAGAAGTTCATCCCTATGCAAGATGGATCATGGAAATCATGAATTCCTACTGAGGTGCCTCATGATTTCTACACCAGATCCATCACTCTTATTCTTAAAAAAAAAATACAAAGAGAAAACATCCAATAAAAGACTCCAGAAACTTGTGACTCCTGCTTTCTTTATCAGGTAAACTTTGAAAATAATGAGGAATTTAATAATATCCCCACAAACTCATTCATGCAAAAATTATTGACACCAACTACTTAGTACAAACTGCATTTGGTAGGGGAAATATTTATGAATATAAAATGGCCTTTGCCATTGGTTAGCCAATTCTGATACCTGTGACAATTGCTATAATGAAGATGAGCTATAATGTCTATAAAAAACTAAGTATTCTGGATGGTGGAAATAGGGAAGGAATCACCAAAGAGACAGACAAATTAGGGAAAACAGCTGATTAACAGAAAAGCATATAGCATGCGGCATCTCTTGCAAAATATATGTAAAAAAGGTAACACTTGAAGGTAGAAAATAAGTTTTACAGGAGGACAAAGAATGTTATAAAACATTATTATATGTGTCCTGTAATCATTGGTCCCATCCAAACTTCAGGCCCCCTTTGGCCCCTCTTCTCTCACAGCCTCATCTCCATGACCTGTGAATTTCTGATTCACTCCCAACTGCAACTCTGTACCCTTAATCAACCACAGCTATATTGTTGCCAGGGATTTTTTATAACTGCTCAACTGAGCACTTCTTGTAATGCTAGAATTATGTCTTCAGCACTTAATGATAAAGTCAATTTCCAAGTCAGTTGTATAATTCTCCATAGCAGCCACTTCAGAGCATCTCATCAGACCTCTAGTGCTCTCATTCAGCAAACAGTCTCTGGTTTACAAGTAGGAGGAGAGATTTTCTGGTGCCTCCAACAAACCTAGAACAATTCCTAGGGTTTTTTTTTTCAGTTTATTTTCCTTTATTTCATTTTTTATTAGTATATAATAATTGTACAGGGGGATACATTGTGATATTTACATATGTGCTTACAATGTATCTTAATTAGATTCAAACCCACTTTATTCTCTGCTCCCTTCTTGGAACAATTTCAAGAGGTTTCATGATTTCATTCATACATGAATACAAAATCTGTCATATTCACCCTCCTTCACCCTTTCCTTATGTGGGTACCCTTTCACTGGTACCCACACCTGGACAGGACCTGTTGTACCTTCCTGTCCTTCATTTTTTAAGTGTATGTTGATAGGCCAAGGGGGTTTTGCGTTAGCATTCAGACATGTATAGATTGTGCTTTAATCAGATTCACTACCCAGTACTTTTTCTCTATCGCCCTTTTCCCTATCATTCAATAGCTTATAGTACATTGTGTCATATTATCTTCATATATAGATGGAATGTTTCAATATTTTTCATTAACATTCCCTTTCCATCTCCTGCCAACCTACAATCCCCTCAAGACAAACCTACTAATTAATACAATCTTGTTCTCTCCTATAGATGATAGATAGATATGTAGATATCATGCATCTTATAGATATTTATCTTATAAGTCTAGCTTCTGTATATGAGGGAAAACATGCCATCTTTGTGTTTGTCTTTATTTTTTACTACAGTGAAAAAGGGAATCTATATATTTTATCTCTACCTGAATTATGGATTCCATACCCCCTGACTTCCTCATGGACTTGCTTTATGATTATCTTTACTTTTCTGTAATTTCTCTTTTCTGACTTGAATTTATGTATGCATTTATTATTTTTATTGATACGTTATAGTCATACATATTTAAGGGGTACATTACTATAATTTACATGTATATAATGTATAATAATAAAAGAAAGATAATTAGCACTTCCATCTCAAAAATTTGTCATTTCTATGTGGTGGGTAATTTTGGACACTTCTACTCATTTTGAAATATGTCATAAGTCATTGTCATCCAAGTTATCTGACTGCACTATAGAACACAAGAACTAATTGCTCCTGTGTAATTAGTGCTCCTATGTTTTGGTACCTGTTATCTAACTTATCCCATCCGTTGCTTCTTGTTGCCATTATTAAAGCAAAATAAAGTCTCATCTAAACTACAGAGGTCAAGGACATGCTTCCTAGATCTGCTGTCTGGTTACAGAACTCCTGAATGGTCTGTTCTGTAGGTTTCTTCTCTCTGAGTACCCGTACCTGACTCTCTCACATACTCTGCTCTTTTGAGCTTTCTCCCCATTTTCTTCCTTTGTCTTACTTCTACTCAGCCTTCTAGTCTTAGACACCACTTCCCCAAGGGGGTCTTCTGGGTCTCACATTAGGGCCTCTGTTATATGTTTCTCTGCCTTACTTTATTCCCAGCTTGTGAAATTCATGATGATATTAAGACATTTGTCCCCTCCATTAGACTATAATATGTGTGTTTAGGATCCTCATCTCATCTCTCTTTTCACTAAATCATGAAAACCCAGTAAAGTGAGGAGATGACCCCTTCCAAGCCAGGAAAAGAACCATCACTAGAAATCAAACTTGTCAGTACCTGAATCATGCACTTCTAGCACTAGGATTGTGAGAAAATAAATGTTTTTTATTTAATCCACCCAGACTTTCTTTATTATGGCAGTCCAAGCAGACTAAAACATTTGACCCACATTTAACTTGGGTTGCTTGTTTTCTTATTGTTGAGTTTTTAACAATTCTGCACATATTTTGTACACAAATATTTTAGCAGCTCTGTGTTTTGCAAATATTTTCACCTAGCCTGTAACATACCTCAATTTTTAGCTCTGAATATTTTTTGTTATAACTGCTTAGGTATCTATCATTCCCACTAGCTTATAAGTACTTCAGTGCTTAATGGGGATTTTAAACTTAGGCATTCCCCCAGCAGCAAGCACAGATCCTGGCATAAGTGGACAACATATAATATTTGTATCTCATACATTATTGGCTAGTTAGTTGAATGAACGGTCATATGAAGAAAAGGAATAAGTATTTCAAAGAGGCATATAATGTCAGGAAGAGGGAGCAATGTCAGGGCCAGAGGGCTAAGCATGTCCACTGGAGATAAACATCAGTGTCACACAAATGGGGTTGGTGTCATAGAGACAGGAGGGGTCAGTGTCCTGCATATAACTCAGAGAACTACTTGCCTGCACATGCCAGAGTAGAGGAGTCTGTGGAGCCACTGCGAACTTCTCTCAGGTAACTTCTCCCCAGAAAGTGAAGATCGTACTCTGGGTTCCAACACCAGGGACCAAGTCACTGACCAGGACTGCAATTCCTTTCCCTCTGACACCCAACACCACCCCCACTCTGATCAACTGAATCTGGACATTGCATTAATTCATAGGGCACTTTTTTTCAAACCAAGAGCTCTCTCTTGCTTTATCATATTTAGTCCTTTTCTCATCCTTCTTTGATACCTTTCAGACACCATGAGTGACATCTTATCCCGTGAAAAGGCTTTCAACATTATCATAAAATTAATCCTCCTCTGGGCTCTCTTAAACCTACCTGGTGAGTATTTGTACATTTGTCTATTTATTTACCAAAGGGAGATCCTGGGAAAACTTATAAAAGGTAGACATGACATTCCAGATGTCAAATGTAAGACTTATTCTATATCACCATTGTGACCCTCCATCAAGTTTCCCCTTGTGACAGTGGCCGCCTGCTCTGCCTCAGATCGATTAATTGATTGCTTGCTTTCAGGAGAGGCATGAACATTGACACCCTTGTACTAAATCTACTCCTAAGGAAGAGCTGATTCTGGGGCTGCCTGGAATAGGAATGATGTGGGGATGGAGGACAATGGGAAATGGGGCAAGGATTGTGAGCAAGTATCCAACTAATGGTTAGAGCAGAGTGTTGAAAAGTTGGACATCTGGCATGGTTCTGCTTCTCTCACACCCTGCATTCGATCCATTAGGAAAATCTTGTTGGCTCTCTCTTCTAAACATATCCCAAACCCACTTCAACACCTCTACTACCCATGATGGTTCAAACCACCATTTGCCTGGATTATGAAATTATTCTCCTAAAAAGGACCCTCTGTTTCTACATTCTACCTTTCACAGGTCTCCACAAGGACATTGTTGTCATCACTCCTTTAGAGAAAACCTTGTAGTAGTCCCACTTTCATTCAGACAAGTCCAAGTTCTTCCAATACCCTACAGAGCCCTCCATCATTTCTTTGACTGCTTTCTGTCTCCTCCCCTCCGTTCACACCATGTCAGCCACACTGGCCTTTGTGCTAGTCCTTATGCAGGACTTTGGACTCTTTCTCTAGCTCTCACCTGTTCCTGGGATCCCTATCCCCACATATCTGATCATCAAGCCACCCCCATCTTCACATCATTTTTAACATTGCCCTTGAGATTCACACTGATCACTAATTTTTTCTTTTGGTGTTAATAATGTCTTGAAGTCCGTGCCTTGCACTTGCTAGACAAGCACTTTACCACTTGAACCAAGCCACCAGCCTTTTTTTGTTTTATTTTTCAAGTAGGGCCTCACATTTTTTGCTCAGAGGAGGCCTTAAATCATAGTCATCTTATCTCCCCCTCCAGCAGGATTACAGGTGTGGCCACCATGCCCAGCTTGTGTTTTGAGATAGAGTCTGGTTAACCATTTCACCCAGGCTTGCCTCGAAACACAATCCTCTTATACCTGCTTCCTGCATAGCTAGGATTACAGGAGTGCACCACCATGCTCAGCCCTGATCACTGATTTAATGCTGCATGATGTTCTACCTCACACACAGACAGACCCACACACAACTGATACTCCATTTCCTTCTTTCCCTCCATAGCACTAATCACCATCTAGGATACTAGTTCACTTATTTATGTATTATATGTGTTATTATTGAGTGGCTCCACTAGTTGAATATATGAAAGCAGGGATACCTGGAATGTGTTTTCTTCACTATATACCCCATTTCCTGAAACAGAGCCTGGCACATATGAAGTACTCAGCATTTGTTGAACAGATTGATTATTCCCCACCTCCTCCTTGGATTCTGAGCATCTGGCCTGTTTTAATAATGGCACTGTTATCTCCTTCTTTGCATTTTTCTTGCAAGAAAGGGATAAGACTTATAAAGCACTCTAAAATGGTAAAAGTGGTTTCTAAATAAGCTGATTTAATATAGTATCCACTGAATTGAGGAAAGTATTTAAGAAAGCTTACATTTCAATTTGAAGACTATTTACGGACAATTTTAAAAAGCAAATACTTTTTTTTTGAAAAAGACATCTGTACCATTTATCATTTTCTTTATGTTTAGAACAAAGTAAGTTATTTTACAGATAAAGGTGCTGTAGAGAAGGGCAGGGGAACTTGAAACCTATTAAATGATTTTCTTTTGATTTTTCTAATGATTCTTGGGGGGGAAATCCCATAACTTTTTTATCTGTTCCTCTCTTTCTAGATGTGTTTGCTTATAATCCATACCACATAGCTGGCCCCACTCCCCCCTACTTGGTCTACTTGAAATCTGAATACCTACCCTGCACAGGAGTCCTGATCCACCCTCTTTGGGTGATCACAGCTGCACACTGCAACTTACCGTGAGTGATAAGCCCCCAAAGCCACTCTACTCTGAGTTCTTAGGTTGGACACAAACCCAGAACCTTGCCTAAGACTATCTCCCAACTAAATTGGATGGAGAAGTCCTTCAGGGGACATTCAGTGGCAGAGCAAAAAAGTCTATGGGGAAAACGAATTAAGGCCCATAGGATGGAGGAGGTCTCTATGGTAAGTTATCTCATGAACATCTATGGTATTCCAGGAAGCTTCGGGTGATATTGGGGATAACAAACCCATCAGACACTAATGAAGACAATGTGCAAGTGGTCGGCTATGAGAAGATAATCCATCATCCACTCTTCACAATCTCTTCTATCGAGAATGACCTCATGTTAATCAAGCTGAAAACGACGATTGAACTCAATGAGTATGTGAGGCTGGTTAAGCTGCCCAAGCATGTTGTTCCAGTGGGGACCACCTGCACTGTTTCCACCTGGGCCTACAACATTTGTGATTCTTGTGAGTTCAAGACATATATGGAGTCTGTTGGTTTCAATGACATTCTCTCAGAGTTAGAACAGTATCTCTGAACTTCCGAAATTCTGCCCTATGCAGCATTCTTCAAACCTCAATATTCACCTGTGTCATCACTTTCTTTTCCTTGTACATTATTCAAGAAGTCCTTCATGCTTCTCCCCCCTGTATCTTCCTACCATTGCATTCAAATCTGAAAGCAGTTTCAATAAGAAGACATAATTTGCTGTGCGCCAGTGCTTCATTTTACCTTGAAGCTTCAATTTCCATAACTCTAAAATGAAACACAGCACTCTATCAGCTGTCTCAAACTATTTTAGGCAACTAAGTAACTCAAAGCCTTGAAGTAACATTAAATAAATATCAATATATCAAACACAAGATAAGTATATAATTTTGCACTAAATCAGATAGTACTTCCTTATGTAAGATTATAGTTTAAAGCTGAAGGGAAACATTCAGAAAGAAATATTTTAAACTGATAATGCTCTAACATTACTTATTTCTTCAGAAAACTGTCTTAGTAGAGAGCTTCTATAGATGATTTGAAACTACCAAACGAGATATTCTTCCTAGGCTTTCTTCTATGCCTAATATTTCATGATATTAGTCCGTAATATGTCCAATTATTATTATTCATCAAAATGAAAACTAAACAAAATAATAAAAGAGAAGTAGAAATGCTTTGTCTCTTGAGAATCAATCTATTTTTTATAAATAGCCAAATGTCCCTTGCTGAGCGATGTATTTGATTCATTGGGACTGCACCCCTTGTGTCACAAAGAGATGTAATACAAAAAAAGAAAAAAAGATGTGACTAATTTTGATCTGGCCCATGAAGCAGGTAAGTAAGTTCTTCCTAAAGAACTATTCCCAAATGAGATGTTGATTTATGAAATTATTTCTGGATAAATAAAGGAAAAGATCCCAATGTTTCTTTTTAAGAATTAGTGCATTATCTTAAAATAAAGTTGAAGTAAACACATACCCCCATTAAAAAAACAAAACAAAGTAGTTTTCCCAAAGGAGAAACTTTGATAAGAATACCTACCCCATGAATTTGATACTACTTTGCTCTTCTTTTCTTCATTTTGTTTCAGATTAGAAAAACTTTTTTGAGTGTGCACAGTTGACAGTATTTATGTACCATTGATGTAAAGGAAACAACATGAATTAGGAATCAGAACACTGGGTTTTAAATCCTAGTTTAACAGTTTACTGTTATTTAGGATTAGGAACATTACTTCTTAGGTGGTTTTTTTTTTTTTTGAGCAGATACAGTTTTTGTTTTGGTTTGGTTTAATTTGGTTTTTCAATCTGATAATCTCTTGTTGGCGGGTTATCCCTAACTTCTGAGTTCTGATTTCTCAGTGTCTGCCCATTTTCTTTCTGATCATAGGAGAAATGTTGGAAAAAAAAAAAAAGAGGGAAAGAAAAATGAAAGTTTTGATACCTAAGAGAACTGTTAAGGATGTTTGATGTCTGTCTTTCCTATAGCCAAGGACCCCGACTCACTGCAGAATGTAAACATCTCTGTAATCTCCAAGACTGACTGTCGCAATGGCTATAAAGACCACTACATCAAAGAAAATATGATCTGTGTGGGCATCGTGCCAGGAAGGAGGCAGCCTTGCAAGGTAACACACTCCTCAGGCTTTACTGTTCCCATTTTATTCCTCTTTTCTTTTGCCAGAAAGATGACCTGGTTTTCTTTGTCCTGGCAGGAAGTCTCAGCTGCCCCAGCAGTCTGCGATGGGACACTTTTTGGAATCCTATCTTATGCAGATGGATGTGTTTTAAGAGCTGATGTTGGTATCTACACTAGCATCTTTCACTATATAGAGTGGATTGAGCACACAATCCAAAACAACTGAGTTCCCACAGCAGGAATTCTGGACCACATGACAAAGCCTGTCCCAACAGCCAACCTCAATTAAACTCAATGGGCTCCTTGAGCTCTGCCGTGCATAACTGCTCACTTCTATTGAACAGTCAACAATTTAGCAGTGACTCACACATAACAACCCTTCCTCCCTCATAAATGCAGCTTATGAACTGGTCATTGTTCAATCAAAATGACAATTGACGTATTGAAAAAGAGCCACTTTACAATCATTTGTGGTACCAAACTCCCTACCACTTGTACTGAATTTGACATGTGTTTTTAGTGAGTTAAACACATAATTTGGAAAAAGGTAGTCTACAAAGAGTGAACCAATAGAAGAATCAGTAGGTGAAAGTGTTTCAGGATGGGACTGTGGGATGCCTTGCACTTACTTTCTCCTTGTCTGCACAGACATAGACAGATTCAAGTCATTCATTTTACAGGATTCTGGGTTTTTCCTTGAGACATGAGAGGTTAGTGCGACAGTTAACTGGGGCTTATGACACAGTAGATAAACAGAGTCCAGGACTTATTTTCCTATTACGTTTGCCCGTATATTGTACCAGTTCCACTTCCTTTGGCTTTCACCTTAGCATTTTTCTTTGCTTCTTTCCTTTTCACCTCAGGCCAATCACCACCAGAGAGTTTTAACTGATAGGTTTGCATAGGGATTTTTCTTTGACCAGTTGACTGAGGCTTAAAAAAGCAGAAATAAACACAGGGTTTAGACAATTACACCAGTGGCCACTACAAGTGGACTACTGAAGCCTTTCATCCAGTTTGGGGAGAAAAGAACTCTTCTCAGAAAGAGAAATCTTCTCAAAAAGCCCAAGTTCCAGCAGTCAATCTTGCCCTCTTGAGAGTTCTAAACCCTCCAAATCAGCTAAGCCTAGCTTGGAGTACCAGAACACAAAATTTTGTATGTAATTGTCAAGTGCAATTGTGAGACCTGCACCTTCATATGTTTTATTAACTGGAATTTTAGTTCTGGGAGAAACAAGTGATATTGAGTCCATTCCACAGGAGAGCACCTCAGCCTCTTATAATGCTTTCCAGCTTGAGACGGTGCAAAGATTCCAACAGGTCATATGCACTGTGTAAACCCAGCTGGTTTGGGGTGTGAAATACACTGAGAGGTCCCTGAATTCCACAGGCATGGGTGCCATCCATAGGTCTCACACAAGCACTAGGAAGTGACTTCCTGGGTTGAAAAATGCATTCTATTTTGTGATATGCATAAGGCATTCAGGTAATATGAGGAGAGTGGTGCTAGGAAAGTGACAGTGGAATGGGAAAAAAATACAAATCTGGGATATAGCATTTTCAGTGAGGACAAAATTACTCTTTCACAATGGAAGAGGTCCACCTTCTACCACTTGACAGGTGAGTACATGGGGTACAGTAACACAGCCATACTCTATCAGGAGGTGGTTGGTTGTTGACACTATGTCTATAAGGCAGTGGTGTCCAGGTCAGACTTGCACATAGTGGTGTTCATCCACATTCAGGCTCCATTTGGTCCCCATCTCCATTTTGTTTATGAAGTCCCTACTCAAGCATTCAGAAGCAAGAGAAAGGAGTTCAGAGCAGACTTTCTTGTCCATTTAGTTACCAAAACCTTCTGAAGAAGAGTATCTTAGTGAGACTTCTTATGGGACTCCTGCTCGGAGTAAATCCCAAAAAGTCCCATTTCATTACATAACTCCTCCCCCAAAAGTTCATCCCCATTCCTCTCATCTTGCTCTTTCTGAGTGCTTATCACAACAGGAATAGCCACTCCCAGGAAACGCATAAATTTTTGGTAGTACTAGGGATTGAACCTGGGGCCTCATGCACACTAGGCGAGTGCTGTACCACTGAACTATACCCTCAGGACCCTCCTTTTTCGAGACAGTGTTTCTGTAAGTTGCACAGACTTATCTCAAACTTGTGATTATTCTGCCTCAGCCTCCCAAGTAGCTGGATTATAGGTGTGCACCACCATGCCTGGATGCATAAATTTTAACTTCAGGAATGAAAATGAGACATTTATTGAACTTCTTCCTGAGAATAATTCTGTTCTATTTCTTTCAGGGCATCCCTCAAGGGGGTTTTCCTATCACAGTAGTACATGTACATATTTAGTACCAATGTAGCAAACAAAGCCATGTGCAAACCAGATGATCAACAAAACTAATAATCAGGGGAATGAAAATCAAAACTAAAATGATATATCACCTCACACCTGTAAAATGGCTATTATCAAAAGAAGAACGAAAATAAAGAGTGGTGAGAATGTGGAGGAAAGAAAGCATTTGTATACAATCAGTGGGGATGTAAGTTAGTGCAGACAAAGGAAAGTTAATACAGATATTTCTAAAAAGTTAGAAATAGAACTACTATATGACCTAGCAGTCCCACTTCTGAGCACATATCCCAAAGACTCGAACTCAGTATTTTGAAGGGAATACCTGTGCTTCTGTGTTCATTGCAATGTTATTCACAATAGCCAAGATCTGGAGACAACCTAAATGTCCATTGGCAGATGAATAAACAGAGGAAATTCCACACACATGCACACACACATGTACATACATACACACACAAACACTCATGCACACACAAACACACATGCATACACAGGCAGAAACACACACTCACACAAGAATATAATTCAGCCTTTAAAGGAGAGGCTGTCATCTGCAATAACATGAATGAGCTTTCAGAATGTGTTATACTCAGTGGAACCAGCCAGGCACAGAAAGACAAATGCTGCATGCTCTCTTGTATGTGTGAGAACTAAAACAGTTAATCTCATAGAAGGATAGAGCAGAATAGCGGTAGGGAGTGGTAGAGGGTGTAGGAAATGTTAGTCAATATTACAAAGTTTCAGATTAATGAGTTCTGTGCATCTAATGTATAGCAGAGTGACTTTAGTTAACAATATTTATTGTATGCTCGAAATTTGCTAAGATGGAAGATGTGTAGCTTCACCACACACACACACATACACACACAAGCAAAGGAACTTGTGTGAGCTGATGAATATGTAAATCATCTTGAGTCTGGTCATTTCACTAATATACATATATCAAAACATCAAATTGTACATCTTACATATATACAATTTGTATTTGTTAATTATACCTCAATAAAGATGGGGTGTGGCCCATGCAGTACAAGACACATTACTTTGAGATTTCTGCTGCTCTAGACAAAATCAAACCAGTATGCCACAGAGACAAGTATCATTTATCTCTCTCCCAGACAATGCACTCTCTCATTTTTCTGAGATTACTAAGTGACAAAATTCACATGCGGGATCTGCTTCCATTATAAAATGTGCATGCAAATTTGTTTTTGTTTGCCGCTGTCCCCAAGCTCCTACCTTGACCTGTCTGTTTGGCACATGATAGTCTTTGGATCCCAACAATGGCATCTTAAGATTCCGCCTCAGCTGGAGGAGATCAAGCACAGTCCTTTCTCTAATGACCAAATCACACTTGCTATCACACCTGCCTACACTAACAGTTCCACTCTACCAAAGGAGTTTCTTTTCATCCAGCTCCATTAATGCCACCTCTGTCAGGACAAACGTGTCTAATTCTCCCACCTTTACAAGCCCAGGACTCTGCCTTATTCTTCTCAGATGTTTTGGGAACCCATCATGGATGCCAGCTCTGGCCATTAGACCTTCTCCCTTTTATTGCAGACCTTGCTTTTGGTCTCCTCACACCCCAGAGAGTCTCAGCCTGCTGTGCCTCTGCTGGCTGCCTGCTGAATGCCCTCTGCTCTTATTTCTATATGCTCTTGTAATACCCACTCCTTAATATCTAAGATATGGTTCTTCACTCAGTCTAATTTCTCGATCTTCATCTGTGATGTCTCTTTCCACTAAGATCAGTCTGTTATGATGCCAATTTTTCCCACAGCTAGATAGTGGTTGTGAAAATAATCCAGGGCTTAGTGTAGTAGAAAGCGATTGGAGTAAAATACGCCTATATAAGGAAATCTCACAATGAAACCCCCTGTGTAACTATCATATTCTAATAAAAATGTTAAAAAGAGAACTAAATTGCATAAAGATAGAAAAAAAGGAACTTGGGTATAGGCTCAATCATGATTCCAACTTCAGCAGCTATTTGCTGGTGTCCTTGTGAAAATATGGAAGTAATTTAACCTGCTTTATTTATCTCTAAAATGTGACCAATAACAGTTTTCTGACTTGTTGGCAATAAAGTCATGTGGCATAGTATTTAGTGTCAAGGGGTAATTAGGAATCTATATTGTCATTTCTTTATACCTGTTGTCTTAGTCCATGTGTGCTGCTATGACAAAATACTTGAAACTGGGATGTTTACAAACACAGAAATTTATTTATTTTTTATTTTTGGTGATACTGGAGTTTGAACTCAAGGCTTCATGCTTACAAGGCAGGTGCTCTATCTCTTTTTTGCTTTGGTCATTTTGGAGCTAGAGTCATTTTGGACCTTGATCCTCTTATTTTGCACTTCCTGCCATAGCTGGGATGACAGGAATGTGCCACTGCCCTGTTTTCTTTCTATTGAGATGGAGTCCCTCAAACTTTTCTGTCTGGACTGGCTTCAAATCTCGATCCTCTTGATCTCAGCCTCCCAAGTAACAATTTATTTCTTACAGCTCTGGAAGCTGAAAAGTCCAAGATCAAGACACCACATTTCATGTCTGGTAGGGGCTTTCTTGCTTTATTCTCACATGGCAGAATGAAGAAAGGCAAAAAGAAAGCAATCAGTTACTTACTTGGAGCCCTTTAACCAGGTGCTGCTGTCATCCAGGAAGATGCAGCCTTTGGGGCCTCTTAATAGTACTATGCTGGGGATTAAGTATCACCATGAATTTTGGAGGTGACATGAACATTCAAAAGTAGCACTTATGTTTATCTTTCTTTGACCAGAGCAGAAATTATGTTCTATTCCACAAAATAAATAAACCAGAACCAGAGAGACAAAGAATATTCTTACAGAACCTGTCTATGCTTCTCCTCAAGTTTAAAGCTCCTGAGCCTTTCTCAGCTGTTAAATGTAAAATAGAGGAGTTTTCGCTGTGACTTCTCATAGCTGGGCCAAGCAGAAACTGCAAAGCAAGGTAGTAGGCTGTCTTTGGGACTATGCTTCATCCTCTTAGTTTCCCCCACTTCATGCTCCTTTTGGCTACCCATGACCCTTATTGAGGATCTCACATGCTGGTAAGTTCTAAAGATCTATTCCCCAACTTCCCTACATCTCTGAGTTCTATCTCAGGCTGTATTTTCCATCTCACAAGCAAGAACTTTCAAATAGCAACAGGTGAGATCGTAGTCATATCTCATTGAATCTATACAAGTATTGTTTCAGGTATATTTCTGATTATATAATTGATAGAGCTGAAAGGAATAATGACAGGGTTATAGATATTATGGCAGGAGGATAACAAGTTTGAGGCCAAACCAGGCTACGCTATGAGATCCTGTCTCAAAAATGCTCAGCATCACTAAATTTCAGAGAATTGCAAATCAAAATCACCAGATAAGATATTCCTTTACCCCAGTAAGAATGGCTCTTATCAAAACCACAATAGATAAGGAATGCTGGAAAGGGTGTAGAAAAAAGGGACCCTTGTGCACTGAGGATGGGAGCATAAGTTAGTACAGCCATTATGGAAAACAGTATGGAAGTTCTTCACAAAACTGCAAATGGAACTACTACATGATCCAAAAATCCTACTCCTGTATATATCCAAACCAGTATGTCAAAGAGACACACTGGGTGCGGGAAGGAGGAGCTATTTATAATAGCCAAGAAATGGAAACAAACTAAGTGTCCATAAACTGATGGATGGATTTAAGAAATATTGTACATACATATTGTAGAATACCACTCAACCATAAAAATGATATTCTGTCATTTATGATAACATGGATGAAACTAGAGATCATTTTGTTAAATGAAAATCATCCAGGCACAGAAAGTTAAGTACTGTATGATCTCACTCATACAGTACCAAAGTCAGTTTATGGACACTTAGTTTGTTTCCACTTCTTGGCTATTATAAATAGTTCCTCCTTCCCCCACCCAGAAAAAACCCCATGGTGATTCAGAAGTCTCTTTGACATACTGGTTTGGATATATACAGAGCAGGATTTCTGGATCATGTGGTAGTCCCATTTGTAGTGTTGTGAAGAACTTCCATACTGTTTTCCATGTGGCTGTGGAATATAAAAAAGTCAATCTCATAGGAATTAATAATAGCACAATGATTACCAGAAGTGGGGAAGAATGGGGGAAAGGTTGGTCAACTGGCACAAAGCTGCAGTCAGATGGGAATATGATGTCCTGGAGTCACACTAACGTGTTAATAACAAGTGTGTGTTGTGTATCTTAAAAAGCTAGAAGAAGGAATTTCAAATGTTTTATACTCCAATATACCCTCTTTGTTTCCACACTGAGTTCTCCCCTTATAGGGAACTACAAAGGTTCCCTATCCCTTTACCCTGCTGTGACTTCAGATGCACATCCTGTGTCAAAGGCAGAAGGAAGAGGACAGTTTTGTAGCATTTTAATTTGCTACTGTGTGACCGTGCATGTGAACAAATATGTGAGAGGAAGATGAGAGTGGGAGAAGTTTGAAACAAAATCCAGGCCCTAGGAAAGCAGAAGAAAAGACATTAAGACAAAGAGCAGCCAAAGACATTGCCAAGTGTATCCAACAACATTCATGTGGGTGAGTTCATTCTGTCTTAGATATCTGGGGAGCCTCTATGAGGACCCGAATTTCTGGTACCTGTGCTCTGCGGCCTAGAACCTGCTAGCTACAGAGCAGGAATCCCTGTGCTTTGACAGCACAGAGCACACTCTAGGAAGAAAGTCTGAGGGTCAGGTAGAAGCTGCTGTCTTTGTCATCAGTGTAGTATTTCAGGAAAATTAGGAACAGCATACAAGGTACTAAGGGGTGGTGCCCAGGTTAACCCACCCAGCCCCAGGCCCAGGCTAACCAAAGTCACAGGCACCTGATCCTTGTATTCCCCATTTCTGGAGATCTTTCTGTGCAAAAAGAGAGATAGAGATAACAGACTAACAGACAGGGAAGGGAGACACCAATCATTAAGCAGAGCCCTGAGTTTACAGGGGAGGAGGAGATGTGTCTCCCAACTAACATCAGAAGCCTGAAGAACAGTGGACAAATGGTGCCCCCTGGTGGACAGACTCCTCACTCCTAAAGAATCCGACAAAACAGCCCGCCAGCTTTTCCAAGCTCTGAGCTAGAAGCAGAACGACTCAGCTACCTTCTCTCTTTCTCTCTCTCTCTCTCTCTCCCTCCCTCTCTCTCTCTCTCTCTCTCAGCTACCTTCTCTCTCTCTCTCTCTCTCTCTCTCTCTCTCTCTCTCTCTCTCCCATTCTCTCTCTCTCTCTCTCTCTCTCTCTCTCTCTCTCTCTGTCTGTCTCTCCCCTTCTCCAGCTCTAGGCCAACCTGGGCAAAACTTTAGTGAGACCCCATCTCAACAAGCAGGAGGTGGTGGTATGTTGCTATTATCCCAAATACACATAAGTAAGATAGGATGATTGAGATTCCACGCCCAGAGCAAAAAAGGGACGAACACATCTGAAAAATAACTCAAACAAGAAAGGGCTGGAGACATGGCTCAAGTGGTAGAGCTCCTATCTAAGCAAGCACCAAACCCTAAGCTCAAACTCCAGTACCACCAATAAATAAATATATAAATAATCAGTTTGAATAAACTTGACAGTGAGCCCAGCTCTGGTTAAGAGTTATTGATCTGAACAGGTTTTGCTTTTTGAATGCTCTTTGCGGGGGTCACCATCCTCATATCTTTCTATAGTTGCCTTGGTTGAACCGGGGATTGGTAAGGAAATAAATCTAACAAGTCTGAATTAGTAGATTCAAAGTGGGAAGTTTGGTACGTGAAGATTTTAGTCTTCTCTGTAACTCACTCCACCATGTTAAATGACATACTGACAAAAGTACTTTATTATAAAAGTAACATAATTACTACAAAATAAGTTTAAAGAATAAAGGCATACAATGAACATCCAAAAAGAAAAAGAAAAAGTCAGTTTGAGATTAGGAGTGTGAGAAGGTGAAGTGTGTCTCAGTAATGAGAAAGATGGTGCCATAAAAAAATGGGTGCCTCTTCCAGGGGTGTGAGTAGAGGCTACACGTTCAGCAATTCAGCTCCCATAATTTCTCCAAGTTTCTTCCCCAACTCCCTCTAGAGATTGATACCGGCCTTAGATACAACATGCTTTTCACACAGGCATGCTGTGGAAAGAACAGCTCAGGATTGGCTGTTTCCCTGTCTTCTTGCATCACACTGCCATTTCCACCATTGCTCACTCCTGCAGCAGCCTACCAAGATGGCTAGCGTTGCTGCCTGCATTTTATAGACACCCAGATGGAGGTTTAGGAGGCTAGCAGACGTCCCCAAAGCTTACAAGTAGCAAGGCCAAAGTCCAGGGTTAAATTTACTGCTGTGCAGTTCAGGTGGAGAAAGCAAAGGGGAAGTCAGCAGAGTGACTTGTGGTTAGGGTTGGGAAGAAGGCAGGCTTGGGAGGACTCTGCAGCAGAGGAGGAAGGGCTGGGGGTTTTTATTCAGATGCTCAAGCAGGGCTTCCCACTGTGTCCTTACTGCAGGCGCAGTACAGGGTTCTGCCCTCGGTCACATTGGTGACTTGCAGACTTAGTTCAGTGTCACTGACCCGTGTGGCCACATAACTGGCTCCAGGGAGGGATACAACCTCCTTCTTGTCCCCAGGACTCCTCAGAGTGGACAAAAACTGTAGTTGCTGCTGGAGATCCTGCTGGTACCAGCTCATCCAGGGGTACTGCGAATTCCTCAGGATGCAGCGCAGGGTCTTGGCCTGCCCACGTGGTACCAAGCCCCACCTGGGCCTTTGCTCCAGCAGGCTGGCAGGGGGATCTGAAACACAGGCAGGTCCAGGTGAAGGTGGACAGAGTAGTCGCCCAGGAGTTAAGTCCTAAAGATGGGGGACTTGTGATTAATGCTGGCAGGAGGATACTGGTTGCAGAAGGGACCCCTGACCACCAAGGTGAGCAGCTGTGGCATAGCTGGCTGTGGCAAGTCTGGGATTAAAGAGCAACTTCTCAGTTCTAGTAACCCATCCCTTTCTCCCTCCCTCAACTCACTGGACTTCTTCTGCGTGCCATCTGACCTGTACTCACGGCAGCCACTAGCACCCAGCCGCATAGAATGAGAAATGACCCCATTCCCTGGCCCCTCAGCCTCTCTCCGAAAGGGAGTGGGACACAGCCAACCAGACAAGAAAGCAAGATCCTACCCTGTATGACAGCAATTAAAACCTGACTGTCCCTGGTCTCCACCCCCACAGCTCCAAAGGGCGTGGCTTCATCAGAAACTGCATATTTTTTCACATTTTTCCTAAATTGTAAGCTTCAGACCAAAGGTATGCAGACCTCCCTGCTTCCCGAGCTCCATCGTGCCCTCCCATTCACACCCCTGCACCCCCACATTCACTGAGTACCTCAAGGAAGAGACTTGGCCTCGTGCCCTCTGGACTACAACTCACATGTTCCTAGAAGGGATCTGAATCTGAGTCTCTGATCTCTGCAAGGGATTAAAGTAGCTCAGTGCAAGGAAGCAGTGCTTATGGAATTCAACAAAGACATCTCTCAGTCACAGGCTCCGCCTACACACGGAGGCTGTTGCATGGCCACAGTGGACCCTCATCTCCACATATCTGTGTCAGACTCTGTGAGAGCAAGTACAAATATAAAATAAGAGGCTCCACTTTCCTTTCCAGAATTAGGGAAGTGACCCTTCCTTCCTACTCCATTTGACTTTTAGAGCATTGACTTTTAGGAAACTTAAAAGTGTTTTCTATCTCTTTGAAATGCTTGTAACTCTTTTAAAATATGAAATAATACCCTTACTAGCTTTAAGACTCAGGAAGTCTTTTTCTCAAGGAACCATTGCTTTGAAATGTAATCACTAGGGAAGATAAAGTCCCAGCCTCCCAGCTTCTAAGGGGATGGGAGCCTTCCTTAGGAGTCTGCCTTAACTTAGGAAAGAGCACAGTTTAGAAGCCCAACTTATCTGAAAGCAGACACCTTGTACCAAGTTACAAAACTACCTTCTGTTACAAAATGATGCTTTTATTTTCTTTTGTATGAAACCAATTAGCAAATACTGATGCCACCCTAGTGGTCTGGGTGAACCCAAGATAAAATATGTATGACAAATGTGTATCAATGTCTCTTACTTTTATTATTATTATTATTATTCACTTATTCACATATGCATACATTGTTTGAGTCATTTCTCCCTCCTGCCCCCTTCCCACCCTCTCCCCCTTTCCCCCCTCAGTTCCAGGCAGGTCCTGTTCTGCCTTTATCACTAGTTTTGTTGAAGAAAAGAGACAAGCCTGATAAGGAAGACAAAGTGTTTTTGCTAGTTGAGTTAAGGATAGGTATCCAGAAATATTTCTAGTATTGTCCATCTTGAGAATATGTACATTACAGGTTATATCTGCTGGCTATATCACAGGGTGAGGTTCCCCTCTGTCTTTTCAATCTCTCAGTGGATCGAGACTGGTGTCCATCACATCCTAGTTTAATGCTCATTCATTAATAAAATTGTTCCTCCATTATTTTAAATAATACTTAATTTTAAGCATATTTAATTATTATTAATGATATTCAAGTGATTTATAGTAAGTTATTTGGTATAATTACATAGTATTTAATTATATTTTCCAACCACTCATACTCCTGTCACTAACTCATAGTGTGATATAGGCTCTCAGTTCCTTCATCTGTAAAAATGGAAAATATGGAAAGCTATTTTTAAGGATGCATGATTAATACATTAAAAATGTCTTAGAACAGAGAACAGGCTAAGCAGTCAATAACAATTGGCTTTTGGCTGGTGTGTGGTGTGTGGTTGTGGGCCCAGCTACTGAGACTGTGATCCAAATCATCCAAACCCAGACAAAGTTTGAAGATTCTGAAACACAAATTAAAAAAGCAATGGGACTGGAGGTATGACTCAAGTGGCAAAGCAGACATGAGGCCCTGAGTTCAATCCTCAGTACCAAAAAAATGGCTTATATTATAGTAATGATAAATTTAAATTCAATTAAAATGGGATAAAATTAATAGTAATGTTTATCTTCAATCATTTATCACTTAGTAATCAACTGAGATTGAAAGTATAAGTCCATATGACTTTTTTATTATTGATTAGAAGCCTTCCAATTGGAAACCAATCATCTGAGAAATTAGACTTAAGAGATCCTGTGTGTGCAATCTCTCCAACCTCAGCATGTCACAAAAACATGGCAACAGACCAGTTTAGCAGCTGAATTTTACTATTTCCAGGCCTGTACTATGTTCAAGTTGCTGTCAGTCCCATCACAGACCCTGGATAGAAGAAGCAGGGAATTGGTATGGGCTCCATTTCCCTGAAGAGTCTTCATGTAACATGTAAGGGTGCAGCAATGGCCAGTTGCTGGCCAGTTCTACCTGGGGGTAGAAACCAGACAAGGGTCCAGGAGAAGAGAGTGCTTAGGTCTGCAGTCGCGGACTTCCAGCTCTTTCCTGAGAACCCTGCTTTTTTTCCCTGAGGACAGTACTTTGGCCAGCTGGACAGATTGCAGGATAAAGGATCCTGGGCCCTTTCTCAGTTTACAGAGTTGACCATCCTGTCTCCCTGCTTCTCCCCACCCCTTTAGTCTAATCCTCAGATAAGACTGGGATTAGAATGTCTCCAACATACCTGTTATCTCTGTAGATGACATTCCTGCCTCTTGCTTCTCACGGTCAGTGCCTCCCAGGGTTCTGCCTTGTCCTTTGGCTTTGGTCAGCTCCCTGTCCTAGGCCATGGTAAGCCTCTTGCTTCCAGATGGCTGCCTAGCTCCTTATCTCTGCTAGGTCCAGGGATGGGGTTGGTGGCTGTCTCCTTAGGACATTTGTTTTCTCTCCACTGCCCCCAAATTGCTACTCAAGTGCTCACAGCAGCAGCCAATAGCCTTACTAGCTTCTGAGTTTAGTAGATAATTCATAGATTATGTATGAACTGAATAAGACATACATAAGCAGCTTACTCCAGATCTCTCCATTCTTCCTGAGCTGAACTCCTGTGTGGAGATGTATGGTCTGACATGTGTTGGAGAAGCCCTCAAGGCACATGTCCTCTCCATTACCTAGTGGAGGACAGGCAACAAGGTAAGATGAAGTAATGCACCACCCTGGACATTAATCACTGGGAAGAAATGAGTATGGAGTTAGAGCATAACAAGTCTTTCCCTAAGAAGCAATCAGAAAATGACACTAACTCTCTCCACTGTACTGTGGTGGAAAAGAATGCAGAAGTCTGCTGGCCTGTGAACTACCCTTGATACAATCCATTTTCTTCTCTAAAAATTTAATGGATTGGAATTTTTAGAAAATTAAGTGGATCTGAAGTTTCTTTCTATTCTGATATTCTAATATTCCTATTTGCATACCTGTGTGCTTGCTAGTGAGAAATTAGACTAAGCCTCCAAGAGAGTGTCATTAAAATATGATCTCTCTGAAAGGTAACTCACAGAAGAAAGGGTAAAGCACAACTATCCCCCAAGACAAATTCATGTCTATTTCTTATTTTCTCCCTCTTCTCCTCATTTCTTCGCCTTCTTACTCCTCACCAGGTGTGCTGAAAATCAAATCTGCTCTAGACTTGCCCACCTGGAAAGCTGATTATGTTTGTTTCACCTCTAGGTGTCCTTCCTGGGATTAGTAGCAAAGACTCCTGCAAGAAATGGAATCACAATCTGTCTCCCACCTCCCAGCAACTTCCCTTCTGCCTCTACTGTACCAAGAGACTGAAAGGCTGGGTTAACATTGCTATCCCACTGCCTCTGCTCTGCCTCTATTCTACACACAGACAAAATGGATAATACCTGTAAAAACAGGGATGGAGGACATATGTCAGATGCAGAGTGTTCAGTATGGAGTAAGGGTACAGGAGGGGACAGCAATGGAGGGAGGAAGAAACAGAAGGGAAGAAAGCAGAGAGGAGCTGAAAAACTCCTTGATTTTGCAGGGTCTCATGGGCAAGACATTGGCATGGCATTGGGATGGGAAGTGTGAGTGACTTACTCTTAATCATTTCAAGGTGAGAGAAAACTGCCCCATACCTGCTCTGGACACCCCTCACTCTAGTTATGTAAGTGGCACCACTCTGAGTCCAAAGGATAATCAGATCAGAAAAGTCCTAGCCTGTCCCTCCCCTATGGCATGGTGCCTGGCACAGATAGAGGTACATATAAGTCCACAGCTCTTGAGTATTCATCTGTAGGAAAGATGCTCAGTACCTCAGGTGCCATGACCTGTGTCTTCTTCAGACTTTTTCTACTTGTGGCCCTGGCAGCACCTTCCCAAGGCACACATCACGGCCCCACAACTCGCCTGCGTTATTCCAGGTTCCTAGATCCTTCCAATGTTGTTTTCCTGCGCTGGGACTTTGATCTTCAGGCTGAGATCATCACTTTTGAACTCCAGGTCCGGACAGCTGGTTGGGTGGGCTTGGGCATTACAAATCGCTACACCAGCGTGGGAAGTGATCTGGTTGTGGGAGGAGTCCTGCCTGACGGCAATGTCTACTTCTCGGTAAGTCTGAGGGTGACTCCATTCCAAAGACGAGCTTCTTTATTGGGTTGAGAATGGCTTCACGATGCATATTCTGTAAACACACACAAGCAAGCACACTCCTGGAACTCTGGCTAACCACGGATCTCTCCCTACAGAAATAGTCCAGCTTAGAGTTTGCAATCTATGCCTTCCTGACCACAAGGCTGCTTAGAGAAAGAATCCTTTAGATTGCGGGAGAGTTTTGTACCACTTTACTTGCTAATAGCTCACTAAATGCAGGTCACTGGGGAAAATTTAAAGCTGTTGGAGATACAATCTGTCCTCAATTTCCCTTAAACTCAGTCAGTTAACATGAAATTATCCAATAACAGGAAAAGCAGTAGCAATAGCAACATCAATAACTTAAAATTGTTTTATACTCTTGATTAACTGGGTATTGTTCCAAATTCTTTCCATTTGAAAGCTCTTATTATCACTGCGATGTAAGTTATTATTATTCCTCCTATTTCAGATGAAGAAGTAGCTCATGCATCTCCCAAATCTCACCCATTTGCACTCACGATCACTATTTTGAACTGCACTTATATAGGGATGTACTTATAACAGTACATGGTAATGTGTGCTAGGAGTCACATGAAAAGGACGATTGGAACAGACAAGACAAAGGAAAAATGAGCTTCAGGATTGTTATAATTTATGGAGCTAAGATTTGAAATGGGAGAAGTAAAGCCAGGTGAAGAGGTAAAACTTCACCAGTCCTTGTCTTCTCCAAGAATTCACCCATTGGTGCCATGCTGTGTTGTAGGAGGAAGCTATATAATAAAACAGACTTGTGTTCCACTGCTTTAGTATCCTGAGGGAATGAAAGGAGCGCTGACTGTCACAAAGCATGATTGTTTAGGGTCCTGGCTCTTACTTCTTGACCTTCCCTGGACCCCAGGATCAGCACCTTGTGGATGAAGACACCCTAGAGGAGGACGGGAGCCAGGATGCTGAGCTGCTGGGGCTAACAGAAGATGCTGCCTACACCACAATGCGCTTTTCCAGGCCCTTCCGCTCCTGTGACCCTCATGATCAAGACATTACAGTAAGATACGGAGGGGAGAAGAGCACTTAACCGTAGGCAGCTTCTCCTGCTGGCAAGGTATAGTCACCCCCAATCATGCAGTCAGCTGCATTTTCTAGGAATTCTGTCCTTCCCAGGACTACTAGTCTTCCTAGGTATTGCCCCAATTGCGTCATCTTTTCAAATCCACAAGCCCCTCCACAGGATGACCACCCAGTCATTCAATTCCCACCCCATTCTTCTCTTGAAGAGCCCTTCCCAATTTCATTGAACTTTAGAGGTTTAGCACAACCCTTTTATTTCACAGATGTAGACACAGGCACAGAGGGTGAATGCAAGAGGTTATACTCAACATGACCAGCAAATTGGCCCTGGAGACAGAGCTAGAAGTAAACTAGTCCTGTCCCCTCTTTAAAGTTCTTTCCATTCCACTACGTAGACATGAGCGGCTTGTGTAGGACCTTCGCTGTAGGTAGGTGCAAGGTGCTGCTTGTGGGTGGAAGCCTCTCAATGCTTGTGGACCCCCCAGAGTGATACCATGAGGGTCCTAGCTGCCTATGGCCTAGATGACACACTGAAGCTCAGCCGGAAGCGTGCTTTTGTCAAGTCCATCTTCCTGCTACAAATAACCTACCATGATGATGAGGATCTCCCGGAGGACACCATGACCCATGACTTGGAGATCACTGATGTAAGACCCCTCTACCCACCCACCTACCTCTAGCTCCCTTTCCTTCTCCCCACTCAATCCAGACTACTTTCCCTCACTTAATGTTCAATATATTCCTTGAGGTGAGGTTACTGTGACTCCCCTCAGTCCCCCACAGGATTGCTAGTCTAGCCCTCAAGTAAGTGCAGCCCCTTCCCTGGCCTGTCCCTTCCTCTGCACTTCTGTGAGTCTCATTCTCACTCCACTTATCTTCTGTGCGCCCTTCTCCAGTTCCTCATTCCAGAGGATGACACCACATATGCCTGTATGTTTCTACCTCTCCCCATTGTCAACAAGAAGCATCACATCTACAAGGTACATGAAATAGATTGTTGGGGGGGGAGGAAGGTACGGCCCAGGCAGGAAGGCACTCCAGCAGAGTAGTGAGTGTATTGGGATCTGAAGGATGGCATTCAGAAAGTTGCGGGAAGGAAGCAATGGAAAGTAGCTGGAAGAAGGGGGGCCAGGTGGAGGAGCTTGGTGGGGGTGGAAATTATATAATTTCCTAAGGCCAGATTTATAACTGTCAGCACTATTTTCTTTAAGACTTATATACAGTAGAGATTCTGACACAGATTAAAAATTAATTAATAAGTGTTTTCAAAGAACAAAGTCTAAGCCCTGTAAAAGAACAGAAATTCTGTTCTTTTAGCCTGGGAAGAGGAAAAAGGCAGGGAGGGGATGTGGCCATGGGCTGTCAGGAAGTAGGTGAACTCCAGCTAGAGTGAACTCAAACTTGGTCATCTAGCTTTACATTAGAATAATTTTAATTTTGACCAAGTTCATAAAAATATGATCTTATAACAAGTACCAAATGTGTGGAAGACATATTTTTTTAGAAAGAGAATCTGAAAAGGTGTGGATACATGCTCAGGGGTTGACTGAGGTTACTAAGGAAAATCAGAAGTCTTGGAACGTCTGAGCTGATTTAGCCTGTGTGTTGTGCTTTGGAAGAGGTTTAAAGGGATGGTAGTCAAGAGAAGAGTTCAAATGTTCTGGGCAAAATGATAATTTGAGGAAGAGAAAATAGAGAAAGGAAATAGCAGAGAGAGAAACAGAGAAAAGTGGGCAGTGGCACAGCTTTATTTGGGAACAGAATAAGGATTTGACATGGAAAATCATGACCACATTCCTCCCTCTTTTATCTGTCCAGTTTGAGCCCAAGTTAGTAGACCACAATGAGACAATGGTGCATCACATCCTGGTGTACGCCTGTGGCAATGCCAGTGTACTCCCTACAGGCATCAGCGAATGCTATGGGTTTGACCCTGCCTTCTCCCTCTGCTCGCAGGTCATCGTGGGCTGGGCTGTCGGGGGCCTTGTGAGTCCTATGATGGGGCAATGTGTAGCTAAGCACATGCATGCTGCTGGCAATGGGGATTGCTGGGCTGATGGAAGACTGGGGGATAGTGAAAACCCGTGTTGAAGACTAGAAAACCAGGACAGGAGTCCTGGATTTTGGCATCTAGTCTCCAGGTCTTCTTGCTGCCAAATCCCCCTTCCTCCCCAGAGTTACCAGTTTCCAGATGAGGCAGGCATCTCTATTGGAACCCCCTTGGACCCTCAGTGGATCCGACTAGAGGTTCACTACAGCAATTTTCACAACCTTCCTGGTGAGCATCCAGAGGAATCCTAGTAAGGCAGGCGGTGGGGCTGGCTGGTTTCTCTAGGTATTAGGAACATTCTGTGGGATGCATGCTTACTCATGTTAATCACAGCCCACCCCAGTTTTACTGGGCCTCTTTCTACATTGTGACCTGCTCCCCTGACTTCTGAAGAGATTGTTCGTTTCCTCACCAGGTGTGTATGACTCCTCAGGAATTCGTTTGTACTACACCTCTCACCTGCGCAAATATGACATAGGAGTCCTCGAACTGGGCGTGTTGACTTTCCCCATTCACTTCATACCTCCGGGTGCTGAGTCCTTCATGTCCTATGGACTGTGTAAGACAGAGAAGTTCGAAGAGGTGAAACTGGGAGACACACCTGATGATCCTTGTTCCCCATCACAGTTGTGATCTGATCCCACACCCGAATAGCCTGAGCACCAGACTTTTAGAATGATTGTGTCCTGGTACTCAGAAAAATTATTCACATCCACCATGCAAGAAAGGAAAGGAGTCAGGGATGTGGGGGAAAGGGAATGAGGCAAGAAGAGGGGCAGGAGGGCTTAGTAAAAATGAAGGGAGTGATTGTCAGTCATAGAAAGAAGAGCAAGCTGTCAAATATGAAGGAAGGAAAATCTTACCTGGTTCAGGATCAAGTTCTTAACAAACCACATGTGACTCTTCCCTGTTACAGATGAATGGGGCCCCAATAAGTGATATGCAAGTAGCAAGCTACTTGCTCCACACCCACTTGGCAGGGCAGGCCCTGAAGGCTGTACAATACAGGTAAGGGAAGACCTTGACTTGAAACTTTCCCTTCTGTATACAGGAATAGTTATTTGTTCTTCAACATGAGGTTGTGCTTGGTTGAGAATAAGGAGGAGCTAGAACTATCCCTGGAATAGAGATTATTAAAATATGGCTGTGGAAGAAGAAGCTTTTACATTTATTTTTATGGACAATCTGCTCACACAGTGACCCCACACACTGAATCTTTCCTGGTAGACCTCTCCCTACTTAATATTCCAATTTCTTTCTTCTCCCTTCTCTCCCTCTAGAAATGGAAAACAACTCCGAACAATCTGTAAAGATGACTCCTATGACTTCAGTCTACAGGAGACTCGAGACTTACCTCATCCTGTGGAGATCAAGCTGGTGGGTGCCTGGGGGAGGCATGGCTGGTGCAAGATGGGAGGTGGGGAAGCAGAATCAGAGCTTAGCCAAGAAAATTATAAGACTGTACCAGTTCCTTTGTGATTTCTTCTCAGCTTTCATTTTTCCTTCTGAACAGGGAGATGAATTGCTGATAGAATGTAGCTACCAGACTCTGGATCGTGACTCCATGACATTTGTAAGTGTTCTCTCCACCATGGTCACAATGCCATAGCACCAGAAGAGAGCTCCACCCTAACTTTGGCTTTGCATTGTCTCTAATTGTTCCAGCTGATGTCCCTTCCTCCCTCAATGGCATGACCCATTCACATGGGAGTTTTCATGTTCTTACACTCTCATGCATCTAAGATAGGCACAGGGATTCCTTACATTCTCTGTCAATGACTCACTAAGACCATGAAAAGATATGTTATAATGACTAAAAGCATGAACTCTGGGTCCTCACTGGCCTGAGCTCAAATGTCAACATAATCATTTAGTTAAGCTTTCTGACCTTGAGGCAAGTTCTTCAACCTTTTTGTACCTTAGTTTCCTAATTCATAGAAGAATTAGTACTACTACCTGTCTCATAAAATTGCTGTGATAATTGGTTAACACATGCAGAACACATAGACCATTGCCTGCTCTGCAGTAGATGTTCATTTAGAGCTACTTGTTTCCCATGGTCATAAAGAACCCCACCCATTTTGTGTGTTAAGAATGGTTCAATCCTTGTGGAATTCAAAAGGGGTTGCATGCATTTAAGAAAGAAAATGCAGCCATACAAATGACTAGAATACAAGGTAGAAGAACTATATTCCATAAGAAATAAATGGCAATAGTGGGTTAGGGAAATTCATAGGGAAAAATCATAAGAAAATGAACTGAACATGTGACATAAGTAAGGGGGTCCTATTTTAGACACATAGGGATGGACAGTTCTTGATTAGGCTATGAGTGAAAACATATCAATAAGAAAAGCATGGAGTGTGTGTGAAGAGCAGTAGGCTTGAGTTAAGGTTAAAGAATGGGGAAATGTATCTGAAGGAACAGAATGAGGTTCAGGGAGATGAGTCTGGGAAAAGTCCTTGAGGCAGAGGTGATGCTGCCCTACCTATATCTCCCAGACATCAGAGTCTAATTCTGCCACACTATAAATATTCCAGGTAAATAAAAGAAATGAAAAAGTAGGTTGGAGTTTATTACATATAATCAAAAAATCTGTTTTATGGGAATGGACTAGTAAAAACCAACAGAAGTTGCTGAATAAGCACATGACAGGATGCAAGATGTGTTATTAAAAAAAAATCCGGCAGTTCTATGGAGATCAGGCTGCAACCAGGATAAACAGATGAGTAATACTAATTGGGAGGCACATAGTCCAGCCCAAACCAGGATGGTGTCAGTGGAAATGTACAGCACGAGGAAGTTATATCAGATATTTATTTGGGAATAATATCAACAATTTTCCAATGGTTGAAAATGTAGGAAGGGAAAAGAAGAAGGTGATAAAGGGCAGTGAGCTGGTGCTGCATCAGGGAAAATAAACAGGGGGCTTTTTTGGCAGACTGACCACCTCAACTAGTTTCTGCCTGCCTTGTTCCCCTCACTTAGCATACCACTGTTTCTTTGTCTCTCCATCTTTCTCATTTCCAGGGAGGTACCAGCACCATTAATGAGATGTGCCTCATCTTCCTCTTCTACTATCCCCGAAATAACATCTCCAGCTGCCTGGGGTACCCTGACATCATCTCCGTGGCCCATGAACTGGGGGAGGAGGCATCAGAGTGAGTAATCTTGGAAGATAAAACCCGTAAGTGTGTGGGGAGGGATCTTGGGGAATAGGGGAAGGAGGAAAAAAAAACTTACCCACTACATCCTAGGCTGGTGATCCAGGAGTCATCAGTGGGCAATCTAATCAACCCTTCTCACCACTGCTCTTAACAGTGTCTGACTCTTAAAGCCTTGAAACAGATAGAAGTTTATAGGAAACTTGGCATGTCAGTAAGATCATTCAAAGGTGCAGATAAGAACTAACCCCTACAAATGAGATAACTCTGCTTGCCTTTCTTGCTTCACTGCTTGACTCAAAGTCTGTGTTTGCATTCAGATCATAACCTTTAATTATTTAGGGGTAAGTATCCTCTCTGAGACTCTTGTGAGAGCTCAGAAACTTCCAAGAAAAAAAAAAAGTACCTCAGTACAAACACACTTCATTTCACATACAGTTCTAGGACAATTTCAGGCTCCCTGAAGTCACTCCATCAACCTTCTTGGACTCCATGGCTCCTAGATTAACAACCATGTCCTTAAAGTTGATCCACTTTTTCAGTTTCTAAAATTCCCCTCTCTGACATTGTTTCCTCTGCCAAACACGTATATGTTCATTGAGTTATAGGATATTCCTTACAGTTTATGCTGACATAGAATTCATGGTAACAAAACTGAGGATGCTTTCAACATGTTCATTAAAGCTGTGAGTTGATTCTAAACTACTGTCTGTACCCCTGCCCTGATCCTACCATCTACAGGAATCCCATGGAGAACCTGATGATCTTGAACAATGTTGAGTGGACACAAGAGAATATTAAGAAGGCTGAGAAAGCCTGCAAGGAGTCCCTGCAGACAGTGATGATCAAGACCATCAATGTGTGTGTTCCAAGGGATACCATCCTCTAGGGTTGGGATAGAGGGATCTGGGGATTGTGTTGGGGAAAGACAGGAAAAAAGAAGAATGATAGAAGCAAACAACCATGGCAAGAATCCTGGGTTGGGAGAAGATGGACTGAGGAAACAGAAAGATGGGCTGTTGCTGCCCTGGATTTTGGATGTAGATGGAGCCTCCCAGTTAACCTGAGAGCTCTGTCAGGATGGGAATGACCAAGTAAAGTTTCAAGGAAGGGAAAAGAGTAGGGAGGCTTCTGAATTTTTGCTTTTTCTTCCCTCTCCTAAAGGAACTGATAGAAAACACAACAGGCCGGATTCCTGACATCATCCCTACCCCTCGGGGGCCCTGCTTGGAGTCCTCTGGAGGCAAAGTGGAGCCTCAGGACAAGAGCCCCGCAGGCTTCAGGGCTGAACCAATGACCCTCAATGGCTCCAGCACTGTGACCCTGGAGCACCTCCCCCTGGCTGCCATCTTTTTGCTGCAGGGCACCCTCTCATGGCTCCTTGCCACACTGCAGACTGCAGTGTGATTCTGCCTCCTCATGACACATACTTAGAGCCTTGACTTCTCAGTTCTTCCTAATCACCCAACACAGAAACAACTCCATGCTTTGACTCCCAGAATGTCCCCTAACTGTGTCACTTCCCATGACCTAAGCCAAGGTACTGAAAGCTCAAAAGCCTTGTGCAGAACATGCCTGCTTGCTACTCTTAAAGACTTAGTACCACTGGTGGATCTACATGTTTTGTGAGAATGTCTGGCTCCAAGGCTGGGTGTGAAAGGATGGATCCACTCTCTGAGAGGTCTCGTGCCCCAGCTTTCTCCAGAAGATGCCATGAGCAGGAGGGACTTGAATGCAGAGGGAGAGCCCTGCCACCCTTTAGCCCATGTGTGGCCCCCATGAAGGCCCCCTTTTCTCTTTTCTAATGACATTGATTTCTGGTCTTTCTGTGACACAATAGCAACAAACCACAGATAGAATGGACAGCTAGGGGAGATTTCTGGTAAAGTGAGGGGCTCTGTGTATTAGATACAGAATTCCAGGCATCATATTAAATAGAACTCAATTTGCTTCCTGTTGCCATCTCTTTCCTTTGAGCCTTTGGTCCAGAAGAAGACAGTTGGGTGGCCTCTCCACTTTCTCAGTTTAAGACATTCAGAGGGGGTTTGAGTTTTTGACTGCCTCAAATGTAACATTTAGTGCACAGTCCTTGCCCTCCACCTCTGAGCCTTGCTGTTGGGTGATCTTTGTTTATCTCACCAAGTGTCACATTCTCAAACTCAGGCCACCTGTTGTTAGGAGCTTAACTGGGCAAGCAGGTTGAATTGAGTTCTGAAAACAGATGAAGAACTGATGAAGCTAAGATGAAGTAACTGATGAAGCTAAGGCAGTCCTTAGCTCTGGAGCCCTTGGCTTGTCCAGAAAGCTCACAGGGACAGGGCAATGACTGCTTGCAAACACTTTGTGGAGTCAGGCTATATTTTGCCACCATGGTTTTCAGTATAGGGCAATAGTGGCTGGTCTTGGAGCTTCTGGGAGCATATTTCTATTTATTCTTAACTTGGTAAATTCAGCACCACCTTTTGCTGCAGGGCACCCTCTCATGGCTCCTTGCCACACTGCAGACTGCAGTGTGATTCTGCCTCCTCCTGACACATACTTACAGCCCTGACTTCTCAGTTCTCCCTAATCACCCAACACAATTCCTTCAGAATTTGAAGTCACTATGCCAGTCTAAGAATTGCCTTGCTCATTGTATCTTCTAGAGGGCACCCTACTCTGGATACTCTGAGTTGTTTAAAGGTCTAGAGACCAGAGCTATAGTCTCAGCAAGATCTAGGGGTTAAGCATGAGTCTAACATAATAGCCTCGCTTCCTGGAGCAATATCCCTCCTCTGGGACTGGCAAACTGCACTGGGGATGTGGGAGATGATGATCTCATTGTCTTTACTGTTCACTCCCCTGGAAAATTCAAGGTGTTCCACTCTGAGATTCTACAAAATCCTCTGTGCTCACATTCAGGTCCTGTGACTCTGTTTCACATCTTATTGATCAGAACCACTTCCAAGCCTCATAATGTGTGAACAGAAGAGTTTGCTGTCCTACAATCAAATAGGCTTCCCAAAGTTCATGATTATGAAAAAACTAGAACATCTTAATTCTAATGTGCCTATGTTCACTGTTGGCACCATGCAAGGAAAATAAAGGGTTTCCTTTTAGGGAACAATCCCAAGGCACCTGCCTTAGGATTTATGTCCTTCAGTTATTTGAAGGTCATAAAGTACTATCTACAACAAGGAAACAGATAAAAATGAGATCTAGATAAAAACTTAAAACAACCATAACAGATCAATTCCCCCTTGCCCCCTCCACTCTGTCTGATTAGTGAGCAAGTCTTTCTGTTTCCACCTGCATTACGCCAGTCCACTCCAAGCAAATTCTTTCAGCCTCAATCTCTTAGGTAAACAATACTTGCTGGCTGAGTTTCAGGTGCCAACCCTTGGCCTTACTCTCAGGAGGATTCAAGTCACCCAGGTCCTGCAGCCAGAACTTCCAGCCCTGGGCCCCTCCTCTTCAATTTTGTGTACCTACTTAGCCTTATTTCTTTCATTTTATTCCCATTGCATCTGCTAATGTAAGCATTTAGTCATCATGTACCTACTTTTTGAGTACCACTTGCATAATTGTTTCTGCTCCCCTGTGTGGTGAGGCAGACCATCATGGTGGAAGGGCACAGCACAGCGAAGCTGCTTTGCCTCACCTCACGGTGGCCAGGAAGCAAAGAGAACAGAGAGAAAGGGAAGAGACAAGATATCTTTCCAGAGCATGTCACCTGTGACCTACTTCCTCCAACTAGGCCTCACCTCCTCGTTTCTACTACCTTCCAACAATACCATGAAATTTCAAATTCATCAATGAAATATCCATTGATTAGGTCAGAGCCCTCATGATCCAGTCACTTCCCAAACACCCCACCTCTGAACAATGTTTGGGGACCAAGCCTTCAACACATGAGCCTTTCTTTAGAGGACATTTCATTTCCAAATCACAGCAACTGCACTCACCCAGCACACAGTTTCTTTATATCTTTTGCTGCCCCTCATTACCAGTCTCTTTTGCTGGCTTTTCTTCCTTTTCTAGATTTCTAGATATTAGTGTGTCCCAGGGCTCTAGTCTCATTCCCATGCGTGTGTGTGTGTGTGTGTGTGTGTGTGTGCGCTGTGGTTTAAATATGGTTAAAGTCTTACTCTGTAAGTAGTCCCCAGTGTGGTGATGGGATAGGTGATAGAATCTTTAAGAGGTTAGGCCTATAAGTAATTAGGTCACTGGATGCCTCATCCTTTTGAAGGGATTAATGCTGCTGTCATAGAGTTCATTTCCATGAGATTGTTATGGAAAAAGCAAAACTGGACCCTCCCAGGTCTCTGACTTCTTGTCTTGCCATGTAATCTCTTCTTGCACTCACTACTACCATGATGCCATTGGGCATGATGTGATACAGTGAAGGAGTACCAGAGGTTAACCAGTTGGGCCCAACAGTTTGGTTCTCCAATACTGTCAGCTAAGAAGTCACAAATAGTTTGTTTTAGCAGCAGAAAATAAGTTAATACAGTGTTTGTATTTTTTTTATATTATCTCCCAAATTAATAGTTCTGATACTCAAATACTAGCTGTATATTAAGATATTTTCAGCCAGAATTTTCCTGCTGTGAACTCTATGTTCCTACGTCAATTTAAACATCGATTTGATATGTACTCATGCCCCCATGCAAGAGGAAATATGAAAAAACAAGCCATCCTCTACCCATATAAATTTCTCTGCTCAAATGAACACTCTTCCATCGCTCATTCAAATGTTTAGTCTTATAGGTGCCAAAGTTTCATTTATAAACTTTAAATCTTTTCTCCTCTCACAATGCTTCTGCTATAGAAAGAGTACCTTATTTTTTAAAATCTCCTAACATACTATATAGAGTTGCTCTTCTTATCCAATTCATTCCCTTCCTGAGTGTTTCTCCCAACTCCTTTCTATGCTACAGGAGACATTCCAATTATCTCTATTACTTAAAGTGTTATTAAGTCCCTCTAGTCTCCAATATATATTTTGTTAATTCAAAACATCTGTCATTTATGTTCCTCACTGGAAAATTAGTCATGTACTATTAGTGACAACTCTTGGTCAACCTGAATAGGATTTGCACAGTGATGCTTAGAATACTACAAAATGAAGTTTAAATTATTAACGAATGTCAGGTGTAATGCTAATCATAATGGTATCTAATGATAAGGGTATGGGTGAAAATGTCTCAAGTATCAGAAGTGTACAAAAGTAAACATATTTGTACTTGTAATCCTTCCTTAGTGCAGAATTAACATCATATATGTTGGCACCTAATGAGACCTTAAAGTTTCTAAGTCATTCTCGGGCATGAGTATTTTACTGTCCCTTAAAAGTCAGGGTCCAGTCTAAGTTTTACCAGTGTTGCCAGTGGTACTGTAAGTGTAACAATTCTCCCCAGGTTTTCTGAACCTAGTTCCAGGACCCCTCATCATACATTGACTCTCAAGTTTCAATTCTTCAAACGTCAAATATCTGGTCATGTCTAGGATTTTGATTGTTTATTTTGTTTCATTTTTTAAGAGTACTTCTCACCTTTCAAAATTCCATAATTTCAGTTATGGCCCACTTATATGTACAAAGGGGCTAAATTTCAGTAACTGTAGAACTATGTTGGAGCAACTCATCCTTTGTTTCCTAAATCCCAAATGGTTAAAGTGAAGCCTTTGACCAGTGATCAGCTCTGGTGTTATGGATGGCAGTGTTATCTATAGGCCTGAGCACACAGAGGACTTGGTCCTGTGTTACAGTTCGTGCTGCCAAAACAAGAGTGATGACTCTCCCTTGGTAAAGGTACAATGAGGGAATCCATGTCTAAGTCCATAGAAATGTTTTGCTTTGAGCTGGAAAGTCAAGAGTCATACATACTCTAGTATGTCTATTATCTTTGTTTGAATGGCTATAACTTGTGGGCCAATTCCACAAGACAGATATATAGCTAACTAATGAATTGGTGTCCCTCATGTGGAGTTGCTCAAATAGTCCAGACAATAGTACTACCATGATGGCAGGTCAGAAAGCTGGGAAGATGTGTTTGTAGTTGATGGTGGATATTCACAAGGAGTAAGTTACAGATACTAGAATTCCTATATGCTAGGGAAATTCATACCATTCTTGAAAAAAAAATAAAAGAAATAATAATTGTTGTACAAAGGAAGTGGCTCTCAAACTTTTTGGTCTCAGGACTCCTTAATATTCAAAATCAGTGAGGACACCATGCTTTGTTTATATGAATTACATCTGATTAATATCTACTTCATTAGAAACTTAAATGGAGTCATTTGTAAAATATTTTGTGAATATTTATTTTTCATTAATTAAAAATAGCAATAAATCTACTACATGTTAACATAAATAATATATTTTTGTGAAAATGGCCATATTTTCCAACAAAATATGAAGAATGGCATTATTTTACATCTTGTAAATCTGCTTAATGTATTATATAATAGAAGAAAGCTACATTCTTTATCTGTTTCTCTATTTTGATACCACACAACATAGAGTCTTTGGAAAATGTCACCATATACCAATGAGAGAATGAGAATAAATAAAGCAAATGACATCTTAGTGTTATAAAAAAAGATTTGACTCTGTGTACCCCAGAAAGAGTCCTGAGGCACCCCACAGATTCCTTAACTGCACTTTGGGAACACTGTTCTAGGGTTAAGCCTTCAATAGCACCCAACTGACAAGATTTAGTAATGACCATGAGCCTACTAACGCAGGTGTGGGTGATCTAAGGAAGTCAAAGATAAAGGTGAACTTGGATACTGGTAACAGACCAAGAACATGCAGAAAACCCTAACACACTGAATGAGGGACTTGATGGTAAAATAATAAGAAAAAAGCTGGTAGATAAAAGGAAAAGAAAACAAGATTACAAGCTCTGATTCCAGGTAGTGACTGTCTCCCCTGGGATATGTCTTTACATTCTTATCTCTGTATGATTTCTAGTTTATAGGAGCATGAGAACCAGTTATTGGGGATAACAGTAAGGGCTGAAATCTACCTCATTATTAAGATTAATATTAATGTTCTGGAAATACTTTGTCTGTAAAGAGATGTACAGATTGAGTATCCCCAATCCAAAAATCTGATATCTGAAACTTTTTGAATACCAATATGTAACAGTGGAAAATTTCATACCATAAAACTTTCTTTAATACATAACCTTATTAAAATATTGTATAAAATTACCTTCAGACTATATTTATAAGGTATGTATAAAACATAAGAGGATTTTGTGTTTAGACTCGGGCCCCATCCCTAAAACAACTCATTCTGCATATGCAAATATACTAAGATCGAAAATATCCAAAATCTGAAAACTTTTGGTCCCAAACATTTCAGATAAGGGATATTCAACCTGTTCTTATCAGTACCACCTATGAAAGTAATCATTGAAATGTTAGGGAACTTATATTTTTAATACCTATAATCATATTTTTATTTTCTATGATAGCAAAAGGTGTGATATTTGTGACTTAATTATTTCAGTGTCTGAAGTCAAGGTATATACAAAATCTACATTGGTAGCATTTTATGTATCTCTAGCAACAGATAGAAAATTTCAGAGGCAATATTTTTAGTGTGTTTGGTAGATATGGAAGAGTCCATAGGAAAATAAAGTGCTATCTTTAGCATCACTAATCACTGTTGTTAGCAAGGTCATTTGTATTCCATGAGTATCACTAGTGTTTTCTGATATTGGATTATATATTTTAACCCAAGAAACAAGTTGGGCTACTTCAATAATTATACTTATAGCAATAGTATTTATAAAGCCTAATGTATTATCTGAGACACCAAGGTTATATATAAAGTATGTAGCCAGGAGACATAAAATATTTGATAAGGCTATGAGAATAATTACTAAAATGTTTAAAAGAATTTTAATACATATTATGACTTCAGAAGAGATGTCTGTAGCTTCTTTGGTGAAATTTATAATGTTTGTAATGGATGCATCCTTAAACATCTACAATGTTGACAGTGCTTGAAGTATCCATATTGGCTTTGGTTAGAGTAAAACTCTTCCTGAAAATTGAGTTAGGATAAGACTGGCTATCTATTAACTGGTTTTTCTATGTTAGAATGGTTCCTTCAAATAGTTATCTGTAGTAATGATCCTGCCTTGAATAGTAATCATGGAACTAGAGTAGCATTTACAACATCTGCATATGCTGATGCAGTAGCAGAAGCTTCAACTGTTGGTCTATCAAGAATGGTAGTCATAAATCATAAATCGCAAATGGCAATACTTTTAGATCTGTGTAGCACTAGTTTCAAGAATAGGTAAATAACTGACTGTAGAATTTGATATGACCAGATGGTGATTTTCCATATCTAGAACAGCAGCTGTTACTGTGTCTGAGGTTGTTGTGGCATCTGGAATAAAAATGTGTATGCTGTTACCTGTGCATGCTGGAGTTATTTGCAGAAGTTAGCATCATAGTATTAGTGGCATTGATGGAGGAAGTAGTTGTTCCTTCTGGTGAGAAAGTGCTTGTAAGCTCTGTGGCAGTAGATTTGGTGTATGTAGTGAACTTGTCTGTGAAAGTTGTTATATCTGGGCTCATGGTAATGTCTTTGATGCTGGTAGTAACAGTGGTGGCCTCTAATATTGTTGTACTTTTTGTATCCAGTGTGTTTAAATTAGTGATATTTAATTAGTGGAGGTTGTAAAATTAGGAACTATATCAGTAGTGGACATATTATTTGCTGGAAGCATGCTGAAAATAGTAGTAGAGTTGATAATAGAAGTGAAGCAAAGGTAGGAGTTATGAGAGGAGTACAGTGATCAGTTGCCATGACAGGAACAGTATGACTTGTATGAAAGGAATCAGTATTTGAAGAAGGAGAAGAAGTCACTATAGGAGCAATATTATCAAGCAGTACTCATGCTTGTAGAAAAAGAACCAGTCTTGACAGAGGATTATTAGTACTGGTAGAAAAAGTATTTGTAGAAGGAATAGTATTACTAGTACTGTCACCACGAGATGTTGTAGGGGACAGCAGATTTGTAATAGAAGAATCATTTCTAATTTTAATAACTTATTAATCAGTACTTATAGGAGAAGTAACTACCATAACAACAGTAGTGTCCATAGCATCAGTATTTTCAGAGAAAGAAGTAATCATAACAGAAAAACTATTGCTAGTAGAAGCAGCATTGGTCTTTGTAACAGTAGTTGTATTTGCAAGAGTATTATCAGGGTTAGTATCATCAGTAGTTATATGAGAGGGAGGGGATACAAAAGAATTATTAGTCCTACTGCTGGTATTAGTAGTATTTGTACTGGAAGGAATTGTTACATTGGGAAAAGCAGTACTACATCAACATTACTAGTAACTGCTAGAGAAGGAGTACAGCTAATAAAAATAATATTACTAGTGACACCAGTAGTAATACTTACAGAAAAATGCGAAGTTGTATTAGAACAGTAGTACTAGTGACATAACCACCAGTATTGGTAGGGGAAGTTGGGACTGTGATGGGTACAATAGCACCAGAGCCATCAGCAGTATCACTTTCACGAGATGGACTACTTGTATCAGGAACTAGTTATACTTCTAGTACTACTAGAAGTAACATAAGTAGTATTATTGAATAATGTGGGGTTGTGATAGGAACGTGACAAAAGTGTTAGCAGTAGTACTTTGAAAGATGGAGTAGTCATACAGCAGGAACAGTAACACTAGATGTAACATCAATAACTCTTTTTACATAATGTGGGGTTGTGATAGAAGAGCAGTACTAGTGTCAGCAGTAGTATTTGCAAAGAATGCAGTAGTTTCATCATGAACAGTACTGGTAGGTGTGACATCAATAGTACTTATTGCATAATGTGGGGCTGTGATAGGAACAATATTACTACTTGGTAGTAGTATTTGTAAAGAAAGGAGTGGTGTCATCAGGAATAGTCCCAGTGGGTGTGACATCAGTTGTGTGTGTTGCATAATGAGGTGTTGTGACAGGAAGGGTAGTATTAGTGTTGGTAGTAGTATTTGTAAAGAAAGGAGTGGTGTCATCAGGAATAGTCCCCAAGAGTGTGACATCAGTTCTGTGTGTTGCATAATGAGGTGTTGTGACAGGAAGGGTAGTATTAGTGTTGATAGTAGTATTTGTAAAGAAAGGAGTGGTGTCATCAGGAATAGTCCCAGTGGGTGTGATAACAGTTGTGTGTGTTGCATACTGTGGGGTTGTGACAGTAAGGGTAGTACTAGTATTGGTAGTAGTATTTGTAAAGAAAGGAGTGGTGTAATCAAGAATAGTCCCGGTGGGTGTGACATCAGTCATGTGTGTTGCATAATGAGGGGTTGTGACAGGAACAGTAGTACTAGTGTTGATAGTAGTATTTGTAAAGAAAGGAGTGGTGTCATCAGGAATAGTCCCAGTGGGTGTGACATCAGTAGTGTGTGTTGCATAATGAGGTGTTGTGACAGGAACAGTAGTACTAGTGTTGGTAGTAGCATTTGTAAAGAAAGGAGTGGTGTAATCAAGAATAGTCCTGGTGGGTGTGACATCAGTCATGTGTGTTGCATAATGAGGGGTTGTGACAGGAACAGTAGTACTAGTGTTGGTAGTAGTATTTGTAAAGAAAGGAGTGGTGTCATCAGGAATAGTCCCAGTGGGTGTGACATCAGTAGTGTGTGTTGCATACTGAGGGGTTGTGACAAGAAGGGTAGTATTAGTGTTGGTAGTAGTATTTGTAAAGAAAGGAGTGGTGTCATCAGGAATAGTCCCAGTGGGTGTGACATCAGTAGTGTGTGTTGCATAATGAGGTGTTGTGACAGGAATGGTAGTATTAGTGTTGGTACTAGTATTTGTAAAGAAAGGAGTGGTGTCATCAGGAATAGTCCCAGTGGGTGTGACATCAGTAGTGTGTGTTGCATAATGAGGTGTTGTGACAGGAACAGTAGTACTAGTGTTGGTAGTAGTATTTGTAAAGAAAGGAGTGGTGTCATCAGGAATAGTCCCAGTGGGTGTGACATCAGTAGTGTGTGTTGCATAATGAGAGGTTGTGACAAGAAGGGTAGTATTAGTGTTGGTAGTAGTATTTGTAAAGAAAGGAGTGGTGTCATCAGGAATAGTCCCAGTGGGTGTAACATCAGTAGTGTGTGTTGCATAATGAGGTGTTGTGACAGGAACAGTAGTACTAGTGTTGGTAGTAGTATTTGTAAAGAAAGGAGTGGTGTAATCAAGAATAGTCCTGGTGGGTGTGACATCAGTCATGTGTGTTGCATAATGAGGGGTTGTGACAGGAACAGTAGTACTAGTGTTGGTAGTAGTATTTGTAAAGAAAGGAGTGGTGTCATCAGGAATAGTCCCAGTGGGTGTGACATCAGTAGTGTGTGTTGCATAATGAGGTGTTGTGACAGGAACAGTAGTACTAGTGTTGGTAGTAGTATTTGTAAAGAAAGGAGTGGTGTCATCAAGAATAGTCCCAGTGGGTGTGACATCAGTGGTGTGTGTTGCATAATGTGGGGTTGTGACAGGAATGGTAGTATTAGTGTTGGTAGTAGTATTTGTAAAGAAAGGAGTGGTGTCATCAGGAATAGTCCCAGTGGGTGTGACATCAGTAGTGTGTGTTGCATACTGTGGGGTTGTGACAGTAAGGGTAGTACTAGTGTTGGTAGTAGTATTTGTAAAGAAAGGAGTGGTGTAATCAAGAATAGTCCCAGTGGGTGTGACATCAGTCATGTGTGTTGCATAATGAGGTGTTGTGACAGGAATGGTAATATTAGTGTTGGTACTAGTATTTGTAAAGAAAGGAGTGGTGTCATCAGGAATAGTCCCAGTGGGTGTGACATCAGTAGTGTGTGTTGCATAATGAGGTGTTGTGACAGGAACAGTAGTACTAGTGTTGGTAGTAGTATTTGTAAAGAAAGGAGTGGTGTCATCAGGAATAGTCCCAGTGGGTGTGACATCAGTAGTGTGTGTTGCATAATGAGAGGTTGTGACAAGAAAGGTAGTATTAGTGTTGGTAGTAGTATTTGTAAAGAAAGGAGTGGTGTCATCAGGAATAGTCCCAGTGGGTGTGACATCAGTAGTGTGTGTTGCATAATGAGGTGTTGTGACAGGAACAGTAGTACTAGTGTTGGTAGTAGTATTTGTAAAGAAAGGAGTGGTGTAATCAAGAATAGTCCTGGTGGGTGTGACATCAGTCATGTGTGTTGCATAATGAGGGGTTGTGACAGGAACAGTAGTACTAGTGTTGGTAGTAGTATTTGTAAAGAAAGGAGTGGTGTCATCAGGAATAGTCCCAGTGGGTGTGACATCAGTAGTGTGTGTTGCATACTGTGGGGTTGTGACAGTAAGGGTAGTACTAGTGTTGGTAGTAGTATTTGTAAAGAAAGGAGTGGTGTAATCAAGAATAGTCCCGGTGGGTGTGACATCAGTCATGTGTGTTGCATAATGAGGTGTTGTGACAGGAACAGTAGTACTAGTGTTGGTAGTAGTATTTGTAAAGAAAGGAGTGGTGTCATCAGGAATAGTCCCAGTGGGTGTGACATCAGTTGTGTGTGTTGCATACTGAGGGGTTGTGACAAGAAGGGTAGTATTAGTGTTGGTAGTAGTATTTGTAAAGAAAGGAGTGGTGTCATCAGGAATAGTCCCAGTGGGTGTGACATCAGTAGTGTGTATTGCATAATGAGGTGTTGTGACAGGAATGGTAATATTAGTGTTGGTAGTAGTATTTGTAAAGAAAGGAGTGATGTCATCAGGAATAGTCCCAGTGGGTGTGACATCAGTAGTGTGTGTTGCATAATGAGGTGTTGTGACAGGAACAGTAGTACTAGTGTTGGTAGTAGTATTTGTAGAGAATGGTGTAGTTGTGTCAGGAACAGGAGTAGTTGATGTAACATAAATAGTGCTTGGTGCATTAGGTGAGATTGTTAAAGGTACAGAAGTACTATTGTTAGTAGTAGTAGTATTAGAGAAAAGAGTAGTTGTGTCCAAAACACCAATTGTACTTTTTGCATAAAGTGGAGTTGTGAAAGGTACAGAAGTGGTGGAGGGAGTACTTATGGAGAAAGTAGTAGTTGTATCAGAAACAGTAGTCCTCATTGTGACATGTGTAGTGCTTGTAGCATTGGGTGTGGTTGTGATAGAAATTGTACCACCACTTGTGACATCAATAGTACTTGTGAAATGAGATGCTATCATGGGAACAGTGACACTAATGCTGGCAGAGCTAATAATAGTATAAGCACTAGTAGCCTCAGTAGTATATGGAGAATTTGTGGGATAGTTAGTTGCTATAGTTGAAGTGGGAACTGGAGGATCACCATAAACCCAACTAATCTCACTTAATCTTTCCAGGCTGATATTCTTGTTAGTCAATTCAATAGTTAGTATCTGCAATAAAGAAAAGACAAAGTTGATATATTATAACTTCTTAAACATTATATTCAAATTACATGTCAAATTACAAGTTTAAAAATGTATTCATTCTTTCTCAAGAGAGGAGTAAGATATAAACATCTCTTTTCAGTTCACATTGGTTCCAGTCAGATCAATACAGACATGCTCTATGTGGATAACCATGTGCTAAAAATTTCTTTCTTTCCACTTTACTTAGTGAAAAACACATTGTTCACAAATATTTATCACTGTGATTAAAAACAATGTTGATTAAAATCCTTTTACCATTGGATATTAACCTTCCTGACTGCAGATGGGTTTCATGTTTTCATTATTGTCAGCCCCTATGCCTAGCACATAATAGCCATCTTGTATGCTACTGAGCTGCCCAAAAAGAAATTATTCAAGGATCTTCTTCATCAGTTTTAATTAGAAGTAATTACTTATAAAGAGTGGGTTTGAACTCAATAGTCCAAGAAAAAATATTTTAAAATAAATAACCAGAAGAGATTCTAGAGAAGGGATTCATTTGAGAGCTCAGAATGGTCATTTTCCAAAAATCCAAATGGTATCAGGACATTCCTTACACCTTTTAGAAGCAAGAATTAAGTTATCCATTTTCACTTTTTTAAATCATCTCCTATGAACTACTGGATCCATATTTTTGACTAATCTCATGTTCTAAAGTAGAACTTTGCAGTTTACAGTTGCCCTTGGTGGTTCTGCTGGTAATTCATCTTCTAAAAATGCTAATCTACTTGGTTCTGGGCAACACCACCAGTCATCTAACAATGTCTTCTATTTGTGTCACTCTGTTTTGCTACCAAATAAGTGTATCTTACACCATAGGTGGTATGCATTCATTCGACAATCACCATAAGTGACTGCCAGTTTTCTACCCAAATAACACATCAATTTGATGTGCATACTTCAGGAAGGAGAAGGAAACTTCAACAACTTTAGAGAGCCACTCTTTCCTTTGTTTTAGCCTCTGAGCAGAAAATTAAGTTTTGTTATGTAGTCTGGGAAACTAATATATTTAAGCATAGCAAAAATTTTTTGATAAACACATGGAGATATCAGACCAATTATTGATCTCTGGCCCCAATATGGACAGACCATTAATGCTATTCATTTTACAACATAATCCAACACTCACAACTTTTCAAGAACATATCATTTGCATACATTTATAGCAGTTCTAATATAGTTATATAAAACAACAATAACAATAATGGTGATAATTTTTCAGGATAATAAAATTAGCTTTCCTTTTAGACATACCTGATTATAAGGGTCACTTTTGAAATTGGTCTCCATGAATTGCTGATTGTCATAGGTGAAACAGACTTGTGTCACATAAGAAGAGTTCATGCCCCAGATTCTAATATATCCAACTTTCAGTGGATTTGAGTGACTCAAATACTTATTGTGTATGACCTGTATTTGCAAGATGTTCTATAAAAAATTTGTAGAAAGAAAAAAATAATGTGTTGGTAATAGAATTCAATTGTGGGTTTGAATTAATATGTTTCACACTAAAATACTAAGAAATCTCAAATTACATTTGTTGTACTGGTTTTCTGTTTTTATGTTTAATAAAAACTTCATGAAGATGTACTTCTTTAGTACCTGCTATGAAAAATTTGATTGCCAAAAATAAGTTTATAGACCAAGATTATGAGTTATTACTAATTCCTATGATAATTTTTAAAATAGCTTGTCATTATCTCTGATTTACAGATGAGGAAACTGAGGTCTTAGGAGATAGAGAGCCCAAGTCCACATAGCTAAATGACATAGGGTAGAATGGTGATGTCCCTATGTGCATAAATGAGTACACGAGTTAATACAGATGAACAAAGGAGTGTGGTAAGCAGTCTCTAGACTAAGGACAGTGTACAGGAATATAGTAACTTATCTAAACCATGGACTGCTTAAATTTCAGTATGAGGATTAAAATAAGGTAAATCATGGGATGCCACATAAATAAGGCCAAAGGGAAATCATAGCAAAATGTTGTCCTGACTGGGTATTGAGGGAGGGAGCGGGAGGGGGTGGAGTGGGTGGTAAGGGAGGGGTGGGGGCAGGGGGGAGAAATAAACCAAGCCTTGTATGCACATATGAATAATAAAAGAAAAATGAAAAAAAAGAAAAAAAAGAATTTAAAATACTGTTTATACAATTCTGAACAGCAAAAAAAAAAATGTTGTCCTGAGCATTAAAAGAAAGGAAAACCACTATAGGAATAGAGTAGTATATAGGAAGATCTAGTAAATACATGGAACTTAAGAGTACTGGAAGGATGAATAGAGGTGAAAGAATGGGTCAGGGAATGCAGGCACACTCACTGAGTGAGTACAAAGGCTACTCTTGCTGGTGCTAAATAAGAGAAATAAGACTGGTGACTCTGCAAGAGAATATTATGGAGGTTCTATCAATAAATCAGGAAGATATTTGCAGTAGAGTGTTCACTTGTTATTATGAAGAATTAACAGGACTTTTGTGGCTGATCATGGCTGATTTGATTTGATTGTTTCAAATTAGGAGGAAAAATTAAGGAAATGATACATAACTTGAAGCAAACAGGCCTACTAGAGCTAGTTCTTACTGGTTTGGAAGAGGTAATTGTTAAATTTTCTGCAATTTTGCAAGCTAGTTGATAGTTCAAAATTGGTTAAAATTGTAAAAGTATTTGCACTACGGAAATCTGCAAATATACAAATCAGTTCCCACTTGTCCAAGCTGGTTTATCAGCCAAGACAATACTGATAAAATGGGAGTTTTCTTTCATCTCAGGCCACTGATCCTTAGGAGAAAAAAAATCCCACCAAACACCACAGAAGAACCTATTTATCATTACATTGAAATAACCAAAGAATGGAATTTTTAGAGTTAGAAGTTATTTAAAGGGAATCTAATTTTTTTATAATAAAGAAACTGATTAAGCAGTCAAAGTATCTCTCGTAAATTGAAAAATGAGTTAGTAGAACTTCTAGATCAACAGCTTTATTTACAAACAATGTGTTGAGAGGAAAGTAAAGTCTTCAACTCAACTGTTCTTAAACTACGAACAGTGAATGGACACTTTCAACTAGTACAAAAAGTCCAGCATTTAGTTTCAAAAAGGCAAATGCAGGATAGGGACAGTATGCTCTCATACTCATACCTATGAAAATGATTGAAAGGTTAGATAACCATGAGATTTGTATGTGTCAAACATATGAAATATATGTTTAAAAATCAACACAATACCAGCAAAAAATAAAGAGTCTTGCCAAAAAAGAGGTAGTAGGCAATAGATAGTCCATGCCATTCTGTAGGAATATAACACAAACTATGTATATAATTTTACATTTTCTTCTACTAGCCACATTTTTAAAAAGTAAAAAGAAACAGAATTTTAAAATATTTTTATTTAACCAAACATTTCTAAAATATTATTTCCACAAGTATTCAAAATAAAAAATATACAAGATGTTTTATAATCCTTATTCAAACTAAGTATTTGTACATTTCAAATTAGGCTAGTTAGAATTTCAAGTTCTCAACAGTTGCATGAGGCTAGCAAGTACCATATTGGATGTTAGGCATCTAAATTAAGCTATCAGACCCGGACATCATGTTTTAAGAGAATTCTAGGTTGACTACAGTTAAATCAGAATAATCAGCTCTCAAGAGCAGCATAAACACAAAATAGAGCAAATGTGAAGTTAGCCTGGAAATGTATAATTCTAAAAAGAGAAGACAGAAGGAATAGATACCAGATAACTTCAAATATTTGAAGCAATATTATCCAAAAGAGACAATAGATTTGTTCTACAATATTCCTTATTCCAATTCAATATGTAAAAATTATATAGAAGCAGATTCCAGGTTTGACATAGAATGGTTTTCCTACTTGTCTCATTAGAAGTACACAGATTGTCTACAGAATCATTAAATATGCAAGGTACAGTAATAACATTATTGTCTCCAATTATTTATTCCTGCCTATCTATGTCCTGTTCTAATGTAATTTTGATTCTCTGGATGAGACATATGGTGCCTCCTCTGCCTCTGGATTTGGCCATGTAACTTGTGCTTGCTACTGAGAAATTAGTTCTTTTGATGCAAAAGGTGATTTTTCATAACTACTCAGGCATTTCTAATTCTAATTTTGTCCTTTTCCATAATTACAAAAAACTCATATTCAGAACTTCACATAAAGTCATTTAAGTTCGTGTGTATAGGTCAATGGACCTACTATATATGTGAGTAAGTGTAGCTAAGTTCATCCACACAGAATAACACAGTGATGGATGGCTGCAGATGCAAGCCAGCCAGCCAAGGTCAGCTGATCACCTGACCTTCATCCCAGATCACGTAAACCCTGAAAACTTACAACCTAAGTAACTAAATGTAACTCATTGTTGCATGTCACTGAGGTTTTGAGGTTGTCTGATATGCATTTCTTTTCATAATGAATAACATACGGCATTTATGCTTCAAAATTGTGTCTGCCAGAAAAACTCTCATCCATAGAAACAAGTTACATATTCAAGTATCCATTTTTCACCTGAACAATGAGTTTCTGTTTATGCAGTGAATTATACTGGATAAATTTCAAACTAAAGACTGTTTCTTCCTATTTTAATGTCAATGTGAATTAGAAAAACGAAGGCTAGAAGGACTTTCCGTCGAGATTTGAGATATTATATTTATATGGTTAACTTTATAATGTTAAATCTGTACTTAACTGGTAAAGCAGTCATGAAACTGAATAAAGTAGTCTTACCTGAGCTGCTATAAAGTTAGCCAAAAAATAATTTTCATTTTCATAGGTATCTGCAAGCAAAAAAGGGAAAAGAATAAGCAACTACCCATTGCTTCAATTGTAGCAGATAATATCATGTACATCAGAACATATTTTAAGGGGCTCACAATTACTGGTCAGGATATTAATCAATGTCATGAGAAGCACTAAGGATAGTACCCAAGCACGTGTGCACAGGGCTCTAGGTTTAACCCCCAGCACCAAAACCAAGTACTAGCTGAGCCATATTTCACCCCAGGGATGTGTGAGTGGAAGGAGATATGGGAGGGGAGAGGAAATAGGAAGTTGGCAATGCCAGATAAACTAAGAATAGAGACAATAAGTGAAGTATGAGGCTGCTTGTTAGTCTGCACTGGTATAGGAAGTACATAGACATAAGAGTACTCACAACTATGATGAGAAAGTCTGGAAGAAGGGAAAGTGCTCAGGGATTCAGGCTCTCAGCTTGTATAGTCATGGATTCAAGTCCTATCTCTTGTACTTAGTAGTTGTGGAAGTAACTTAACATTTTATCATCTGCAGAATGGATTTAATAAATGTACCTATTTAATAGCCATAGGCATATAACATTCTGCTTGTTTACTCTCATCATCAGAGTGATCATCTCTATCTTCATTCTTCTTCTCTTCTTGCTCTTAGCTTGTCTTCCCATGGCACTAGACATACCAAGCTCTCCTGTCTTTGCAGTTTGCCCGTGCCCTTTCTGCTCTCTCAGGTTACAATAATGCTCCACAATACTCCAGGGTGACAAACCCTTTATGTAGCTATATCAAGCTATTACTGCACCTCCTTATTATTGCCATGTGTTTCAAAAGGTAACCTTGCTTTCTATTCTATATAGTCAACTCAAAAATTCAGTCTTAGATCTCCTACACTCCTCCTGTATTTCATTTTTTCTCTGAATCTGATCCTTTCAAAGTCACAAGTGACATAGTGTATTAAACCTAAATATCTCCTCAAGGCATTCAGAACTTTTACACACCTGTCCTTACATACCTCCCCCGCCTTAAACTACAGTGGTCACTATTTATCCATGGGGGACATGTTCCAAGACTCCTGGTGGATGCCTGAAACCATGATAGTGCAGAAACCTATATGCACTATGTTCTGTTCTATACATACATACCTATGATAAAGTGTAATTTATAAATTAGTCATACTAACAGATGACAAAAATAATAAAAGGACAATTATAACAGTATACTTTAAGAAAATTTTGCATTTTGGGGCCAAAATTCAGTTAAACACAAGCACTGCAGTACTTCAACTGTTGGTCTGATAACTGAGATGGATTCTAAGTGACTAAAAGGAAGATGGTTTATACATCATGGATACACTGGAGAAAGAGATAACTGATGCCCTGGGTAGAATGAAGCAGGATGGCATGAGGTTTGCTCATGCTACTCAGAATAGCATACAACTTAAAACTCAATGCTTATTGCTGGAATTTTCTATTTCATATTTTTGTAGTATGCTTGATGACAAGTAACTGAAACCATGAAATAGAGAGGCTTAATTTAATTAAAGTACAATAAATTCACAAGTGGAATACCATGGTGAAACCCACTTGAACAACGAATATACATTTTACAAAATGAAGGACAGGAGTGTACAACAGGTCATGTTAGGGAGTGGGCTCTAGTGGGAGGAGGAGGGTGAATATGGTCAATGTACTTGATATGTGTGTATGAAAATAGAACAATGAAAACTGTTAAACTTGTTTTAAGGAGAGAGTGGAAAGGGGGAGAATGATGGTGGAGGTCAACATAACCAAGGTACATCATAAGCTATATGGAAATGTCACAATAAAACATTTTGTACAACTAATATATGCCAATAAAAATGGTTTTGAAAAGTGAAACTTCTAATGGGGAACTGTTGCACATCTCAGTTGATACCTACTTTACTCATTACCCTCATGTGGCTTCTATAACTCTTGCTATTTCTTTTCTTCTACTCGAGATCCTCCTGCCTCCACCTCCTGAATGCTAGGATTACATGCATGTACCACCACACCTGGCTTAAAAGTTCACCTCTCATATAGACGTAACTTATGAAAAAATAGGTATTTCTAAAAGACAATACAAGAGATTCTAGCACACTTAATAAATATCATTCTTAAATTTAAAATTTGGAATTGTAACATATTATTATCTTAAATTTTTGGCTCCTGACACTCCCTGGAGACCTGGTTCAAGTGGCAGGGAGACCTCCTTTTCTGACTTTTGGATTTCTTATTATATTACTAACCACACTAATTTTAATGTAGAGCAATTTTATTTATCTTGAACAATAATAACACATTTTATTCAAAATCCATGTGCTTGAAATTTTCTCCATATATTAAATAATTTTATCTGCATAAACACATGCCATATGGGTGCCTCATATATTAGGTAAAGACTTACAGAAAAGAAAGTAAAGCAAGTACCAAAAGACTGAGATATATTCAAACCTACATCTAGGGTTTCAATTTCAACATATATGCCTATTCATAGAACATATTTATAGACTGACAATTTAAAAAGAAAGCTCAAAGACTGAACTGAACTCTGAAAAGAAACATCATCTCATCACTTCATATCTCTCCTTTTAGCAAGTTTTCGCCCATAATTTAGCAATCAAATAACTTAAAAAATATCTGTCTCATATATTATGTTAAATGAATACAGAATTATATTATCTATAAACTGTTAAGAAAAAATTTTAAATGTTATCTATAATGCCATCACCATCAAAACTTGGAATGCACTTAGTAAAATATACTTAATGAAATGTGTGTAAAACTCATGTACTGAAAATTATAAAACTGCTGACAGTAATTACAGAAGACCTAAGTACATGAAAGTTATGTAAGATATAGATATATAGATTATTGATAGATGATGGATAGATATTCCAAAATTGGTCTATAGAATTAAAATAATTCTATTCAAAATTCCAGCAAGTTTGTTTTGTTATTAAAAAATTAAGAAGCCAAATTACAAATCTGTATGAAATATAAAGCAGTTAAATAGTCAAAACAATTTAGAAAAAGAAGAAAAAAGTAGAACATATCCAACCTTATTTTAAAGCCACCATAAAGGTACACTAGTCAAGACAGTAGGGTGTTGGCACACAGAGCAATAGAGTGCAACAAATAATCCAAAAATGAACTCCAAGTCATGTATGGCTTCCTGATATCTGACAAGTGTCAAATAATGAAGTAAATAAAACATTGTGTTTTTTCTTTTCTTGTTAGAACAACTGGATAAATATGTGAGAAAAAGAACACGATTAACTTGACAAACATACATACACACATACAAAATTTAATACAAAATAGACATTGGTCTAAATGTAAAATCTAAGGCTTTAAAACTTTACACAATGCAGAACAATATTTTATAACCCTTGGTTAGGTCAAGACACGAGAGGCAGAAATCATAAAATATAAACCATGAATTACTTGATTCTGATCAACAATAAACTTCGCTTTTCACAAGATACAATAATGGAACTGAAAAAGTAAGCCACAGAAGGAGAGTTGTTTGCCTGATAAAGGACTGGCATACATAATTCCTACAGTTCAATGATGAAAAGACAAACATTGCAACAAAAAATGGGCAAAAGATTTGAAACAGAACCTCATACAAAAGGCCAATAATGAAAACAAGATATGTTGTCAAGCATCAAGGAAATGCAAATTAAGTTTGCAAACCCATGGACTGTCTATCTACTAGAAGAGTTCAAATTTTTAAACTGAAAATGCCAAATGTTAGTGAAACAGTTATAGACACAGACACACTCAATTATCATTGTTAGTGTGGAGGACAGAATAGGAGTGTTAGAAAATAATTTGGCAATTTCTTCAAAAAGTAAACATCCACTTACATGGTCCAGTTTTTACCCAAGGAAAATGAAAACATGTAGTCACAAAGTGACCAAACAATTATGGCAGATTTATGCATCATGAAACAATTTAACTCCAAAATGGAACAACTCAATATTCATCAGTAAGTATATGGGCAAATGAATTGTGGTATCCACACAATGGAATGTTATTCAGTAATGAAAAGTAATTAGCTCCTTTCACAGGCAGCATGAGTGAATTTAAAGAGCATTTTGCTAAGTGAAAAAAGCTTAGAATACACACTGAAAAAGAACACACAAAAGAATACACACTTGTCTGTGTCTACTTAAATAAAACATAAGAAAAACAGCTCTAAAACATAGTGAGAGAAGTCAGAACAGGGTTTCCAGAGCCTGCAAGCTGGGCTAGAGAAAAGAATAAAGGGAACTTATGGGTTATGAAAAAATCCTATATTGTGATTACAGTGGTGGCTGCACAGCTGTTTATAGTTTTGTTCCTCAAAACTTAAAGAAAACAAAAAAGGTTATTTGTCTAAACTTAAAGTACTCTATTCTTAAAATGGATACATTTTAATTATGTAAATTAAAATACTTTTATTTATTTTTATTTATTATTTTGGCAGCACTGGGGTTTGAACTCTGAGCCTTGATCTTGCTAGGCCGGCACTCTATCACTTGAGCTGTGCCTACAGCCCTTTTTGCTCTAGTTCTTTTTCAGATAGGGTTTCACACATTTTGCTGGAGCCAGCCTCAGACTGTGATCTTCCTACTTATGCCTCTGCATATCTCAAATTACAGACATGTTCTACCACACCTTGTTTTGTTTGTTGAGATGGGTCTCACTATCTTTTTTTGTCTAGCCTGGCCTCAAAAAATGATCCTCCCAATCTCTGCTTCCTGAGTAGCTGAGATTACAGTTGTGAGCCATTGCACCCAATTATATCTCTTTTAAATTAATTAAAAGACAATAATTTCACTTTAGGAATATACTCTGTGGAAAAAATCTAAAATGTAAACTAAGACTAGTACTCAAAACTGCTATTTATAACAATGGAAATTGAAATCATCCTATATAAAGTATTCTAGAGTTAGATAAAGGATGGAATATGTTCTCAATAGAATATGTAACCATGATGGTGTTTATAAGGAGTAGATAATGACACCTAGATATATGTCTGCCATTATCTTAAGGAAAATAAACAAGACTCACAAGTTAAATTTATAGTATGTTTTCAGCTCTAGAAAATGTTAACATTGTTTTAAATTATAAATATAAAAGCAAACAGCAATACAGCAAAATATTAAAAGTGGTTATTTTTTTTCTAATTTTCTACCTCTAAAGCCTTGTAAAGAGAACATTTCATTCTTCAATAAGGATAAGATTATCCTTATGGTAAGAAAACTAAAAAGAAGAAACCTTTAGAAGTATCAATAGTGAAAAATAAGCTATTTTCAGAAATGTGGTGTATTAGAAGATCATGCCATTGCATCCAGAGTAATAAGCAGTGGAAAGTGATGGCTGGTTGCTAGCGGTGTGTCTTTAGAAATGTCTAAAGAAGAAGGCAGTCTCATTATAACGACAGATCTATCTAAGATAGAATAAGAACAGCTCTGGGTTTGGGGGGAAATATACAAAGTACAAAGCATCTTTTTGGTAATACTTAATTTCCAATTTATGAGTCACCAAGAAATTTTCTAGACTCTAATTTGTCTCCTGAGTAGGTTCACTTATGAGGAAAAGATTCCTGGTATGGATGGCTGCGCAATAGAGCCATGCTTGTGTCTCACAGAGAAGGAAACAACTGTCGAACTGATATTTGCATCCACAAACTGTGGGGAGTAACATCCCTGGCTGAATCTGTAACATCAGGTTTCCAAACCTGTAATACTGGAACCAACCCTGGTCTGTAATAATTTTTGTATAATGCATATGAACAGGCAAAAGTTGAAAATTTTCTCTCAACATCATTGCTTCTTTGGCAGTAGCAGACACAGAGACAGTTTTTCATTTCCCACTAGTGCATGCTGAGCCTCTGTGGTGTGTTTTCTCTGACTGCTCTGATGCATGGGGACCCTGGGAAATTCATACTTACCGATACTTTGTCCATCATCCCAGAACATCTGACCTTCGGCCTTCCCATTGTCATCCAAAGCAACAGTCAATCCCATAAAATTTTGTCGGCTATAAAAAAAAAGAGTTATTTTTCACTGGGTTGTATGTTGTAAGGAAGAAGAACAGTTTCTGTTGAAAATATGACTTCTTCAAAAATAGAAGAAATGTTAATAAATATGGCATAAAGTTCTAAAGATAAGTGAACAAGATCAATACTAATTACTTAATGTAACATCAGTTTAATTTCAAATTTCAAAAAGTAAATAAAAACAACTATACATATTACAATAATATGATTAGATATGAATTCTTTTAGGAAGAAACTCAAGAGAAAAGAACAAAAAGAACACTTTATAATTTTCACATTGCTACAGAACCAAGTATGTAACTTAGCACTCACAGTCCCATATGATCCAACCCCGACTTGCTTGATTTTTATATATTTTATCCCTTCCTTTATGTTCCAGTTAAATTAAACCACTTACTATTCCCCAAACCCAATTCATTCTTCACTTGTCGTCCTTTAAGCCTCTCTCCTTTTTTACAAACATGCAAATCCTACTCGTTATTCAAGACCTGCTCAAATTCCTCTTTTATGTAAAACTGTGCTTTACACCACAGGCTGAAACTTCTCTTGTGTTATTGATGCCTTTCTTGACTCAACATACTCTTCTTAATCTTGTACAGATCTAAAATAATTGTGCATGTGGGGGGTGAAATCTTCCCTTGGGTTGATTGAGGTAGGCCTGGGAAGCCATCACAAGTGAAGGTGCTCACGAATACCCCTCCCCTTCTTAATAGTGTGGGAAGAGGAAGATGCTTCTGCTGTCAGGAAAACTTCTGTTAAGAAAAAGTTTGCTTTTGACACAGCACTACAGATAAAAGATTTGCCCAAAACTGACTTCATGATCCTCTAGATCCTACTCAGAAGGTACCCACAGAATCCAATCAATAAACCAATAAAGATCCAACTAACAAAACAAACTGCAATTTTGTTTATTTATGCTCGTAGGTGAAATAGCCTCATTTATGGTGAAATGAGGCCATCAAACACTGCCTCCTCTTACCTGAAGTAAGTATTGATTGCAGGTTGTTGCCAGGGCAGGATATGACCCCCTCTAATATGAAGGTTGATGTGGTCAAGAGGAGCCTTCAGGGTTTTCCACATGCCTGTTGATTTTTGGCCAGACTCCTACAAGGAAAGGTATAGGCAAAGAATGGTGACAGAGAAACAGATTAAATGAGTGCATGCTTTATCAACAGTCCTTCCTTTCTAAGGAAACATGTTGGAAAATCAGCTAAACACTGCAAACTTCAGAAGAAAAATCTTTTTCATTTTTGCTTAAGTCTCTGAAAATCTAGTCTTCTCTCTGTGGGTCCAGAAAAGACAGGAGACGAGTATCTATGGGACATAGTGCTCAGATATTGTCTACCTATGCTTTTACGTTTGCCTTCATTTACATGAACATTGTCAAGGCTGAAAAGATTGGAAGTTACTGTCTTACAAAATATGATCTGGGAAGGAGGAGAAAGCTCTTAGCCGCTCCAGGCTGCATAGAGCAATCTGTCTCCTCACAAATACACTTGTACTTACTGTGCTACAGTCATACCACCAGCCTCTGGGGAAGTAAGCACTGATCTCAAAGGTGTTCTGAAACATAAAACCACACGCTACTATAAATATTCCAGTAAGGAAATCATTTTAACTTTCAAAATACTTTCTGTAGAATTAATGTAAAAATAAAATTTTATTAGGATGTTGACAAGTTGAGAGATTTTATTGAAAAAGATTCTGGAAAATTCTTCAAGAATTTTCACAGAAAAATAAATTTTATGGAAAGTAAATCGTTAAAGAGTATAAGATAACAAAATTCCAAAATGAGAAATCAGTGCTGTTGAGTTTTCATTAATGGAGATTTTTTTTAAAAAATGTAAAACTTCAGATGGTTTAGATTGTCATTTGTTGAAAATAGTGAGCTGGACAAGACAAGTGATCTTTAAAGTGGTTTTCTTATGAATCTAGATTATATGATTAGAAGGCTTCTGATATGTGATGAAAAACTCACACTTTCCAGCACAGGGCTGATCAAGATGGCAGGGCCCAACATGAACTGGCGGTCTATATCCCACGTTGTATTGTCATCTGTAAACCTTAAAAAATAAATATAGAAAACTCACCCATACTCTTACAATTGTCTAAGAGGATTACTTACAAGACATGTCCAGACCTGCTGCTTCAGGAAAGAGGTTGTACTCACTCATGGAAAAGAGGTCGGACCACAGTGCTGCCTTCAGCATGGGCTTTGTGCATCAGCGTGTAGAAATAAGGCAGAAGGGTGTATCTGGTCTGCAGGGCTTTTCTTGAGTACATCTCAAAGGTTGAATTCCAGGCCACAGGATCTTGTCTCTAAAAAGATAAGGGAGCATATGACCAAGTAACTCTTCATCACTCCGTCCTAGTAGTATCAAAAAAGTATCATCAAGCACCTTATATAAGTTACACACCACTTCTCCCTTCATTTCTATTATACTCTTTCCCTTGCCACATGCAAACTGGAGTTGTTGCTCCTCTTCTTTATGCTGATTCCCAGATTCCCCACAGAGCTAACTTTGGCTCTGTACATGTGCAAAGTCTCATAGATTAAGTCTATATGCTGCACTGATATATCTCAAATGGATATGTAAAACACAAATTCAATATTCTTGAAAGTAAAAGGGGGTATCTCACATTTAAATCCCATGGGGAGCAATAAAAACTTCTCTCCTCTAGGTACTAGTTCCCTGGGAGATGAGGAAAATGATATTCTTTAAAGGTTATTAGTAACTCTGGAGCTCTGAACTTTGTGGGTGTTCCAAGAAATGGAGGTCCTGGTGATCTTTTTTATTTTGTCAGGAAGTAAGTATGACACTTTTGTGATTTAAAAAAGATGTGATTTGAGGATAAAAATGCATCTTCAGCATGAGCAACAGCTGCCTCACCCTTGTCCCAATGTTGTTGTGGTTCCTGGAAAATGGATAAAATGCCCCCAGTTGCATCCAGCGAGCACACATCTCATACTCAGCATTTCCAAAGAACCCACAGATATCTGCTCCTGTCTGAGAAGATGCAAAATCAGACAATGAAGGCTGTAGTTACATGAAATCTGTATAATTAGCAATGGCCCCAATATGACTTACATAAGATATTCCAAAGAGACTGAACTCCATCATGCCTGCAATGAGACAATATGGCTATGTTAGACAAAGAAGACCTTTGGGAAGGGGAAGTTAGACCTGACTTTCCTTTATCCTGTTAAAAACCTGGGCAACTCATGATGATAATATCAAAAGATGGGTATAAATTATGACTTACACCCAAAGAGAACTCTAGACATACTCAGTGTAGCTGAATACTGCACACTCCAGTACCCATCCCATGACCAGCAGAAGCCCCTGGGAACAAGCCTTACACACCAATGATAGATTTCCCTAGCTGGTCCCACGCAGCTGTGTTGTCTCCCAGCCAGTGTCCTCCCCAGCGTCCAGAAGAGGGGAATGTGGAGCGGGTAATGATGATCCCTCGCTGTCCTGTCACCTCCTGCATGGCTCTAATTAGAAAAGAACAAAAATGAAAATGCGAATTTCAAGATGGACAGCCATGAAACTTTATGACAAAGCAGCTGCAGCTTGGAACATGAAGCAGCAGTGTTGTTCCACTGGAAGTCAGAGAACTTCTTCACTAAAAGAATCTGCTATCTCAAAGGGATGTTAAGAATCCCAACCAACTCACAGTCAGACAGCAGAAGCATATCTGCACCTAGAATGAAGATTTCATTATTCAAGTTCTAACTAGCTGGTTACCTATGTGCAGGCAAGAGAGTTGGAGTGAGAGAAAGATCACCTGTTTATTAAGCAATTCCTGTATCCCAGCCAAATTCATGTGTGTGTCACACAACCTCAAGAGGAAGGTCCCCTGTACTCCTGCTGCTGTTAGGAAACTGAGGCTCAGGGAAGTTAAGTAATTTACCAGAGATCACTTAAAGGATGATAAGGTAGATCTAGGATCTGGGTTATAGTGTATATGGTTCTTGGTAATATTCACTCTGCTATACTTCAAAAAGAAGGATATATTTTGCACATATAGGCAAAGATCTTTAAAAAGCTCTCAAAAGAGATGGATCTTTTGCATGTATCCATAGGAAAGAAATAAAACCAAGTGCGTGAAAGAAAAATCAATAGAACAAAAGAAGAACAAATATCAACAGAACCTAGTGTGTTCCCAATCCAAATATTTGCCAAAGAAAACATCGTAAGTCATTAGACAAAGATGAATTTAATTAATGATGTTAGGAAAAGAAGCTATCCACTGTAGTGAAAACTGATAACTAACCCATTTAGGACATTTCCAATATTTCATACCCAAATAAGTCTAAAAATTAATGGAGGTATACACACATACTCTAATACAACTGAATATATATAATATACCACTTGATTTCTACAAGGGAAAGGAATTTTAAAGAAAAAAACAATAAACAAAACCTAATGAGGTATGAGGTATAGATTTGCCTACATACAAATTGAAAGTATGTATATGCGTTTATGTATGTGCATGCATATATGGCAAAAGAATGGGGGTGGGTGCTTGGACTTTTATAATCTAGGTGGGAAATAATGAAGGTCTTCAATGAGCCAGAGGTGTAGAGTAAGAGTGGATGTGAATGATACAAAGAACTTTGTCACTAACTGAAAGTTAAAAAAAAAGGAAAAATGTAGGAAGATCTAAATGACTATTTAAATGTGGTTGCATTCACTTAAATGAAGAATGCAGGAGAACAAGTTCAAAGAAAAAGTAATTATTTCAACATTTAAAGTATAATATTTGAAGTGCCTATGTGTCACCAGAAATGAGACATTTAATGAGCGATTCTGCGTTTGAAACTGAAGAGAGGCTGGACTGGGAACAGAATTGAGGGTCATATGTATTCATAAGGCATTTAAATATGAGAGAGAGAGAGAAAAAAAATACCCCAGGGAAAGGCTATCTATATGGGGTAAAAGTAAGACAGTGGAACACCAGTCCATGAGAAGCACAGACTTGGAAGTACCGGGAAAGAAAATGATCAAAAAACTTGCAGAAAAGTGGCCAGGGAAGCCAATATTTAAATAATCAGATTTGATATAGGAAAAACACAGTCAAGAGCCTCAGAAATTAGCAAGAGCCCAAGGAGCTTCTCCAGCAAGTTATAACCCTCAAGTCCAAGAGAAAGGAGCCAGCAGGCATACCAGCAGAGAAGTGTTAGTAATCAAAACCAATCATTGATCCTGTGCTCTGAGCTCCATGGTCAACAATGGTACTCAGGGACTGACAGAGGAGGACATCTTCACAAGACAGAATAAAGTCACCCAGTGCTTGAACACAGAAAACAAATAGACATGATCCCTGCCTTCCACAGAGTAAATAGAGGAGAGAACCTTCAAAATGTGGGTCATACTGTAAGGTCAGTAGTTAACAAAAACAGACAGATCAGACTAAGATGTTTCATGGAGGAAAAAGACTTAAGCTGGGGCTTTAGACCATACATGCTGAAGGGAAGCCCAAAGTCCAGATAAACACTTGTGATTTACAGGAAGTAAAGAAATTTAAGAACATGTACGTACAGTTCTTTCAAACAACCTAGATATGAAGGGAAATATAGAGACTGGGAAATAGTTCAAGAAGGATATGAGCCAGAAATCAGAAAGAATAGTTCATGCTCAAATGCTGGGGGAAAGAAGTAAAGAAAAGAAACATTGCTAAGATTTACCAAGTGTTTACAAGACACTTGTGGGTTCATTGTATCATTTGATTTTCATGAAGGTACAGGTACTATGGTTTTCCCAATTTGAAAGATGGAAAAGCTTAGCTAGTAAGTGGAATTAGTGACTTGTGAAGCACTGAGCTCATTTCAAGGCCTAAATTCTAAACCAATACATCAAAAGAGCAGAAGAAAACAAAGATAGCTCATGAAGAAATGAGCATTCATGAAATATCACTTGTGGAGCAGGCTTCCAGGAGGGGGAGCAGGAAGGGATGGCATGTGAGAAAGATGAGGCTTCCCGGCAGAGGGAAAATGGGATGGCATGTGGAAGGGTGAGGTTCAGCTAGAAACTCCAGCAAGTTTCCATCTTACTGCTGCATTTGTGACCGGCAAGCCCTTTCTCTGATGAGAGAAAATTTGTACTCTTATTTTGAGACACATTCAGATGTCATTTCTATGAAGTCTTTCTGGATGACTTGAATAGTTATTTCGCTTTCTCTCTGTTTAACTCTTCTAAATAGATAAGGGACTCCTTAAGGTCTGGGACTATATTCCAAGACTATAACCTTACCTCAGACAGTATGTCTGTGTCTGAGGTAAGGTTAAATCAGAGGGTGTTAAAATATCTACTTGTTTTCTGTGTGTTTCCTAGAAGACATGAATCACAAATCACAAATAAAATCGCAGCTTTAGCACCTGCAATGGTTCTAGCACAGTGCTAATGTTTTGGTGACCAGTTCCCTGGAGCTGTAATTTTTTTCTACTTCTGGGTCTGAGGTAGAAAAAAAATTTTTTTCGTAGTACTGGGGTTTTGAATTTAAGGCCTCACCTTTGCTAAGCAGGCAAGACAGTAAAAGAATAACTGAAAGATGAGGAAGTAAAGAAAGAGGGAAGGCAAGAAAAATTTTGTTTAAAAAATCAAGGAGGACCATGTTCTTGGAGTGCAGAGCACCCTCACTGTGGTTGGCCCAAAGTCAAACACCCAGCATTCTTGTAAGCCCTGGCAGTGGAGGCAGAAGGCTCAGATACTTTGGAAATGGGCATAGAAGTAGAAAAGATCACTCTGTCTTGGGAAAAGCTTTTAAAAAACAATCTGGAATTTCCCCATAAAAATGGGAATTATGTTATCACTGCTACATTTAGAGTCCAGAGGAAGTCCCTGCATCTAATTGGGTCTCAATGACTTTTTGACAAGAGAATGTTTATAGAAAAACTAAGCTAAAACCAAGCACAAAATAGTGAAATGAGGACATCTGTGAACTTTTTCTCCCAATGAAACAATGACAATATAAGCAGAACAATTAAAAGCAACCATTTTTAGAACTCCAGAATGAATTAGCCACAGAAAAGAAATGAAAAATCCTATATCCAAGAGAAACTATTAAACCTTGGCATTCTCCCTTAGGGCTATTTTCTCCTCACCTCATCTTCAGCTTGAGGCCACAGCAACTGAAAGCCAAACATATTTAGAGCTCTATAAAAAGTACCATCATAAAGCACATTAAATATTTCATTCCAACTTCCTGTTCCATAAAAAATTTCTATTTCCAGAGTGCTGTGGCCAGTTTGACCAGCGCTCAGAGCCAGAGGTAGAAAAAAATTACAGCTCCAGGGAAGTGGCTACCAAAACATTAGCACTGTGCTAGAACCATGGCAGATGCTAAGGCTGGGATTGTATTTGTGATTTGACTGGGAATGCAAAGATATAGCCAAGAGAACTAGAAACATAGTTCTGCTACATATTTATGGAGACCTAGCAGGCTGTGCATTCCTACGCTCTGTGCATGCCTACAAGAGCTATCAAGGAAGAAGGCTGCAATAGCTCACTTCTGGCTGGACCTGAAAATCTGAAAGGTAAAGTTTTCTTATAAACTCCCTGAAGTTTGCAGGTGTCCTTTCTGGCAAATAGTAGTAGATATAAATGTAAGGCATTTGGGGTGACTGACATGGCCTTAATTTAGGCAGGCTGTTTCCTGACTCTAGGTCTTTGAACTCCCATTTCTTAGAGTATTTTCTTTAGAAAAGCTCTAATTGTGAATTCTTTATCTGCCCCTTTGTGATGTAAATCTTTTTAAAGTCTTGCTTGCTAGTTTTACTACCTGCAAATGTCTTTCTCAAGGACTCAAGAGAATCCATATGAAATGTAATTTTCATGGAAGACACTGTGGCCCTATCTCCCAGTCTCTGAAGAAAGGTAGGATCCTAACTTCAGCAGGTATTAGTCCAAGTGGTAAAAGGAGCTCCTATCATAAAGACAGGAAAAAGTTTACTTTTTCTGTGAGTAATACCAATTAGCAAACACAGGTGTCCTACATTTTCCCAACCCCAGCTCTCAAAAATTCTCCAGACCTTTGTTTCAGTGGAATTGAGCACAGAATTGAATTCTGGTCTCTCTCATGTTTTGCAGTAGCTTTTGAATAAAGTTCCTTTTCTGTTTAACTTTACGTAGCGAAAGGTTTTCTTTGACAAGGGAATTCTTCTGACCAGTCATTGGACATTGAATCTTATTGACCCAGGGGTACACCCAAAGAAACTAAGCTTAAAAATGGAGGGAAAAAAGTAGTAGAGAATTTAGCTGCACATTCTGCAAGAAAACAGAGAATATATAGAAACAGCAAGAAAATTTGCTGAACAGATAAGCAACTACAAGTAAAGCAAGAACAAATCCTGTGGGCACTGGAGGAAGGATCTTATGCTAGAACTGTCACAATTTATTATCCAAAATGTTTAGCTTTCAACATCAAAAAAATAAGTCAAAGAAATAGAAAAATATGTCATATGCACAGGATAAAAAAGCAGTCAATGGAGTATGTTGCTAAGGTAACTTAGTAGAGGACTTTTAATTAGCTATTATAAATATGTTCAAAGAATTAGAAGGAAGCATATCTAAAAGATTAAAGGTAAGCATAACCATATTATGCCACTATATAAAGAAGTAGAAGTTGCTAACAAAGAAACCAAATTGAAATTTTGAAGGTAAAAAAACACAATAATGGAAGTTAAAAATTCCCTAGAGTTAACTGGACTCAGACTCAGATTTGATATTATAGAACAGTCAGCAAACTTGATCAACATGGATGAACCAGTTTAAGGAACAAAGAGAAAAAAACAAGTGGAAAAAACAAACAGAGCCTCAGAGACTTGCAGGACACTACCAAGCACATATGCTGAAAGGAAATCTCGGAGAAAAGAAGAGAAAAAGGAGCAGCAAAATATTTGAAAAATAACGACAAAAAATTTGTCCACTGAAAACTATAAATTATTGTTGAAAAAAATTAGAGAAGATCTAAATAAATGGAAAGACATCTCACACTAATAGAGCAGAAGATTTAATATTGTTAAGATGGAAATACTCCCCCAACTGATCTGCAAATTCAGTGTAATCCCTGTCAAAATGCTGCTTGCTATTTTGTGCAAATTAACCAGCTGATCTTAAAATTAATACCAAATGCCAGGGAACTGCAATAACCAAAACAATCTTGAAGAAGGACAAAATTAGAAGATTTATACCTCATAAGTTAAGGCAGTGTATACTGTATGAAAATAGAGATAAGTGAAATAGAATTGAGAGTCCATAAATAATTCTTCTCATTTATTGTTGGCTGATTTTTACAAGATGCAGACAATTCAATGGGCAAAAGAATGGACTTTTCAGTGAACTGGGACAACTGGATTGCCACATGCAAAAGAATGAAATTGAACTCCTTCCTCACACCACAAATCACATAAAATGAACTCAAAATGAATCATGACCTTGAGTTAGGCAATAGCTTCTTTGCTATGACACCAAAAGTACAATTGACAAACAAGTGAATTAACAAATAAATAATTGAATAAATAATACTTTTGCAAAATTAAATGTTTCAAAGGCCATCATTATAGAAGTGAGAGGACAGTCTACAGAATAAGAGAAAATACTTTCAAGTCATATGTCTAACAAGGAACTTGTATCCAGAATACACAAAGAATTTTTAGGATTCAATAATAAACACAAACCAGGTGCCGGTGGCTCACACCTATAATCCTCGCTAATCAGAAGGAAGAGATCAGGAGGATCTCAGTTTGAAGCAAGCTTAGGCAACTAGTCTGAGAGACCCTATCTCAAAAATATCTATCACAAAAAGGCTTGGTGGAGTGGCTCAAGGTCAAGGCCCTGAATGCCAGCCCCAGTACCACAAAAAAAATGATGATAATAATAATAAACACAAATAAAAATAGGCAAAAGATTTGAATGGACATTTCTGCAAAGATGCACAAATGGCCAATAAGCAAACAATACTCAATAGCATTGATCACTGGGGAGATGAAGTCAAGACAATTAGATATACTTCACACCCATTAGAATGTCCATGGTAAAAATAAAAGCCGAACAATACCAAGGTTTGAAAGGATGTAGAGATGCTGCAACCTTCATTCATTACTAGTGGAAGTTAAAATAGTTTTCTCAATACCAAACTCTTTAGAAAACAGGCATTTCTGCAAAATATTAAACAGACAGTTGCCATATGTTCTACAATTGTCACTCCTAAATACATATCCAAGAAAAGGGAAACATTTTTCCCTTCAAAATCTTGCAATAAATGTACACACATCTCAATTCATAGTAGCCAAAAATATTTAAATGTAGTTAAAATGTCTAAATGACTGATGGATAAACAAAATGTGGTATATCTATATAATGGAGTATTATTTATCAGTAAAAGGGAATGAAGTACTGATGCATAGTACAAAATAGATGAACCTTGAAAACAGCAGAATAAGTGGAAGAATCCAGACACAAAAGAAAACATATTGCATGGATCTATTTTATGAAATATATAGAACAGATATTGTATATAGCTAGAAAGTAGATTACTGGTGACTGGGGTTCAGGAATTGGGGACAAGGGTAGGAATGACTGTTAATGGGTCAATGTTTTCCTTTTTGAGTGATAAAAATGTTCTTAAATTATATTTTAGTAATGGCTTCATGATTCTGTGAATATAGCATAATACCATGCAACTGCTCACTTTAAATAGGTGAGTTTAACAACTTAAATGATAAATTTACTCAGAGATATTGTGGTTACACAATCAGGACTGATATTTTGATTCATTTTTTTAACTGGCACCTTGTAGGTACAAGCACAACACAAATATTAAACAGTAAAAGTAACAATGTAGAAAACGATCTTTGCTGCCAGTGATGCAAACACACTCACTTGTAGGTGACTCTGGTCTGGGACCACCCGTACAGGCTGTGCACATCATAGTGCTGCACCAGGGAGCCATCTGGCAGGATCTGCTCACTCTCCATGCACAGGGTCTTGCTGCTGAGGCCTTTGCCTCTAGATTCCAAGTCTGAGGGGAAATGTTGTATTACTTCCCAAACAACTTGATTCACAAGCTCACTAGAAACACCCATCATTTCAGCATTTCTCTACGTCCAGCAATAACTTTGTTAGGGCCAATTTATCGAGTGTTTTAATGTACAAAAGCAACACCACGTGACTTAACAGTTACTAAGTGTAAGAACAGGGCATGGGCTGGAAAAAACACGTGCCTTTTTGCTCCAACTCTAACCTAATTTAGAGAAGGCTGTCAGCCCATTTTTCAACATGACAATCTCTTTCATTGTTAGGACAGTGTTTTCCACAAGATGGAAATCTTCTCAAGGGAATAGATCAGTTATGTATCAATATCTAAATCTTTCTGATTTGTCAGCATGTGCTTGACACATATTAAATTGAGGATGAAGGAAAAACCTGAATGAATGAGATCTCCTGTTTGTACTGTTTGTACTGCAGTATGACCAAGGAGTCTCTTCCAGGAAGCATCCAAACATGGACGGGGCGTTCAGGGACTCTGAGTGGGGGGTTACTTAAATCAGTTCATAGTTATCAATACAAATGCATTTCTTGACTTCTTTAATAACACAACATGTCATTACTTCTACACTTGATTAGTCATTTATTAATTTGTACTTATCAAGGTTGCTCTATTTAGGATTTTATGTGATGGTGAGAGTATGTTCTTCTATACTCCCTCCCAAATAGGCTTCATTTGACAGTAAGAGGGAGACTTTCTGTGTTTTTGAGCAGAAAGGAATTTGATAAAGTAATCCTTTTTACTTACATGGCATATAGGCTGGGTTATTAAGAATTTCATTTCGGCAACCCTCAACAGATCCATCCACAAAGTTTGACGGTTCATTCATATCCTGAAATAAGTAAGCAAAAAATATTTTGTCATGTTAAAGGCAGTATGACCTTTGCTATAAATGACACTAATGTCACAGAATTGACCAAGTTGTATCGAAGCCTTTACCTCATTCAGTGGCTGAGTTATTCTCTTCAATCCCTAGCATTGACCAAAATGGACTCTTAAGAATCCATGTCCACTTCAATAGAGTGTTCAACTCCTTCTAGCTTACTTGGCACTCTTAACTTATGAGGGTTGTGTTATAATGGCAAAAACACAGAAAATGCTGGATCCAGGGCCTAAGGAAATCTCTTAGTCCATCTCCCCACACAAGAAGACCCTCTTTGTTTTTCTGCCTTTGGATCACTTACTTTGTATCTGAGAGCTAAGATATTCACGCTTTCCCTTCTTCTCGTTCTGTCATGTACTGCAGGTTGTGCTTTCACACTTCTGGATAGGTTTGGCCAATGGGAGAGGTAGGAGGGTTGGGGGTAAGAGAGACCAGGCTCTGGCACCTCCAGTAAGTAGTGTATCTTCTTACTGGACTCTGACTTCTACCCGACAGTATGTCCCCGGGCAGACCCACAGTAATCTCTGCTATTCTTGGTTCCAGACCTAGATTCTGTAACAACACCTCTCCCTTTCATTTTCTTCAGTACAAGCTGCCTTCTTTGCTAGTCTGTGAATTGTCCTCACATGTTTTAACTTTTAAATGTCCAAAGAACAATACCTAAAGGTGCACTTACAATCCATAGTCCATCAAACTTCAAGCTCTTCTCTGGCTCCCGAGGGTTTGAATGTAGCTCTTCTATCTCTTTCTTCCACCAGACAGCTGTGCTATTACGTAAGAAGTCAGGAAAAGCCACGTGGGCCCTGTACAGCTGTAAGAGTACATCATGGTGATGTCCCTACCTATCCAGGAAGAAGAATCCTGGGACCAGGATGAGGAAATGAGCAGGTATTTGTGCCTGCCCAGATCCTAGCCCAGTCTCTGACCTAACCTCAGGTCTACTGCTTCTGCTGCAGAGTTTACAGTAGACACAAAGATTGGGGAAAGCTGCTTTCACTCTGAATTTTCTGAGAAAGAGGTCAGATGACATTAAAGTCCCTTTTAAACAAATAATCTTGTTTTGTGACCAGATATTTAGCAATGGAAACTAGAAAATTAATAATCAGTTTCTAAACAATCAAATTTTAGAGATACAAATCATTTTTTCTAGACTTGTGAAAGGCAACGAAGGAGGACTTATCCTCTAGAAGAAAGTGAGCTCCACAGTAGTGTAGTGACAGATGCCAGGCTGATACTGTAGCAAGGGCTGAAACCAAGGACTTTGCTCCTTTCAGCTGGCGAGGTTGCCATTAAAATCCAGTCTGCTCATAATGGATACCCTTCCAGTGAAAATATTCTAAGCCTTGATTCATTATTTTTTAGGCGATATTAGAGTTGAATAACAACCTATAAAAGGCATACATATGTGCGATTTCATCAGTGCTTTCCTCCTCTACATTTCCATTGTAGATGCTCATCAGGTTTTTCATTTGAGACTCTCTGCCAGAACTACCAGCAGACAGGTACATGCACTTGTGAGAGCTACTTACCCAAAGGATAAGCTATTATCCACCAGGTTAATATGTTTAGGGTAAGGTAGACAAAAAATATCTATACAACTATACCTTAAGCTGAGTCTCCTGGTCAAGAGATTCATCCACATTCACATTGGGCAGCTCTGACCAAACCTAGAGAAACACAATTGAAATCCTTAAAAGTTATTATCTATAGACCATAAGATGTTTCATATGTTAGACTCTAAAGATGCATCTTTGCAAAGTGCCGGGGGTCTTTGTCATTAATTAAATTGTGATGGTTGAGTATATAGAATTCTGCTAAGTGACAGTAGGCTAGTTTCTTGGCTCATTAAAATTTTCATAATTTCATTTTTGAACTTAGTAAGTAACTAAATTCTTTTTAAATGTAGCTTCTGAACAATCATTTTTCAAATGATTACTCAGTTCTCTGATCTGCCTTATATTTTTGCCTGTAACAAAATTCCCTTTATACATAATAAATGTGAAGTGTGACTCTAAAGAAATAAGATAGATTTCATTCATAACCAGTAAAATTAGTCTCAATATTTTTAAATAGCATTACTTGCTGGGGACCCCAAGTATATGTAGCATTAAGAAATCCATAGTAGAGGAGCTGGGCATGGTGGTGGGTGTCTGTAATCTCAGCTATTGGGAGGCATAGGTAGGAGGATTATGGTCTGAGGCCTCCCTCAGGCAAAAGTGTGAAATCCTACCTGAAAAACAAGTGAAGAAGCAAAAAGCCTCAAGTGTTAGAGCACCTGCTTTACAAGCATGAGACCCTGAATTAAAAAACTCCAGTACATGAAAAAATCTGTAATAGCCACCAATTTCATCTGTAATTAGGGGTACATTAACTGTATGAATTGATTGATTAATTAATTAATTAAACCAGAGAACACTTTTTGAGCATTTACTAGAAAATCACTTACAGTGATTTACAATAGTATTTGTATTCAACAAACTCTTGGATTAATGAGTGAACAGAAGTCATGCTTTAATTCTGGAAGTTAGGAAGCACTCTTGTAAAATCTGTACCTCCTGAGATTTAAGTAGGAAATGATGCTCATTTTCTAGAGTGCATGGATGGTATGTACTTAGGTACTATGTTGCATGCAATGACAGAAAAATATGCAGAGCCAGACAGTTACTGAGTACTTTACAAGAGGTAAGATGTAAGTTGGTCTCAAAGTGCAAATACTATCTGGATAAACTTAGAAGACAATATGCAAAGTGAATAGAAAAGAGTTTGAATCTAGGTGAGAACTACGATCCCCTGGGATCAGGAAGTCCACCTAAAATGCTGTCATTATAAGACATATGGGGATGAAGATTGAGGCCACATAAATTTAATTCAAGAGAACAAGGGAAAGAAGAAGACTTACAGGATTTGATGATTTATTTAGCTAAGAAGCTGATTAAGCATTATTCTTCAAAGGAGAATGCCTGTTTTGAGTCTAGGTGGCTGGAGACACAGATTTCAGAGTTGCTCTCTAAGGGATCCTTAATGTTTGTTAAATGACCAGCAAAAGAACATTTCCAGGCAATAACAGAGCACTCAATATTTTAGAGGATTAGACCTGTAACCTTAGTCTTATTAATGTTTATTGAGCTAATCAGCATAAGACAGATTTCTACTCATTTATAATTGATTAGTTACCCAATGTATTTTCCAGGATTTATTGAGACCTTCTTTTAATCAATACATAGTAGATTAATTATAGACAACTTTCCTGAGCCTTACCTTTCCCCAGACAATATCGTTGGTGTCAGGCCATTTGATGAACACATTGTTTTCCTGTCCTCTAGCGAATGGGAGATAGTGTGTCTCATTGCCAGAAATGGCCGGGTCCTGTAATGAAAGGTTTAAAACTGCAAATGAGGAAAGCATCTCCAAAAAAATCTCTCTCCAAAATTTCGATAATTCATAGTGCAGAAAGAAATGGTGAAACAAAAAATCATGTTAAATCAATTAAAAACCATGGATAATTCAATTTATATGTACTGGTACATTACCATAACCAATTGAAATGGAAAGTTGCCATAGGTACTCAAAAGATACAACTCTTATACAGGACAATTTCTTTAAAAGGGAATAGGAATCGTGATAGCATGTAAAGGAGTCTTTCTATATAATAGAAGTAACCATCCAAAGCGATAACTAATGAAATGGGAGGAGAAAAAATGACACAAGGGATTTTTCTAACAACATAGAAATGTATTTTAGAAAAAAAGAAAGTCAAGTAAAAGCACATTTTGACGCTTCCCAAAAAATTTGTGAGAAGAAAAAGAAAGCATTCTAATGTTTGGAAAACAACTCCTGGAGAGAAACCAGTTTAATAAAACTTCACCCTCATGCAGAGAGAGACAATTTGGTGCATTTCCAAAGTATGATAGCAATCCTCCCTAAGAAAATGAAACTTATTTATTCTATTCTGTGTTCCAACTGAAACTTGGAAAGTGACTGTTCCTGTTTACTCCATCTCAGACCTGCTCCAGTTACTTTCTAAAATATCATACTGCTTCACAATTGTCATGTGAAGCATCACTGTCTGAAATTAGCTTTTAAATATTTATTTACTGATTGTCTCACTCCATTAGAATAAATGCATTTTGGGACATTGTCTTATTTGCTAATTTAGAATAGACACACACACATAACTTCTGGTACAGTGATTTTCAAAAGCCATATTCAATAAATACTTGAATTAGTGAATGAATAATAGTCATTCTATAATTTTGGAAGCTAGAAAAATCATTTGCAGGTAATAAATTTCAATGAAAAATAATAAATTGGCATTCTGAATCTTAGCTCAGCTGCTTTTGGCTTTAATAAAAGACAAATTAAGTCCCCTGAGATTCACCATCACTGAGTGATGGATGACATAATATAAGAGATTTTTGAGCCCCCTGAGGTAGAGATAAGATACAGCTATTCCTTCAGAGGTATAGTCTGAAACAATGAGACACTTTTTCTTTTTCTTTTTTTCTGCTATAGTTAGTGCTTCCATAGTTCTTCTGCCAAGAGAAAAATACTAATAAATTACATTCCAGCGACACTTCACATGAAAAATAAATGTGAAAGGTATAACCTCAGCCATTTTCATATGTTGTTTCCTTCTTTGTTTATTTGATTTTTAAAACTTTTTAGAAATGTATTTATGGATTCACAAGAAGTTGCTGAATATGTAGATAGAGATTTTTGTATTCTTCATCCAGTTTCTCCCAGTGGTATTGTTTTTGAACCATAAGTAAAACAGGAAAAGGCTTCAGATCTGTCTCAATACCTACCAGACTGAGAATAAATCTCATGCCATTTTTCTTCATTTCTTCAATCAGGAGACTGAGGTTTTGAAAGCTAGAGCTGAGAGTGAAGTCCAGCTTCCGGTTCATGTAATCGATGTCTACATGTTGCACATCCTACAGGAAGGAGCAGACAAGATCCTGGGGATCCTGCAGCATGTTCCCTGCAAGGCACGCTAACTGCTCTGCTGGGCTCCAGACCCTGCTGATTCCTTAACCAGTGCAAGCCCTTCTCAATGTCTCATCTCTTTACTCCTCTGCACTGTCTTGTCAATTCCACTGATTGAAATTGCATTCTGACTCCAGCTCACAGCTCACTTGTTCCCATTCTTTCTTCTGCTGCTCACCAAATGCAACTCTGTCCTTTTTCCTTCCCCCAATTAATGTCATTTTTACTCTGCAAATCTCAAACTTGGTCAGCCAGTCAATGTGCTAGTCCAATGGTAGAAAGTAGGACTTCCCTAAGAAGCAAAAAAGATTGTATAGCTGAGTTTTTTTTTTTCTAGAATAAACCTTACTGAAGTTTTTCACTTTGAAATACATTATTTTATAGCTTTCTACAATATAAATATGTATAAATCTACACAGCACCAACCTAGGTTTCTGCATGCGAAACTCATTCACCTCCTGATTTTCTAACAATAAGCTAGTATGGTTAATATTCTGAGGGAAAAAGAAAGACACTTCTTTTTGATAATCACCTTAACTGCCTTAAGAATCTAGGTTAAACTTGTTAAGAGAAGCAGAGATGTGTGCATAAGCCAAAATGGAAAGGAATGAACCAGCATATTATTTGTATTAATTGCTTTGGTAAGGTAGATCTGTGAGTTTTCATCTTTTAATTTGCTATATTTTCTAATTTCTGTTTCATAAGTATATAATAAAATGTATATAAAAAGAAAAAAACTTAAGCCTGGATTCATGTGTCAAATTATCTTTGATGAAACACCATAGCACTCTATTCTTACCTCACAATCATTAATTGTCCCCCAACATTCCAGGAGGTGAATTAAGAATGATAAAGAATGAAAGGTTATAATTATAGGAGGAGAAAGAGTATGCTGTTTGTGGAATTCACCTTGTTCATAGCAATTGATTACACTACTCAGAGCTTTCCTGGAGAACTAGATTGTCACTATAGGATATGCATATGTGTTTTAGAGAAAGTGAAGGCTTAATTTTAATTGCTTTCTTTCATGGGTCACTTTATATCCATTTCTCCAAGATCCCCATTTCTAAGTCCCCTGAGTCATGGCTTAAACACAGCTGTGGCTACTACAGGATATTCCCAATAAAAGGGAATGAGTGCCCGTATTCTCCAATCATGTACCAACTGTTGAAGGATATATGTAACTCTTAGTTTTGCACCTTGACTTAAAAGGGTAGCATGAAATAAATTTAAAAACCAATGCATTCTACACAGGATTAGATCCACGGCTACATTTTTTATGCTGAACTCATAATAGCAATAATTTTGATGAAGCTCTTTTCAATAGGCAAATAGAAACAAATTCCCATAACTAAATCCAGAGGTTAGGAGAGGGTTTCATACATAGGGAATACGGGCTGCCACCATTTCATCATACAAACTGGAGATTTCATTATCATTCTGGTATCCATATCGACTCAGCTGGAATCCCAAGGCCCAGTATGGAGTCATTGCTGGCCGACCAATCAACTAGAATAGAAAAATGTTGATTACCCTGACTTGATCATTACATAGTGTATGCATGCACCAAATTACCATACCATATGCAGTATGAACTTACAAATATTATGTCAATTAAAATTTTTAAGTGAAAAAAATTGATCTAAGTAGGTTTCTTAAGGAAGAAAAGATGGTTGGCTTATAGTTGAAGAAACTTGAACATTTCTACTGAGTACAGTAGAAAAATGCCTCACTCCAGAAAAATAAGAAGTCAAATAAACATAGACCAACCAGGAAGACAAAGAATGATAGAAACATTGTAATTGAAGTTTCCTCATATTCTATAGCTATCATTCTAAGAAACCCAAAAACTTGATCATTACTCACTACAGATTCTTAGATAAACTATTTAGCAAGCAGTCAAGAGACAAGTGGGACATTAGTTATGCCTTCAGCACCCCATAACACTAAAACTTGACTTTCAGGAAAAATAGCAATGATCTATCTAATGGGGACACCCAGCGATAAAGGGAAAAAATGACCTATCAGTGCTAGAACATGGTAACAATGCCCATATCAATGGATAGAATGACTTCCAACCTCAGTGTATTGCTGAGTTACAAGTTCAGGAGTTGGTCCCAAAAACATATAAAAGTCCAAAATCCCTCCTACAGTGCGGTATGTCAGAGCAGGAGTGGGCTGAAGTGTCACATCTGTAAAAATTAAAAATAAGTGAAGCATCCATAGAGCTGTAAGTCATGCAGATAGGAAATCTGCCCTAAAATTTGCCATTTTCATTCATTCCCTAATCTCTTTCTTGTCTAGAAAGTCTTCTCTCAACCCATGGAATAAGAGATGGATTTGCAGGTAGCCCAAATAAAATATGCCATCTCAAGAACTTATATCACTCTGTGAAAAGGAGCTAAAATGTCACAGAAAGACATTAATAGAGCATGGCTAGCCAAAGTCTTACACTTAATGCCTGGTCCAGAGCACTTAATAAATACTGAATAATTGGATGAATGAATGGAAAATCACTGATTTATCTAATTTTCATTGCCACTGAATTTCCTTATCTCTAGTGATATCCCAGGACCCAGTAGGGTGTCACAGTGGTTTATGGAGATGCAAGGAGAATTGCACATCAGTCTTACCCATAGCATTACTGTTCAGCAGAAGAACCCCATGGGCACTGCCATCCTCTTCCAATGCCATATAGTAGGGATGAACGCCATAGGAATTCTTCTTGTACTGATTATTAAAAATTCATGGAAGTAATAACAAAGTGAAAATCCAACAAAAATTTTCCACATCACAATCCAAACAGCAAATTCATTCTCAACTTTAAAGACTCAGCTCAATTTTCATGCACTTTGTAAGGCTTTCCTTGACCTTCCCTTCTATCCTAAGTAAAACCTATAATTATTACACAATTCTATCTCAACATCAACTAACTTCTGCTATCATTATTTCCATACTTATCTCTCTCAACCTGTAAGTTTTTGGAGAACAAAAACGGTATCTTATTAAATTTTCTGCTAAACACTCAAGATGCTGGATACATAGAACATATTAAAGACTTGCTTATAAAATAAATAAAGCCTAGTCCATAGGAGAGGTACATGTATATTTTACAGACAAAAATATATATTCTACAGACAAAAGAGCATGACATGGTTTTTTGCAACCAGACAGAATTTATCAATATAAAATAAAGCTCATGAGTGGGGCATCATTTATGGACATGAGAATTAAAATTAATTTACATGAAAAGAAAATGATTGCTAATTTTATTTTTGTCCTTACCGCTGGTGGCTCATCACGAGCAAACATTCCCCACATGTTCCAGCTCATGTTTCTTCTGAAAGTTGTATGCTCAGTTTCCCCAAAACCATAGATGTATTGAGAGGGGAGGCGAGTAGAAATGGAAAGGAACATGTCGTCGAAGGTGAAACCAGGGAGCTGAGAATCCCAGCTGAAACATAAAGACAGACCTCCACAAGCTGAGCTGGAGATCACAGGCCAGAGCAAACATGGAATGTCTTGGGGATACCTAGTTGACACAGAGGCTTACTGAGTTATTTCATATCTGGATCCAGGTGAAAATATTGTGAAATGACCTCAGTCATAATAATAGCCATACTGCAGTTCCAAGACTCCATGTTTGTAATTTTATTCTATGGTTTATAAGACCAGGAGCTTCTGTTCTGAGTTTTGGGCTTATTGAGAGCAAGGATCATGTCTCATTCATCTATGAGAACAACATGTCTATTTTGGCCTAAGAATTTACTGAAGAGGGCAACAGAGAGAAAATCAGATACATAGCCAAAGTAGCAGAAGGCATAAACATGAACACACACAGGTGACAACCTCTGGTGGCATGGGGAACATAAATCTGGGTAAAATCCAGACCTTTGGGAATCAAGGCAAGCAATGAGTGATGGCGATTGATGGTTCCTTTCATGCTTAACACCATGAAAGAGGATCTGTGATATCAATAGAAGTGAACACTAGAAGTCATTTCTCTCTCTCTGTTAACCTCTTCTCCTTTCTCCTACTTCCGCAATTACTAATTTTAGTGATGTTTAAAGAAAACAGACTTATATCTTAGATTCTATGTTGTACTTATTAAACAGAGTTTTCTATTCTACTTAACAAGAACAACATATAGAGTACATTTCTTTATCTGAAATCAAACAATAGTTTAATTTTTTAAATATTTGGTTATTAATTTTCTGAGTTAATGACTAATAGAAAATTCATCTCCTAATGAAGTAGGGGGAAATTGATATAGTCTTTAACAAACACACAAATTATGAAATGGAGTGTCTGAGATTAAAATTTCACTTGCATCAATTAGAATTATTGCAATTAGCTTTATAACCATTCCAATTAGAACCAAACAAATAGTGCTTACATCACAGTGTGGGAGCTTTTGCGTTGGATCTTGATGCCAAAAGGATTAGTCTGAATCTTGACATCATACAGGCAGTTTTCAGAGGTGCCAACTGGTAAAGAAGGCATGTTCAGAGGTACTGGAACCTCATACCTTTTATTAATGGGATCATAGATCTGGTAAAGAGAGAGAAGGAATCTCTTTTTGATGGACCCTCATATTAAAACTCTCCTGCCAGTGCATGTAACAGGTCTTATAATTTTGACCAGTTCAAACCCACATTAGAGGCATCAAATATCTCCAAGAAGTAGATCTGAGGCATTTCCACATACAGGGTATGACACAGATCCTGTACTTCAAAATTCCCTAGTAATAGCCACGTAAAGTCAGGGAGAATCTGTCCTCTAGAGAACTTGTGATCCAAGTGTTCAGAATCTTATGTGTGCACTTATAGAATGTGTGTGCATTTATAATGTGTGCTATTTGAACATATATGTGCATGTAGCTATGTAAGATCAAGTGTGTAAACACGTGTGCATATGTAAGAAAAAAGAGAAATGAGTTTCCATATGGAATCTGGGACTTCCTCTCTGTTTGAACTTCCACTGTAGCTTTTCCATTCCCAAGCTTTCTCTTTTGTACATATCACTTCTTCCTACTTACCTAGTAAGACTGGTGTTAGGGAAAATGATGGCGTGTAGGAAAAATAAGAGAAATGAAAAGTTCTGTGGAAAGCCAGGGAGTAGCCCCAAGTTGAGTATCTATCCTCTCATTAACCCATATCTTATGCTTCGATAAAGTTTGTTTTGAAGCCTGTTTTTCAAAAAACTCTTTTCAAACCAAAAGCAGCAGCATTGCCTGAAGGCTTATTGTGAATGCAGACTCCAAGCCCCTACATCAGAGCTTCTGAATCTGAACCTCCAGAGTGATTCACAATGCACTCAAGCATGACAAGCGGTGTCAGAAGCTAAGTGTAACCACACATGGTTGCCAAGCATCAGAAATGTGCTAGTCTATACTGACTTTCATTGTAAGTACTAGATATACACCAGATTTTGAAGACTTAGCACAATGAAAAGATTGTCAAATCTCTCTATAACTAAGCCTGGATTTCCAGGTGGAATTATACTTATTTTAGCAAATTGGTTGAATAAAATGCTATTAAAATTAATTCCACTTGGTTTTTTTCAAATATATTTTTAAAAATGCACATAATAGAAAACCTACATGGTTTACAATATCAAATTTCTAGTACACATAGACAGCAGTGGGTCTCAAAGTGTGACCCCTTCACCTGCAGTATCAACATCATCAGGGAACTGATCGGAAATGTAGATTCTCAGTCCAGACCTAGTCCAGACCTTCTGAATTGGAAACTGGGGGTAAGGCCCCATAGAGGGGATCGTACGAAGATCTGAAGGTGGTTCTGATGTATGTTAAGGTTTATGAACCAGTACTAGAGAAGTTACTAGAAATGCTGGAAGTAAGTTAATGCCTCTTATATGTGCTTACCAAAAGCAGACTCATGTTCTCAATGCTAGGGATGATTCTTTGAGGACATTTATGGCCTAGAATATTCATCCTTACAGGAAATTCAAGATTCTGATGGCTCTATGATCACATCTGGATCTACTCTCTATTAACTTTCTGACCTTTACCTCTCTAGGCCTCAGCTCCTGCCTCTGTAAAATGAGGTATTTGGATTATAAGTCTGTCAATGACTTCCGTCTATATAGAGTTGTAAGTTCAGAACTCTATGTTGAGAACCAAAATCTGTACCATGGGAATTACCTTGACCTGCAGCATGGTCTCTGTGTGGTAGATCACACTCAGTTTGAGGTTGCTAATCTTTCCAGAAAGAAGATCAGAGACAACAGTGGATGCTGCTGGTGACGACAATGGAGCTGCTGCTCGTACAGATGTCGGGGCCGCCAGAAGGGCAAGGTCCGTTGTGATGCCCATGGGCAGGTACTGAATGTTACTGGCAGCATAGGAGGCAATAGTGTCATAGTAGCAGGTGGGCACACCAGGTGTAGCTGTAAGCTAGAACAACAGGAGCAATTCTTATATCTGACACCACAATTCAGTATCTGACACCACACTTTATGACTCTAGTTACTGAAGAAAGCTCCTTAATAGACTAAGTCTCAGAAGTTTTGCCCATTGTTGTTGATTGACTTATGTTTCCCTAAAACATGACTCCTAAGCCATGGTATTATGAATCTGATTGATTGAAATTGTGTCATTGCCAGGTCTTTCTTAAGGTAAGGTGAGGTCATTAGGGTGGATTTTAATCCAGTATGACTGGTGACCTTATTAGGAAGGGAAATTGGAACATAGAGGCAAACATACACACACACAGAGAGAGAGCAACACACCATGTGAACATGATCATAGAGAATGAGGAAATGCACATGCAAACAAAGAAGTATCGAACATTGCCAGCACACCATCAAAAGGTAAGGGTGAACCATGGAACAGAATTTCCCTCAAAGCCCTCATAAGGAACCAACACTATCAACATCTTGATCTCAGACTTCTGGATTTCAGAATTATGTGGGAATAAATTTGTATTTTTCTAAGCCAGTATATGGTAGTTTGTTATAGCAACCCTAGCAAATGAATCCAGTATACTAATCTAAAATACACACACACACACACACACACACACACACACACACACACAAGCACACACATGCCTGTAGCAATCAGTGATGAGTGAATAGCAATAGAGCAGCAGGAAGCCTATCTGGCACCTGGTACCCTCAGGTAGCGCTCTGCTCACTGTCTTTTTGCCCCCAATGCAATCTTAAATAAATAAATAACTTTTTCTGGTTTTCATTCTATTTTTGTTCAAATGCAAAGGACCAGCCTTACCTTAACCTTCTTGTTTGGGCTGTCCAATAAATAAGAAAATTTGCTTAAAATACTAAATGCACAATGAGTCACCAGCCTATACTATCATGTTAAAATCACTTCTTTTTTTACTAGCATATATTATATAAAAATGGTTTTCATTATGATATTTTCATGAACACATATAAATGTCCTTTGATCATATTCACCCTCCCATTGCTCTCTTATACCTGGACTTCCTGCCCCTGATTCCTTGCCTTTGCCTTACTAGTCCTAAAATGGGGTTTTGAGTGATGTGGCTGGAGAGGCAGTACGAGTAGCAATGAATTTCTTCTGATTTGGGACATCTGAGGGAAATATTGATAGCCTATCAGGCAGAGTTGAAGAAATGCACATTGGCACTTTGTCATGATAGTCTTCAAGCCATAAACATTAGAAAACTGTTTTCTAAGTGCTTAATTACTTGTAGGGCAATTTTCACAACTTCTGGATCAATATAATACTGTGCTCCTGATCATTACCTCCCAAAGGCAGCCCCGCTGCCTGCAACTCTCCTCAGTGGCAGTAGGATCCTCAGGGTAGCAATTGAACTTCTCCAGGTCACTAACCACTAGATTCCACTCAATAGAGAATTCTTGTCCTAGTACCAGTCCCTTGAGATCAGTTATGGTCACCACCTAGAGAAAAAAAAGGAAACCCCAGTGACAAAGGAGATCAAGTAAAACTATATGGATTTTGTCCTTTCTTAATGGTCTGGAAGTCAGGACTGGGAGACCTAGTTCTTTCTCCAATAACATTTTGGAATACTATGAACTTGCCTTATTCCTGACTTCCACACCTCATAGAATCATTGTGGAAGTGCCACTTTGACCATGTTAAGGGGTGCAGATCATACACAAGGCTGCCATTTTCAGACTTTATTATCCTTTTGGTGCTTTTGTGCTCAACTTTATTGAGTACTCATATTGACACTGTGACAACTACTTTATATGTCCATTAATCTTACAAAGTGATCTCATGCTGAATATTATAGCTACCTCCATTATACAGAACATAAAACTGGAATACAGATTTGTTACTATGCCCAAGATCTCATGGCTAGGAGACAATAAACCTAGTATTGGAACCCCATTCTAAATAACACTAGAAACTAAGCCCCTATTTCTGTGCTGTATGTATTTTCAAAATGGAAGATGGCTGACCTAAGAAATAATGAACTTCCCAGTACTTGAGATAGTCAACTAACAGTTGTAATGTTCTACCTGAATTTATAATATAAGACCAAAACCAGATTATCCCTTGTGTTTTCTCCCATTCATATTTTCTGTAATGGTATAAAAATAGCTTACAGAATTAGCTTTAAGGAAAAAATATCAATTGTGTCTCAAATAGTCTTTACCTTCAATGGGAGGATAAATATGTAAATACTCTCTAGCACCAAGGCAATCTATTGAATAGTGTTTTCACTATGTCACATCTGGGATCAACCTGCCTAGTTTATATTTTCAGAAAAGAGCTATCTCTTCTAATGGGTACTAACTCTTCTTATCTTCTTTAGAGCCCTAAAGCAAACAAACTGGATAGTCCATATTTGCCTGCACATGTTTCTTCTGTGTCATCCCTATGATAAGGTAGCTTTCCCAATAAGGGCAAGGGAGGACCAGCTTTCAGGATCTCTGGCCAGAGCTTTTAACAGGGCTCTATGGATGGAATAATCTCTCACCTTTGTTGAGGCTCTGTAGACGACACTTGAAATGGAAGTGGTAGCATTATTAGATGTGACAATGAAGTTAGATGGCTCCTTGTCCATCCCCAAGATTGTGATATCCGTAAACAGGAGGTGGTCAGGATCCATATAGCTATCATTTGTAATTTTTGCCTGCAAACGGTTCTGGGGAGGGAAAGTTATTTTAGAGACTGGGTATATCACATTCAACATTTCCTACCAATATATAAGGCATTTCATTTTCCTTTGCTAGGTGACGGTCCCCATGGAATGCATTGGCTCAGATTTTTAGCATCCGAAATCATTTAGTAATATTTTACATTTGCTTTGGTTCACTGATTCTTTTCTGATTCCATTATTCAGATAATATGATCTTGAATTATGGAATGTTCAAGTAGTTACAAAGCAAATGGAGACAAAAATCACACAAAGAAACCCATCGAGACACAAAGACATATACATACTCATACCCACAGTAATAGCAACAAGAGCTCAATTTTATTAATGCTTACTATCCGCCAGGCACTGTGCTAAGTACTCTATACATATTATCTCTTTCAATTCACCCAGCAGACATGAGATGAGTTAATTATCTCCACTTTAGGTGAGGGTGCTGAAGCATAGAGAAATTAAATAAATTATTTTGGGAGCCAGAGTTGAAAAACAACAAAGCTAAGCTAGGCAAAGAAAAAGGTCATACTGAACCCTGAAGGAAAAAGTGGCTCCACAAAAATATGCCCACCTGATGTTCAGCAGAGTGTAAAAAGAAAGCACAGCAGATAACCAATAGCTTTTTCAACAAAGGGTGTGACAGCAATTGGATGTGATTAAGCAAAAAATTGAACTTCAACTTAGAGCTGATGTTTTACATATAAATTAACTCAAAATAGATCAGAGATTTATAGGTAGAAGGTAAAACATTAGAAAATAGTTGGAGAAAGTATTAAGGATCTAGGGCTAGGCAGAGTCCTTACATATGACACCAAAAAGCACAATCCACAAGAGGAAATAATAAGAAACAGACACATCAAAATTTTTAAATTCTGCTTTGTGAAAGACCTTGTGAAGAGGATGAAATGAGAAGCCTACAAATAGAAGAAAATGTTTGCAAACCACATAATCAATATATATATCAAAAATATATAAAAACACTCAAAACTTAGCAGTTAAAAAAAAGCCCATCAATCCAATCAGAATTAGATAGATGTTTCACCTAAGAAAATACACAAAAAGCAAATATACACATGAAAAGATTTTCAATATAATTAGACATTGGAGAAATACAAATTAAATCCACAATCAATATCATCACACATTCATCAGCATAATTAAAATGATAAACAGTGAAAACATGAAATGTCTGTAATGATACAGAGAAGCTACATCACTCATATACAGATGGTTAAAATGTAAAATAGTACAACCAATCTGAAAAATAGTATGAAAGTTTCTTATAAAAGAAATTAATGTCAGGCCCAGAAACTGAGTCTTGGGCATCTGTCTCAGTGAAATGAAAACCTACATGTACACCAAAATCAGTACATGAAATGTCAGAGTGGTCTTATTTCATTTAGAATAGCCCATAATTGAAAACATCCCAGATTCTCTTTATCAAATGGATTGTTGAACCAAAGGTGGTATCCTCAACCTTTGGAATGCTACACATAGGTGTAAAGGAACAGGAAAAAAAAAACAACTTGGAAGAATTTTGTAGAAATTGTGCTGAATGAAGAATGATCTCAAAGCACTGAAGATGAGAGTAAGCATGGACTCAAAAAGTTTTTTGAAGACTAATGATAGAGATGGCTTCTGCTTAGAATGACTGTAAACTCCCAGGAAGTAAAGAAACAGAAGTTTCTAAGTTCAGAAGATATAACTAAAGGAAGTTCTCAGAGATCAGGGCTGAACAATGCAGCAAGGGCAGCAGAGAAAATGCTATGGAAGTAAAGGAAATTTCCCAATTAAGATTCACTAAACAAATTATGGTATTTTATATTTCCTCTTCATTTGCTAAAGATGTTTTGAAAACTAACAGCATCACAAAATTTAATGTAGATAGCTGATTGACAAATAATCAATCACAAGCCCATTGGAATAAAAACAGATAATGGGTACAAATGATCCATCCCATTTTAGACTATCTAAGGGAAAGAACTTCAACTATGTTAAGATAATTAATTAGTATTTTTACCAAGCTTTCAGTGCTTAGTTATTTAAAGAAAATTTAATTAAAATAATACAGAAAATATAAACCCTGCTAATATATTCAAAGAACTTTTAAAAATAAAGATGCATAACAATACTATAATTACTCTGTGTGTGACTATGAGAGTGTGTGTGTGTGTGTGTGTGTGTGTGTGTGTGTGTGTGTATAGTGGGGAGATACAGCCAAATAATGCTCTATGATTACCTGAGAATTCAGACCCAAAAATTTGGTGAAATTGGGATACAGAGATCTGCCTGTTCCAATATATAAACTAGAGTTGAAAATAGAAGAATTGTAAAAGTGTTCTAGGATCAAATATATACTAGCAAATACCAAAGAACTAAGTGAAGCTATATAGAAACCTTGAAAGATAAAGAAGACTCCTTAGAAAATTTAGAGTAAAGGTACAAGATACAGTAGACTATTTTCCTTCCTTGCCAATTTGAAAAAGGAAGAATAAGTGATTTGATCCAGATTCATTGTTGTGTTCCAAGAAAAACAGGATTAAATAATAGAATTTTAATTTGGCCAGGAGGTGAAGTGGCCTGATGATCTCTTTCTCCAATGGTACAGTGTACATCTTGGCTAAGCTGTGTTCTGACACCGAAGGAGTGTTGGTCATTTCTGCTAATGCCTCTTAGATGTAATTTTTTAAAAAGAAAGAAAAAAATCTAATCCCAAAGATTATACATACGGAATGATTTCAGTTATCTAGCATTCTTGGAAGGGCAAAATTACAGAAATGGAGAACAGTTTACCAGGGCTAAGGAAGGTGTGGGGCAGGAGGCAGGTGGGTGGGACTATAAATTGGCAGCAAGAGGGATCCTTGTGGCAATGGAGATGTTCTGTACTTTGATAGGATCGAAGCCAACATCATAGCTGTGAAACTGTCCTACAGTCCTTTAATATAAACTGTCATTAGGAGAAGCTGTATGAAGCATAAGCGGGGACTCTATTATTTATTATAACTGCATGGGGATCTTTAATTATCTAAAAATTAAAGTTTGATTTTAAGAACAGCATGAATTTATAAGAAAGGAAGAAAAATAATGAGTAGAAGTCCCCACAAAAGAAATCTCTGCCCATATGTGATCAGACATCTAAGAAAACCAAATTGGAATTCTACCATTTTCTGTTAGCCTTGCAGCTTTTTCCTCCTCTTAGTTCCTTGGGAAATAGAAAAGAGATAAGTAATGCTCTGTGCCTTCCAACCACTACTTGATGCCTGTGCCTGAAGACAAGTTTTAGGGGCTAGAAGGGAAAACAGAATCTCACAAAAGACTACCACTCATCACCTTCTCCCACACTCCATATGAACTGCACCCCTCAGAAAAGATACATCTTGGAAGTCAGGACTCATTGTGTAAAACTCAACAGCAATGACTTTGACCAGAGAGAATGCCTCAATTTCTGCACATAACTCATATTGATTACTCATAAAGATTAACACATTTAACACAGATTAAACACTTTCATTTAACTTGAATCCTTTTTAGGATCATCAGGATCAAGCACTGTTCTTATTTCACATGGTCAAGCAACTTCAAAACACCCAAAACTCACAAAGTAGTCAACAAAGAACATAAAAGTTAATGTTCCTCAAAGATCATACTTACAGCAGTAACTGAGAAATCATACAGAATGTAAGTCTTGTTAGTTTCAGCAGCTGAAAGGGAAAGATAGATTTATATCATCATTATAGGAAGCAGAGGAGCTGTGGAGTCATACTCATCTCTGGACCTGGAATTTTTTTGCAGCTAAGTCTACTCATCCAAGATCTTCCCATTTTTGTCAATTTCTATAGAAGTTTCTTGAATCACTGTCCCTGAATTCTCCTGGTACTTTGTGGATCAATTTTGCTGCCATTTAAAACATTTTGATATAAATATATACATGCAAATTCCTACTATCCGGTGTGTTCCTCCAGGTCAATATTTTAAAAATATTTTTAATTCTTTATTATTGTTGTACTGCAAGCACAATGTGACATTTACAAAAGCTGTAACAATATTATGTCACATTCATTTCTCTATTCCTTGAATATAGTGTAATAAGAAATAGCAAATAAGTATTAATAAATCCTAACTCTTTAGGGCAAGATTTTTATAAAATCACAGTCTAAAAGCTTACGTGAGGAATTCATAGGAAAAAATTTCAGTGAAAATCACACTGCACAAACTAGATAAGTCTGCCTCAAAAGTAACTGACACAGACTTTACAAAATTAACAAAATGTAAGTGAACAATGCATTTGTTCATTTTGTTCTGTTCATTTTGGTAGTGTCAATAACACAAATTGCACACTTGAAGTTCACTGTAATGCAATACCCTTGACTAACAGAACTTTTAGAATTAATTGTAACAATTCCAAGCCACAACAATAAACAATGATAGAGCAGCCTTCAAAGATTATCACTAAGAACCATAGTAAGGGTCCTGTGAGGAAGTCTACCTTTAGACACACCATCGTCCCAGTACAACTCTCCCTTTGCTTCTCTCTTATAGTCCAAGGCGACAATGAGTCCCAGGGAATTCTTCCGGCTGAGAAGAGCAATTCCGAGTTTCAGAGAATGAAGAAGAGATGGAACCATGTGAAACCAAACCCTTGGATGCCCTATGGACAGATATTCCAGAGACTACCCTAGAATAGTAAATATCTCATATGGAATCATGGGAATTGGGTGTGTGTGAGCAGCAAAGGTCAGTGGAGAGTAAGCATAGGAAAAATGGTGGAGGGAAGCAGTTGTTAAAAATATGGTTTGGGATTATTCAAACATTACTTACTGGGTGCTTATCCTGTGCTAGACACTTCTAAGTATGCTATGTGCATTACCATTTATATTAATCCATTTAACCCTCACAATAGTATTAAAAAGTCATACTATCATCCTTCCCAGTTCACTAATAAGCATAAACACAAATAAATAATTTGCCCATGGTAAACATATCTAATATGTTGTAGAGCTGAGGTGTGACCTCAAACTGCTGGTCTGTAAAACCTGAGCTTTTAAACTCTAAGCTATGTTGACTTTCTTTTATTTTATTTGCATTCTCTCATGCTATACAGAATATATCAGAGGAAAGCTTCTGGTCATAGGGAAATGGCTAATTATTTTGACTATTCTTATAATTTGATTTAATCCAGTTGTGAATAACTATGGAAATGAAAAGGAACTTAAACTACATTTACCCCCTGTAAAATGAAGACTCAGAAGCCAATTTTGGTACAACTTTGAAAGAAAGACTAGAAGACTGATGATTAGAAACATTTTTCCCTATGTCCTCCAATCTTGGTCCCTGTTTCCCTCCCTTCCACATAATGTCCTGCCCAATAGAGCACCAGAGTAGTCACACCTTAGAAAAAATAAGAGTTTACCTGGTCTCTGTGGTTGTGTTTGGCTGCTGGATGGGAAATATGTACCCGCCTCGAAGGTGAAGCCCTATCCTATCGCCAGGAAGTAACAAATCCACAAATTGTTTCCTCCATTCAATGGCTATTCCCTAGTCAGCAAAAGGAAAACAGACCAGATAATAGACTGGATGGACCAGGAAGGATCCTAGAGATCCTCTAGTTCAGGTGCTTAGTTTTAAAGAAGAGAAAAGTGGAGATTGCCCCCCCAAATGAAGTGATTTTCTAAAGATGTATGGGTACTAGAGAACAGAGCTAAAACTCCAGCCTACCCCCATTCTTTACCTGACACCATACCTTGTGCCATAATTTGGATCTGGAATATCCCCCAAAGTCCTCTGTGTTAATGGCTTGGTCCCCAGTTTGGCACTATTGGGAGGTGGTGGAAACTTTGAGAGGTAAGGGCTAGTGGGTGGTTTTAGATCATTGGTTGTGCATCATCAAAGGGGATTATGGGACTCTTGTCTCTTCCTCTTTCTGTCATTTCCTGGTCATGAGATAAGAGGTTTTGCTCTTTAACATGCTTCCACCATGATGTGATGCCACAGGCAAAGCAATGAAGCCAACAGATCATAGACTTGAAGCTCTGACACTGCAAACCCAAATAACCAATGTCTTTTTATAAGCTGATTGCATCAGACATTTGTTTTAGTAACAGAAAGCTAACTAGCACACTGTGATTCTACAACTGAGCTTGAATTCTCTATGTTATCACAGACCAAGGCCAATGACTACCAGTACAGTAGCCAGGTTAAAACGGTGAATTTTTACAAATCTGTTCTAGTTATTCAAGTTATTTCTTTGTACATTGGAAAGGTCTTCTACTATGGTATGAATGCTGGTGTCCCTCAAAATTCACTTGTAGGAACATACAAGATGTTATTATTTGGGTAAGTGATTAAGTTATGAAGGCTCAGCAGGAAGCTATCATCAATGAAGTAGAGTAGCCCTCACCAGATGCTGAATCTTCCAATACCTTCATCTTGGACTCTTCAGCTTCCAAAACTATGGACATAAACTTTGTTTATTTATAAATTATTCATATAAAGTATTTTGTTATACCATCCTGAATGACTAAGCTGTCTCACAGAAAAGTACCCACAATTAGCAAAATGTATAACCTTGTACATCCTACCCCAGGCTCCCAAGATTTCTGGTTTAGAATTCCCCTCTGCTAGAGATAGATTTCTGAGAAAACTGGGCCATGTCACTTACTGTCTCATAGTCATACCAGATGGCATCTGGGATGTATGCTGTCACTTGGTCCACACCCTAGGGAAACAAAAATTGTAAGTAATACTAGCATCACCCTTTACCTCTACACATCACTACCTGTGGTCATCTGAAAAATCCTGTGAGACAGTTGGGATCATCCCATTCTACTAACCAAAGCACAGAAACTCAGATTGATCAGTTTATTCAAAACCAAGCTGTACCTAGAAATTAAGTTTGTTTTGCTCAATGCTCCTACATTTCCTAGAAGAGACAGAGGAAAGTTCATTCTCTGAGTTATGTAATCTGATAGTTGTGAGGAAACTGAACCACCCAGGCTCCCAGGAGATCCTTCCAGCAAGGTCAGTTATTAGTTAGAAAAACCTGCCATCAGATGATTTGGCTAAAATACCAGCTCAACAAGTCTTTGACATGAGTACATCATTGGCAATCTTTTGTGTTTGCAAGCTGAACTGTATAATCCTGATCCTTCTCCTATACTTCCCCACTCTGCATGCAGTCTCTCATAACTGGACTTCACTCACCCTCTTCTCTCCTCTATATACCTATCCTATCCTCCCAACCCACCCCATAAGGCATTCCCTCTGCAAAAGGGGAAATAGACACACACATAGACACCAAGGCCAAGACACCATGGCCACTAAGGACACAGGCTTTAAGCAATTTTATAAGATGGAAATTGCTTAATTTGATGGAGCATTAGGACCAAGAATTCTATTTTTCTAATTTATAAATGCTCATAATCTCTCTCATCTATACTTATATTTAGACTTAAGTGCAATTATAGATACTCAGGATGGAGCTTATTCAGCTATAAAGCCATGAGGACAACTGCAATATCCCACCCAAGCATACTTCATATAAAACAGGTGTGATGAGGAGTCCAGGCCCCCATAAGAACTGCTCGTGCACTTCCCATGTGGCTGGGTCCTGGTAGAACCTAGAACATAGAGAGTACAGAGTGACAAGGGAAATTTCCAGTACAGGACAACACATCCTACATGTCATAACCGACCCTGTTACCAACAAGGTAAAGTGAATTTGTGATCTGAAAAGGAGTTTTTGATCAAGAAACTCACTCATGAACCAGGGGCCTTGCTACCGTCTCCCCCAGAGTGTGGGCTCGGTAGAAGAGGGTGTAGAGGTAGGGCAGTAGGGTATAGCGGATGTTCAGATAATGTCTGGAGGAATTCAACAGCAGAGAGTCAAAACCAAAGGCAGCAGGATCCTGATCCTGGAAGGAAATGCAAACAATTGCTAAGTATTCTTTCCAGAAGAATTTAAAAATTTCCTTATGATAAGAAGATTTCCCAGATAAACATAAATAACCATGTTCCCCAACCTGGAGAAAGTCAGAATGCTTCCAGAACCAAGTGGATATTAGTCCTACTCTTTCATTTTATGGCTAAGAAAGCAATATCAAAGATCACATTACTTTCTTGATGTAGAATTGTAAGCAAATTAGTTTTCTTTTGACACATGTCTTCTGAGGGCAACTAAAGCAGCGCAGGGTGAAAAAGAAATCCCACATGGATTTTTTTTTTTTTTTAAATCCCATGGACATAAAGAGGTCCTGCTTCTTCCAGAGTCACTCTAATTTATTTATTAAGGATTTTCTTAATATTTCACTTGGAAGATAATAGTAAGTTGTACTAAACTTAGTTATATTACTGAAAGAAAATTCAATCTATTGCCTTATGACACATTGTCTATCACCACGATCTATAGTTCAACTTTTCCTTTCCATATAATTTTATGAATTTGCAATTTTAAAATTTTATGTGTAGTTTCATAGTAATGTTTTTCCCTATCACAATTTGTTTCATTTCTGCATCCTGAAGATAATGACTTCTATTTGTTCTTTGAAATACAATGAATATATAAAGAAATCTTAAGGACAGGTTTTAGAAGATTTTGCTCAAGAACAAAGAAAGAATCCTTTAGAAGAGAAATTTAATTTTGCAAGGATCCAGAAACAGAAATTATCCGTCCAGGGTTGGCAGTCCTTTTGTTCATTTTATTTGTAATGTGGAAGATGTGAAAGAAGACTTGTCTTCCTGTACCCTGTTACTGGGACTAAATCTTGGAGAAAATTATGAGTTTGTTCCTTTCTTTTTTTTCATAGGATGCTTATCCCTTTCTCAAATACAACCATTGTGTGACCTTAATGAAGGGCTCATGAAAACCCTAAGGCCAAGCATAAAAGAAAATTGTATTCCACAGACTCCATCACCTCGTTTACAACTGAGAAAGCCTGTCCATGTGGTGTCCACAAACCCATGGCTATTGGATACTTGAAGTGAAATTAGTAAGACTGTGGAACTAGACTTTACATTTTATTTCCTTTTGATTCATTTAAATATAAATCTTAAGCCTTGATAAAATAAGTAATAAAGTATTAATAAATCTTAATACTTTCTATTAAACATAGCTTCATTATTTTGATAAATTACACTTCAACTACTGAAAATTTAACATACAAATTGTGATGTCTTAAAAGTTTAAAATGCACACTGGATTTTGAAGACTTGGTAGAAAGAAAAGGACATAAATTAGGTTATTAATACTAGTTTGGATTAAACACAGGTTTAAATAATAATGTTATAGATGTATTGAGTTACTTAAAATGTTTCCTATTTCTTTTTTACTTTCTAAATTTAAATTTAAATTGACATGTGTGGCTCTTGTTATAATTCTTTTGGACCGAGCTAGTTTGACCTTTCAGGCCATCTCTTCATGAAGAGCACCTGCCTTACCTGCTCCCAGACACCTGCTTAGATGTTCAAAAATAGTTCATCTCTCTCTAGATCACAAAGTAGCTAGGAAAGCCCAAGGATAAATATTTTGAACATTTGACTGTTAATCCTTTCAGGTTAGAGATATGTCATTTTACAAAGTCAAGAGCTAGAGCTAAAATGATAATCAGGAAGTTACTCTAATGAGTCTTTTAAAACTAAGACCAAGCCAGATGCCAATGGTTTATTTCTGACATCCTAGCTATTTGTGAAGCTGAGATTGGGAGGATCATGGTTCCAGGTCAGTCTGGGCAAAAATATTTGTGAGACTCTAACTCAACAGAAAAAAGTTGGATGCGGCGTCACACACCTAGCATTTCAACTATGGCAGAAAGCCTAAAATAGGAGCATTGTGGTCCAGGCTGGCCAGGGTAAAAATTGCGATCTTATTTCCAAATACCCAAAGCAAAAAGGACTGGAGGCATAGCTCAGAAGTCGAGTGCCTTTACAGCAAACACAAAGCCCTGAGTTCAAACCCCAATACTGCCAAAAACCAAAAATCCCTTAACACCATTCAATCTGAAACATTTCAATTGCAGATTATTTTAATAAAAGACATGACAACCCACCTTATTTGTTCTATAATGACTATAAACATTCCCTGTATAGGGACTTTGAACCCTTCTACATACCTTGGCAATCAAAAGTACTGTTTTATGTAGAAGAGAATTAAGGTGGGGTGAATCATGAGGCATAGTGCCATAGTCTCCCAAATTATTCACAAAAAGGTAGAATGTTATAACAAGATGAAAAAAAATTTAGATCACTAGACTGTCCCTCCCTAAATCCTTCTTCCTTGCTGTCACAATCTGTGAGTAATCTACCTTGTATTAATTGAAGTAAAATACCAATGAACTCCAACTGTCCCATCTTCTATAAGGTGACAACAGAAGCAGCATAGAAAATGTACCAAATCTTCTCACCTTTGTAGGAGAATTTCTAACAATAAAAGCATTTAATATTTACAATATCCTTTCTCTCTCACTCTTACCTGCTTCTCTGCTTTTTATGCTTATCACCCAAGATTTACCTATCCTCCTTCTGCAGTTAGGGCCAACCTGTAGGATTTTCCTCAACCCCTTTTTGAGGACAACTAGATTATACAATCCAAGAAGTTTCCACTACTGCTGTTGGGGAACTTACCCTATACCCAGGCCCATTGTGATTCCTTGATAGTGGATAAAATGCTCCAAGTTGCATCCATCTTCTGCAGAGCTCCTCTGTGACATTTTTTGCATAGCCACAGATGTTGGCACCTACCTAGAGAATAAATACGCAGACAAGTACTGTGGTTACTGAGAAGTGAATCACTGAGAAGCCATTTTAACATCATTCCATGCTTAAAGAGATTCCAGAGTCCCAGGGAATGCCTCAGCCAAATAAGAAAAGTAAAGTGTGCATCACAGGACAGACTGGGGAGAAGAGCAACTGGTGGTATAGTCAAGGTTCAAGATAGTTAAGGGTTTTTCCTCAATATTCAGTTTCCATTTTCATATTTCCCTAGTCACTGATGCTGTCAGTGAGAAAATGGGGTTTTCTGTGATATTAAAACATTTTACTCTTGATATCTCTTTCCTACTTACAAAGCTTTCATGGAAGACAACTCAATGATAAAGTTTTACCATTCTATCTTCAGAAGGCAGATCATGCCACACATAGAAATTAATTTTTCCAGTACATATGGGAAACATGCTTGTTAGTTTTTTAAACACCCTCAGAGATTTGTAATGGAAAGAGTGTCAAAGGACACTGGGCATGAAGCTCACCATAGGAATGCCAAACAGGTTGAACTCAAGGATACTGGGAATGGACCATCGGAGGTCATCCCATGTGGCCTCATTGTCCCCCAGCCAATGAGCAGCAAATTTGCCAGATCCAGCAAAAGTAGAACGAGATAAGATAAAGTTCCTTTTATCATGGAAGATTTTCTCCATGGCCCTGCAAAGGAATGTAGCCAGGTGAGTGTGATGTGAGTTGTGAATATCTAGAACTCAATTTATACCAATGGCAGCAATGGACTTTTTAGACAAACTGGAAAACAACAATGATAACAAGACAGCAACAACAACAACAAAAAAATCCTTCAAGTTATCAATGCCATTTAGCATACTTTAGACTTTTTTCCACTTCTAGGTAAAGTTTCAGATCTCATATAAGATAGTACAAACCTCTATTTCAGTGTCCAAAGAAACACTCTAGGTTCCTGTCCAAATTGTGTTTTCTGCATCTCATCAGCTCTGGTTAGGTCTGGCCCTTTGGACGGACAATATTTTGTAATCATCTTCTCCTCTAGACAATGTTTTTCTAACATCTCTGGGTTCCATGCCTTGCTAACAATGCATTATCCTATTTAGCACAACAGTAGCTCAGACTGGAATTTCTGTCTTCACTCTCCCTTCGAATAGACTGATAGACAGACACTTCACCTTTATTACCATTAACTGGAACTTATTACACTATACAAGCATTGATTGTGAAAGAAACACATTCGGTCTACACATAGTGAAACTGAAATAGAAATGAAGATATCTGAGGTTAAAGTTCAACAGAGGCCATTATTGTAATACAGATTAGATAAAACTGGTTATTTCCACTTTAGAGAAAAGGCTTTATTGAGAGATACTTAAGTTTTCCTTTTCCATCCCCAGATCTGGTCTATTTATGATCAGTTTGTGATCTCAGAGAAGATCAGGTCTCCTTCTGCTTTAGCCTAAACAAAGGTGAATTTCAGCCTTCTGGTTAGCCCAGTGACCACTATTCCCAAACTATATTTCTAGTTAAAGTAGCCCTAAATCTTCATTAGACCCACAACTTCAGTTCTCCTGATGTCCAGAGCCCATTGAATGAAAATCTCAATTAATTTCTATGTGTGGCATAGAACAGGTAGGGGCTATTGGAAACATTTTTCATTTCAGAGATGAGGCAACTGAGTTTTATTCATCTGACATATTTTCCAGGAAAAGTGGGATGAGTAAGAGAGCGGACAGAAAAGAGAATATAACAAAATCAGAAATAGGTGTCTTTCTTCTTTGATCTTTGCTTTTACTGAAATACAAACTCGTGCATTTTCTGGACAAAGACTCTCGCTCACATGGACATCTCATCATAATGGAAAGTCATAGGTCGAGATATTGTTGGAAAATGAAACAGATATAGCCTCTGCCTAAATTTCATCAGGTTCCTATCCTGCTCAAGTCAGGCATTTGTTCCCCCAGCACGTCTTAAATGCATACACTATTCATAAGGCTGAGGATACAAGGGCGAGTTTGCCCTCAAGGAATTTTAAGAAAAAAAAATGACCATCTAAAAATTATATATAATTTTTCATAGTAAGAATAGTTCAATATAAAAATATAACACAAAAAGGAGAAACAGTCTCTCCCTAGAACTGTCAGGAAGGTTTCCAGAACTGACATCCTAGGTGAGTTTTTATAGATAAGTACATGGTTACAAAATGAACGGAGTAAGAAAGGCTGTCTCATTCAGGACAATCAGCACATGAAAGACATGGAAGAATGAACATATTACCAAACTATAAAGTGTGATGAGTGGCAACGATGTGAGACATTAGGTTGTGAAGTGTAATGTCTTACATATTATTCTAAGGAATTAGATTTTATTATACAGAAAATAGCAAGCTACAAATAATTTTACACTGGGGAAATAAATGAGAAAACTTGTGTTTCAGAAAGATCACATCAACAGCAGTGTAAAATAGTGCTTTTAAACATTAGCATGCATTCAGCATACTCAGGTGTCTTGGTAAGAACCCAGATTTTGATTCCTTAGATCTAGGCTGAAGGCCAAGATGCCACACTTGTAATATATTTCCTGGTGATACCAATGTTGCCAGTCCTTGGATCACACTTTGAAAGGGCAGAGGACATATTGTTTGGAGATAAGGCTAAAGTCCAGGAGACTTCATGGGTTTAGTGTAGCAGTTATGCAAGAGGTGATGAAGATCTTAATTATGAAGAAACCATGGGGGGGGAACGAATAAGATACAATCATAGTAATGTTTCAAAAGTATAACTGAAAGAAATAAGGCTGATCTCATGTGGGAGCATAAAAGAAAGAAAGGATGATGCAAAAATTTCTCATTTGAGAGTCTGGGAAGTAGAGATGGTATCTTTAAAACCAAGGTAAGGTGGTTAAGAGTTTCAAAAACAACTAGCAGAGCATGGAGGTAAGCCGTGAAAGGTAACAGAGCCAGGTGAATCATGTGTGAGGTACCGTAAGACATCCAAAGAGAAAAGGTCATTAGGTATGCAGATGCTTGTATCTGAAAATAAAAGAGAGACATCAGCTAGAATTTTTAAATCATCATAATAAATTACAGTAAATATCACAGAAAGGAATAAATTGCATATAGGTTAGCAAAGAATAAAAAAGAAACCTGAGGACTGATCCTTAAGACTCATCAGTGAAAGAAAATCCAGAAAGGATCCAGAAACAGAGGTAAAGAGATGAGAAGGAATATCTGGAAAGTGAGGAAAGAAAAGGAAGGAAGAGAAGCCAGCTCAGAGCAATGGGCTATTGATCTGAGTTTCAGTATAAAGCATTCTGTATCCATTATGCTCAATCAAGGACTGTGCAATGTGCGGGGTAAGGGCAGTGAGAAGGAACATCCTCACTTATATTACAGACCCCTGTCACACTTTCAAAACAAAAAATGAAATCTAACGTTGGGTGGTTTGTTTGTTCAGACAGCATTTCTCTATGTAGCCCATGCTGATGTCAAACTTGAAATTCTTCTACCTCAGACTCCCAAGTACTGGAATTGCAGGTGTACACCACCATGCTCAACAACAGTGAGTGGTTTCGTGCCTGAGAAGTCAAATCCTGGCTCTGAGAATTCCCGTGGCTGCTGTATTTCCTTTCCTTAAGCCTGAAACAGTCCATCTTTATTTTCTCATGGCCTGTAATCTTTCTTTTCCATTCCCTCTGTAGACTCATACTTGGGCCATATCTGTCTTTTTTCACAATCCTTGTCTCCGTATAGGACCTTACTCTGAGGCATAATTCCAAAAAGTATTGGAACAAAAAAAATCTGAGGCTGAATTTTTCCTGGCAGTCTAGTAGACCAAGGTTTGGAGTTAGAAATTTAATTGGATTATAATCTAGAAAAAAATTACATTTTTTGTACAGCTTAGTTTTGTAAGACAAAATTCTCAACCATTTTAATTTTGAATAGGACACTAAAACTTTTCCAGACTCTTCATTATGCTGATGTGTACTATGCAGTCCTGAAAAGGTGGAAAGCTACCCACCTGAAGGAAAATGGGTCACATGTGAATAGACAAAAGACTGAGGGGTAGAGAAAGGGGTGCTTGTCAGAGCAAGCAGAAGGTGATAAGTTGAGGTTTTCTGTAGAAAAGAACAAAAACAGCTTTGGTTTTCCACAAGGCCTAGTTCTGAAGGGCTTTCTAGGGCTCCATCGCCAACCCAGTGAAGAACTCAGAATACCAAGACATCTGTTTTTGTTTGCTTAGTGACTTTGGAGTGTAGACGCAATATGTCCCATATTTGGTAAAGGACAACATACTCTCCACTTCACCCTTCTGGTTTCATGGTTTCATTGAAGTAATTAAGCAAGATTCCAATTTGCAATTTGTCTAAGATCTATGATTAGGAATACTAGCCAGGCACCAGGGGCTCACACCTATGAATCCTAGCTACTCAGGAAGCAGAGATCAGGAGGATCCCGGTTTAAAGTCAGCCTGGGCAAATAGTTCACAAGACCCTATCTCAAAAAACCCATCACAAAAAAAAAGGACTGGTAGAGTGTTTCAAGGTGTAGGCCCTAAGTTCAAATCTCAGTACTGAAAAAAAAAAAAAAGAAAGAAAATGATCAGTCATTCAATAGACATAAGTTTCTATGAGAAAAAGAACTTTGACCAAGAAGAAAATTGAAGGTTTAAGAAAAAGTATGATAAACTTGTCTAGAGTGAAAAGACAAAATGGGGAAATCCAGACTGAGTAGAGAAGAACACAGAGTAAGTTAGGAAAGCTAAGAGTAGATTTTGCAAGAGGCTAAATGGTTTGAAGTCAAGACTCATTCAAAAAATCATTTATTCCTTCAGTAACCAAAAGGGGCTAGAGAAACAGCTAGACCTTCATCTCAAGAGTATATGTGTGGTGGACAAAGCAGGATAAACTCTCAGAAACTGCCTGGATGCCCACCTAGTCATTGTCCTCTTAAGGAGTATAGGACATGGTACCTGGAGTTTATACCTCCCTTTGAACTTAAGCTGAGTCTATGTGACCAGATTCTACAAAGGAATGTGGGAAAATTAGGCAAAGTCCACTTCCAGGCCCACCTGAAATTAAAAATTTACTTGTTCATAAGTTAGTTTGTACCTTGGAGTGTCCTAAAATTCTCACAAAGTCCAAAATGGAAAAATTACCACCACATGCTGCCCTTGGATTATGTCAACAAAAAGCAATCTGAGACCAAGTGATGCCACAGAGACCTGAGTGGAAGAGTAGGTAGGATGTCTGCAGGATCTGTTGGACTGGGAAGTGAATTGCTATTGACCACAATGAACATTACTGAAGTCATTTTAAACATGTGTCATGTGCATCATTAGAAAACAGGGGAAAACTTACTAGGCATAAAAGGAGGAAAGTTCAAGTAGTTTGATTCACACTTATGATCAGAACCTTGGAGCAAGATGGATAATTCATCCATTTCCTTCAAAGACACAAAATGCAAGATGTTATTGATTTACAATTAGCTGCTGGGAGGTGCTGACTAAGTAGAAGCCAGGGTGACTGGGGTCTTCTATTAACTGGTTTTGGGATTTTGAATAACCTCCCCAACTTTCCTTGGCCTCTGTCTCATCTTTTGTAAAACTAAGTCATTGGAATAGGTTATAGCTAAGAACACACCAGCTCAAAATTACATTGAACACATTTCACCTTTTATAAATTGATTTGAATCTATTAAAAATATAATTTCAGAGGTTGATTATTTACCTTATAAACTGTGAGGATTGTACATTGGTGTTACTTTCTCAGTATGCCAAAGATGTATTCATCTTTGGTATTTTTATTTTATAATATTCCCTTTTATTCTACTGTGTAAGAAACAGTAAGAGATAGGTGAGGTGAAATCTGTCTTTAAAGTGAATTACATTTGTACATGGAAGCAATGCTAAGAATCTCCCTGTATAGCTATCATTATCTCAACTAGCAAAAATGCTTTGTCTTCCTTATTATTGCTTATGTTTTCTCATCAACAAAATTAGAGATAAGGGCAGAATAGGTTTTGCCTGGAAGTGAGGGGAGGTGGTGGGGAGTGGGAGAGGGCAGGGGGCAGGGGGGAGAAATGGCCCAAACAATGTAAGCACATGTGAATAAGTGAATGAAAAAATAAGTAGTGTCTAACCTTGCTAACGAAGATAATTTCAAATTTCAAAGGAATCTACCTACAGGTCTTTAATGAAAAAACCTTAAGGGCCTCACTAAATTGTTTTCTAGTGATTAAATTTTTATGCACCAATATTATAAATAAGAGTAATAACAACTTTTAATAAAGCAGTGTTTTAAAGCTGAAACAAAGTGAAGGTGGAGTGGGAGAGAAGCCAAGGTCCTGCAGAAATAAAGGACTTTATCAACATGAAATAACCAGTTGGCACAAATCCAGAATAAGAACACAGAGATCTTAGAATACTAATTTACTGTATACAAGCTCAGCATCAAGTAACAGAACTCTGAATACCAGTATGTCAAGCACACTATTATAGATCAGCATCAAAGTTCATCTGAAAATTTGGCCTGTCTACTTTCAAAGAAAAATTGGGTCTGGAATAATAACTTACAATCCATACTCCATCAAACTTCAGACGTTCATGAAATTCAGCAAACTGCTCCTTCCACCAATCAGTACACTTTGGGTTGCTAAAGTCAGGAAAGACTGACTCCCCCGGATATCCCTAGAGAACAAAAAAGGAAGAATCTGGTGATTCATTTGATGGTTCAGTTATTCATTGATCATTGGCTACCATTTCTTTTACTAGAAATCCCACATTGCTTAGCATTTTAGAGTCAAAATTGTGACTCCCTAAGCAAAAACTAAACAAACAGTAAAATACATTCAAGGAGTTAAAGGAAGAGAAAGGAAAACCAACTGATTAATTGTAAATCCATTATATCTCCTTTCCTAGACAAAAGTAAAATTTCTTTGTCAGATCAATTAGGAGATGAAAAGTGGGAGGTTAAAAGAAGGAAGTTAAGAATTCTATACAAAAAGAATGTAGAATTTTTAAATCTATTGAAACCACCATAAGAAGGGGACTAAGGTTGAAAGAAGAAAAATAGAGATGAACCAATTCAGGTTATAATATATATAAACATGGAAATATCACAAGAAAACTCCCTGTGTAGATATCTTAAATAACAAAAATGTCATTTTTTTTTCTTTTACAAATTGGAGAACAGGAGGGCAGAACAGGTCCTTCCTTGGTTGGGAGTGGGTTGTGCAGGCAGGTTGGGGGAGGAGGTGGGGAAAGGGCATGGGAGGGTGAATATAGTGCAAATACTGTGTACACATGGATGTGAATGGAAAAATTATACCTATTGAAACTGTATTCTAGGAGTGGGGCAAGGGAGGAGTTAGTAGAGAATGGTGGAGGAAGTGAATTCAAGAATGACATATTTGATATGTTAGAAATTTTGTAAATGCCACAATGTACCCATATGCAGCACAATAAAAATAAAATACTGTGAATCTAAGTATAAAATATTTTTAAAAGGAATGATTGAATATGTTTATTATTAAAGAAAGATTATATTAAACTTGCTTTGAATAAATGTCAGTTTTGCATGTAAATAATATTTTATAAATGGTTGAATAAAGTTGTGACTCTTACTCATGGTGAACACTTTTAATCCTATCTGTCTTTCTTCTCTACATTTATTAAATTACAGCTATAAACATAAAGATATAAAAGCATAGCCAAATTATTGAAAACTCTGAATTAATCTGATCCAAGCTTTTGTATAACATTCTTGCTGATTTTTCCCAACAAATTTGTAAATTGGGAATTTGGAAAAATTTTGCACTTGAAGCAATATATTGAATATATTTAGCAAAATTCAAAGAATTCTCAGTACACAAGATGGGTACTTGAAATTCCCACGTGTAATGGATTGAGCTCTTGGTTCTTTGTTTTAGGTGATGGGAAAGAAGGTAATATTGAACCTTAGGAAATAGGTGGTTTGATAAGCAATCACCAACAGCAACATGAGTGGGCCAACAAACTCTATTCTAACCAAATGCATTTGTGACACACCACTACATACCACCACCACTCCTTTGCCAATACCTTAGGCTATATGATTCATGTTAATTATTTGTCAGTGGAAATGTCATCTAATTAGTTCTTGCAATTTAATTCAAATACTTCATTATACATCATCCAAATACAAGTGCTACTGAAATGACTTATAAAACATGGATAATTTTTAAATAACCAAAATAAGTTTTATTTGACTGTAAGCTCTTATTTTTATTTTGTATGTGAATATAAGCTTACCTGATATTTTAGAAATTCACATCAGATAAAACAATGAAAGCAAAGACTTGATTTGGAGAAGGAAGAAATTTTCCTATTATTTCATGGAAAGTTAAAAGTCAATGAAAATGAAAGTAAATAAAATGAAGCATTAAAAACAAAGACAATGAAAAGAAAGACATGAACATAGTTAAGAAGGGACATTCAGGCTGGTGCATGGCTCAAGAGATAGACACTTATCTAGCAAGTGCTAGACCCTGAGTTCAAACACCAGTACCACCAAAAAAATAAAAAAGAAGGAACCATCAAGAACCCTGAAAATATAGTTTTGCAAACTACTCAGGAGCAACAAGAACTGCAGTTACATGAAATTTGAGATTCAGTACAAGTTTTTGTAAGTCTCACATAATCCAATCCTCTAGAGTTAACCCTACCTATAATTGGGGGGAAAAAGTTTGCCTATGTGATTTGACTTAAAGTACATACTCTTAGAGGTTCATCTGTCCTGAAAATAGTCTCCTGAGTAGTCTATTCCAATATCTGAAACTGCTACCTTAGAATCAAGCCTAGGCTTTGTCTAGAAGCCTTGTTTAAATTAAAAATATATTAGCTGAAATAGCTTATCATATGAGTAAACTATGATTATTCTTCTACATTATTGCAGCTGATTTTTTTTGTATTGGGAAACAGAAACTTGGAGACAGAAGGACTTTAAGTAATTTTCTTCTAATGATATACTGCTTCTGAACTATCTGAAATATTGGTGGTGCAAAGACTGACATTTTACATCCCTTAGAATTTTAATCTTTTATCATTCTATCTATTGCTTTAAAAATAGTAATGAAAGAGGGGGGAGAAATGACCCAAACATTGTATGCACATACAAATAAAAAATAGTAATGAAAGAAATGCCTAAATCTAGGAAAAGAGTAGCAGTAGTGTAACTTTCCTTTCATCTATCTCACACTAAAAGTATAAATTTCTCCCAAACAACTGTATTTACTCTGAATTTTTGAGGAAATTACCTCCCCAACAGCAAAGCCACTGCTCTCCAAGATCCATATTCTCTCCATGCTTCCACTGGTAAAAGCGGTATAGTTAGTGTCTTTGAAGATGCCAGGATTCTAATAAAGAAATAGGATATAAATATTATCCTCACAAGTTTCTTTTGCACTTCAAAATTTAAAAAAAATGAGGCAACAAGTTTAAGAATTTGAACATACCGTAATAATGATATATTTCTGTCCATAGTTGTGTAAGTCCTGAACAAAATCTGAGAGCTCAGAGTAAGCCTGTTCATCAATAGTGAAATCCTTCTTTCTATCCATGTAGTCTATGTCTGAATATTGCACATCCTGAAAGATAGCTCTGGTCAGTTACAAGCTAGGAAACATCCCCATGCTGATGAAAAGGATTTCAGCTCTGACCACTAAAACGAAAGTCACATTGTTAGGAATCCTGGAACTTTTAGGGCTTAGAATAAATAAGCTTTCCTTGAGCCACATAACGGCTCTTAGGTTGCAATTTTTTCGTCTCCTTTTGATGGGAGTATGTCATAGGGTATCAGGAGGAATTTAGGACAGGAATTGTGTCTTGTTCATCTTTATAATTTGAAAGCCTCTAGACATGTATAAATGTTTGTTTGGATGAACATATTAGCAATGCTATACCCATGCATTACCTTGGACCCAAAACATCAAGACAGAATAAAAGGTAAATGGTCATTTACCTTGTAATACTGCTAGAAGAATGGTTAACAAAGATAAATGACAAAAGGATAGCACATTCACTTACTAAATTCTTATGTATGCATTGCTGATTGTGTTTGCATATCAATCTATGAAGAACAGGTTTTATTCTTAGAGAGAAGACTGAAATGTGAAGGGGTTAAGTAATATTTCCCAAAGTCACACAACTGAGGAGGTGTGGGGATGTTTAGAGATTTTGTGATACCTCAACTCTGAATGCTCACTTGCCCCCAATCTGCACTTACTTCAAGACATAAGTCTTCCATCTGTACTTAATAAGGTTGTGTACCAAAATGGAGGCTCCAGTTTGTGGTCTGCTGTCCAATGTGACATCATCTGTTCTGGTACTGGGTAATCACTTAGGACCCATGTATCCTTTCTCAGCCACACTGAAAGAAGCTCCCACCCTTGAACAAAAGCTCATTTGTTCCTGAACTGGCAGCATTTCAGAAAAGCCCTTCCCATAAGAGGGAGGCAGGAAGTGTTGCAAACAACACCACACATACAATCAAAAGAACTACGTTTGCCTACTGCACCTTCCACATAGCTAGCTGTGCAACCCTGTAAAAGTAATCACCATACAGCATCTCTATTTCCTCATTTACAAAATAGTGATAAACAAGAACTAACCAGAGATGTGAAAGCCCTTTGTAAAAGAATAAGAGTGTCACCAAATTTTTTCTGAATCATCCTGGAATTGGACCTTTTCAGATAGCAGATATGGGAGAATTAAAATTTATACAATTTCTCCTTAATATTGAAACAACATGGTGGGTATCATTTCTCCCAGGAAAAAAAATGCTCTCACTGCCTGTCTTCTTCAATACTCTAAGAGGGTGCTGAAGAATCCTGATGTGAGGTCAGGTCAAAGTCATTTCCACCTGTACAATCATTCTTCAGAACACACACTGGGCCTGCAATAAGGTTCCAAAGTTTCAAAGAGCTCGTGTGAAATAATTATTTTTGATTACTTCACTATCTCCCAGAGGTGCTTATCAAATATTACATACTCAGAAATTATCTTTTGCTTTACAGGTGGACATTGAACATCATAAATACTTTTGCAGCCACGGATATTCAGTACTAGAATCTGTATTATCTGAAAGGAGTTTAAAGTTCACTATGAGAAATACACTTAATGTAAGTCATAAGTGTAATTGTCACCTCAAGTGTTGCTTTCTCTCATAAAATAGCAGCTAACTTGGATGGATTTTATCTCCTTTTCTAGAAGCTTTGCATGCATTTCACAAGATATTTATTTTAACCATCCCACCAAAGTCTTCAATTCTCATTTTATAAAGGTGAAAACTAAAACTCAGTGATGATAATTAATTAACCCAATGTTGCATGAAGCTATAAAAAAAGTAAGGCTAAAATTCAAAGCCATATGCATTTGACACCATAAACTTCCATGACTAGATGGATAATTCACCATACACACTTATGACAATAAGTATCTGCCACTCATCTATCATTCTATTAATATTTTTCCTAGTAAATTGAATTCAATGCAAAAAAAAGTGAAAGTTAGGAAATGGTGCTTAAGGAATGATAAGAGAAGTTTCATCTTACATATGGGATCTCAGCTTCACGAGTTCGGGTTACAACTTCTCTCAATCCATTAATGCCACCATAATCTCTGCGACTAAGCTGGAACCCAAGACTCCAGTAGGCAGGTAAAAATGGTCGTCCAACAAGCTGGAAAGAGAAGTAAAAGGAGTGTCTAAGCTTTTATAATAAGCACTGTTGCACTATGAAACAATGGAAACATTTGCTCTGTTTCATTTTCTACCAAGTCCTCAGGTAAAAATGTCAGAACCAAGAGAAATCCTCTAAAGTAATCTAGAAAACTCCACAACTCACATCCTTCTTTTTTTTAAAATTTTTTATTATTGTTGTACTGGAGGTACATTGTGACATTTACAGAAGTTCTTACAATGAATCATAGTTGAATTCACCCCCTCCATCATTCTCCTTTATCCCTCTTCCCTCCATTCCTGGAACAATTTCAACAGGTCTCATTTTTCCATTTACATACATGTGTACATAGCATTTCCACCATATTCACCTCCTACATCCTTTCCTTATATCATCCCCCCGACCACTGGTACCAACTCCCCAGACAGGACTTGTTTTGCCTTCCTATTCTCCATTTTTGTAAAAAAAAAAAAAAAAAGATATTTTTGTTTAAGATAGCTACACAGGGGTTTCATTGTGACATTTCCACGTATATATGTATTATAACCCAAATTGATTCATCTCCTCTATTTTTCTCCTTTCTACCTTAATTCCTATCTTATGGTGAGTTCAACAGGTTTAAAAATTCTATAAATACCTAAATGTATTCCCCAAAACTGCAACACCAGACATTAGGATTTCAGAAAATGTTTCACCAATGGAGTCATCTTGTAGGGGAAAACAGTAATATTTTTGTTTAGGTGGTTAGTTTGCAGTATTGGGGATTAAACCCAGGCCTTGCACATGCTAGGCAAGTGCTCTACCACTGAGCTACACCACCATCCATGAAAACCAGTGATATTTATTCATTCCATACATATTCTTTCTGTATTTATGCTGTACAAGGGCAAGTGTAGGCAGTGAGGACACGACACAAATATAATTTTTGCCTTTTTTGAGCTTAAAGGAAATGTCTAATGTAATTTCAGATAGTGGTATATGCTAGGGGGGAAAAGAATAAGAGCTGATAGGATTAAGAGTGGGGTGTGTGAGCAATACCACTCTTGGGGATATACCCAAAAGACTGTGACACAGGTTACTCCAGAGGCACCTGCACACCCATGTTTATTGCGGCGCTATTCACAATAGCCAAGCTATGGAAACAGCCAAGATGTCCCACCACTGACGAATGGATTAAGAAAATGTGGTATCTATACACAATGGAATTTTATGCAGCCATGAAGAAGAACGAAATGTTATCATTCACTGGTAAATGGATAGAATTGGAGAACATCATTCTGAGTGAGGTTAGCCGGCCCAAAAGACCAAAAATCATATGTTCTCCCTCATATGCAGACATTAGATCAAGGGCAAATACAACAAGGGGATTGGATTTTGAGCACATGATAAAAGCGAGAGCACACAAGAGAGGTGTGAGGATAGGTAAGACATCTAAAAAATTAGCTAGCATTTGTTGCCCTCAATGCAGAGAAACTAAAGCAGATACCTTAAAAGCAACTGAGGCCAATAGGAGAAGGGGACCAGGAACTAGAAAAAAGGTTAAATCAAGAAGAATTAACTTAGAAGGTAACACCCACGCACAGGAAATCAATGTGAGTCAATGCCCTGTATAGCTATCCTTATCTTAACCAGCAAAAACCCTTGTTCCTTCCTATTATTGCTTATACTCTCTCTTCAACAAAATTAGAGATAAGGGCAAAATAGTTTCTGCCAGGTATCAAGGGGGTGGGGGGGAGAGGGAGTGGGTGGAGTGGGTGGTAAGGGAGGTGGCGGGGACAGGGGGGAGAAATGACCCAAGCATTGCATGCACATATGAATAATAAAAGAAAAATTAAAAAAAAAAGAGTGGAGTGTGTGAAGAAATACTGAAATAGGCTTAAAATCCAAGCCAAAATTTTGAGAAGACTCAAATGTCTCCCATCATCACAGAAGAATGTCTTCTCTCATGCCTCTGAATTCCCATGAAGTTTCTTTGTACCTCATTAGCAGCATTTATATAAGATGCTTCCTCTAATAATGACTTCAGTCTGTGATGTTTCCCTAATTTAATGATAAATTAACTGGAACCATACTTAATGTGACTTCATAAGCCATCTTGAATAAATCGCTTCATCTTTCTGCATCTGAATTTTCTGTCTGTAAAGTAAAAAGCTTAGGCTAAGTGCTGTCTAAAGTTCTCTGTGTCCTGTAGCTTGAATAAAATATTAGTATCTAGAAATGTGTCTTTCACATACTCCCTTTTTCCTGAATTTTTATTTGCTGATTGCATGAGCCTTGCTGATTTATGGCTTTGAGTTGATTGATCCTGCCTTGATGAATGGTGAATGCCTGGCAAACAGATGGCATCTGACTTACTGTTGCATTTCTCAAGCCTCACATAGTGCATCTCACCATGTAGAAATGATCCAATAAATGTCATCCAAATAAATAAACAAGGTGTGAAAGACTTGCAGCCTCAACATTTACATTCACCTAATCTACTAATAACCTTTATTTTCCTCTCATTAGTTTAAATGTGTCCACTAGGAAAAAAGCAATGTGAAATGTTTGTGTACATGCAAAGCCATACCTTCAGATATTCCTGAACCACTTCCTCTGGAGTGTTCCCCAGGAACACATAAAAGTCAAGAATGCCCCCAATCGTGCGGTAAGTGATCGCAGGAGCAGGCTGAAGGGCAACCTCTGAAAGAATTAAAATCAGTTATTAGAATCTCATATGTAAGAATATACTTTTCTGCAGATAGAGGAGATGAACCAATTAGGATTATAATACATATGTACATGAAAATGGCACAAACATGAAAATGTAAACAAACAAAAATGTCTTTTTGTCAAAAACAGAACAGGAAGGTAAAACGGGGGTTGGTGTAGGTGGGAGTGGGGAGGATATAAGAAGAGGGTATAGGAGGATGAATGTGGTAGAAATGCTATGTACTCATGTATGTAAATGGAAAAATGAGACCTGTTGAAACTGTTCCAGGAATGGGGGGAGAGGGGATGAAGGAGAATGGTGGAGAGGGTGAATTCAACTATGATATATTGTAAGAACTTTTGTAAATGCCACAATGTACCACCAATACAACAATAATATGATAATAAAAATCAAAATGAAAGAATATACTTTTCTTCAGAGCATGAATATTTGAGGCATCCAAAGCAATCAGTTTCATTCTCAAAGTGAAAAATAATCACTTTTCTTTTATTAGATGATTTTTGAACTTTAATATATCAAATGAGTAAGACACCAATGAAGAACTGAATTTTGTTCTATAAGAAAAAAACCAAATTCTATTTTAATCTGAATTTCTGAGAATTGTGAGTGTTAATAATAAAGTTTTTTGAAACTTTTATTAGAGGAGTTTAACTATAACCAAAAATTTTTAAAAATAAGTAATGCTTATTAGCACACCACTAATACAGAAGCTAGAGGAAGAGATTATACAGTGGGGCTATGAGAAACAGCCCACAAAACACAACCTGTTGCCTGCAGGCAGACAGCATGTATATGTCAGAATCTGAAATGTGTCTACCAGTGGATCCTATTATCTGTAGAATATTAGGGGAGATATTCCACCAAAGGAGGTCTCTGAAGCAGTTTTCAATAAAATGGCTCTAAGCATGAGCTGGATTTGTAGACAGGTTGACCTATTTTCAGGTTCCAGTTTCAGTCGGAGCTTTGTAGATTCAATACACCTCTGTTAAAGTTTCCTCATCATACAAGTTATTTCCTATAAAAGCAGCATCCCCAAACCTAATCCCATTCATAGAAGATTAAAAAGAACGTAATGCTTCCTACCCATGGCATTACTATTCATCAGAAAAACTCCAAAAGATGACCCACTGGTATCTTCAAGGCACAAGAAAAATGTATGTGCTCCATACAAGTTAATCATGCCCTGTTGGTAAGAAAGGAAGGAAAAGTAGCATTAGGATCATGTATATAAAATGCTTATTCTGCTGGGCATGGTGAGACATGCCTATATTTCTAGCATTCAGGAAGTACAGGCAGGGTGATCATGAATCAGAGTCCAACATGGGCTATATAGTGAGTTCCAGGCCAGGCTGGGCTGCATAGAGAGACTCTATCTCAAAAAATGTTTATTCATCCTAAAATAAAATTAAAAGTCTCATCATACATGTAATTGATTAGCATTTAATATAGTAAATTATTGCACCAAAAAGATATTGAAATGACATTATCAACCAATAAATGGAGAACAAAAATATGGTGAATCCACTAATATGGTGAATCATACCATTCAGCAATGATAAGAAATGAAACATAGATGCATGCTACAACAAAACACACACAAATGTTATGCTAAGTGAAAGAAATAGACACAAAAGACCATATATTGCATGATTCTGTTTATATGAAATGTCTAGAAAAGCAAATCTACAGACAGAAAGATAGAGATTGCCTGGGGCTGAATGTGGACACTGAAATAGAATTGGGGTAAAGTCTAAAAGGACATAAGTTATCCTAGTGGGATGATGAAAATGTTCTAAAACTGGGTTCTGATGATGATTGCACACTTAGTATTAAAACCATTGAGTTGTACTTAAGATGGGTGAATTTTATGGTATATAAATTATATTGTAACCAAGTTATTTTTAAAATACTGGAAAACATTTTCAATGATATATGCTAAATTTTAGCAGGAGGTGATGGTATTATGAGTAATTTTGAATGTCTTAAGTCTAACTGTATTTTCTAATCTTTCTAAAATTAATAAGTAATATTTCGATAGTAAAAAAATGTTTAAAACATCTTTTACAGGTGTGAGCCAGTGACTCACACCTTTAATCCTATCTACTTTGGAGGCAGAGATCAGGAGAGTCCTCCTTTGAAGCCAGCCTGAGCAAATAGTTCAGGAGACCTTATCTCGAAAATACCCAACACCACATAGGGCTGGCAGAGTGGCTCAAGTGGTAGAATGCATGTCTAGTATGCGTGAAGCCCTAAGTTCAAACCCCAGTATCACACACACAAAAAAAAGTTTAAAACTTAAAAAAAATATATAGCTGAATCTCTCACAGAGAGAGTTGTGATGAGATAAAGTGTATGTGCTTTAAAAATAGCAGATATTGAGATTATAATAGGCCGAAAGTTTTCTAGAAGTTCCCTGTGTGATAGTGTCAAAACAAACCCTGGTATGGGGCAATTGTACTGATAATTATAGATTCCAGAGAGAGAGAAGAAAGTCAACATGATATACAAAATAGAGGTGATCAATAGGCCTACCTATACTAGATTTCAAATGGTGTCTAGGAAGACTCATGACATCGACACTTAGAATACAGGTAAAAAATTTTAAGTTTGAAAGGAAGGAAGGGAGAGAGTAAGGGAGGGAGGGAGGGAGAGAGGGAGGAAAGAAAAGAAAAAAGAGGGAGAGAAAAGGGAGAGAGGGAAGGAAAGAAGGGAAGAATGGGAGGAGGAAAGAAGGAGGGAAGCACAAGAATGGGAGAAAGAGAAAAGGAGACAGAAGGAAAGAAGGAAGGGAGGGAGAAAGGAAGAAAGCCAGGTGTGCTGGTGTACATGTGTAATCCCAGTAACCTGGGAGATGGAGGCAGGATGATCTTGAGTTCAAGGCCAGCCTGGGCAAAGGTATGGAGAACTTATCCCCGACCAAAATACAAACAAAAGTTTTGGAGGTGTAGCTCAGGTGGCACAGTGCTTAACTATCAAGAGGGAGGCTCTGGGTTCAATCCCCAGTACCCAGGAGGCAGTGGGGAGGGGGAAGAAGTTGAAGGGGAGGAAGGAAGGAAGGCAAGCAGTCACTTAATCTAAGTTATCTAATTTAAAATTTCAGCTGTAGAAAGTCAAACTGAACATGAAACTAAGGGTATTTGTCTAGATCCTTGACCAAAGGTTGACATGAATGTGCTAGCCACTGTTTTTCCTTTTTGTTCAGTTCGGTAAGAGAACTCCTTCCATTGCATCAGATACCAGTAGAACTACACGTTAACGTGCTACTTGCTTTGTTCACCCCTTATAAATTATGAGTTGACACACATCAATCTCTCCACCCAACCCCCCGCGCCATACTTCCTCCTGCAATGCCTGTACAGATCTGAGCACGTCGTCAACACGGGGGTACGCTCTGTACACCAATTCTACTCAGTGTTGCCCATGGACTGGGACCTTCCAAACCCTTTTACTCTCAGTCAGCAATAAGACAAATATGAAAATCAAAGTCAGAGCTTGAAAAATCTTTCATAGCAATTTGAAAGAGTAATTTCATGTCTCTTCAAAACCCAGGCTTGCATGTCTTTGGTATTTTTATTTCATTTTTCCAAAAATGTATTTTAATTGTATTTTACAATTACAAAATTGAAAAAAGAAAAGAAACTAATCCTTCACTCCAGGAAATCTGAAAGGCACTGGGCTAGAATGGCCTTATCCTGAAGAAGAAGATTGCCTTGAAACAGGGCCATAAAACATGGGAAGCTGCCAATTAAAGCTGTAAAAGAGGTTACCTCAAACAGGGCCTTAAAGCATGAGAAATTGCCATTAAAGTTATAAAAGAACCCGAGATAAAGGGCACCATGCAAAGATAATCACTCATTCCTGCCTTCCTTTGTCTCCACTTATAAATAAACTTTCCAAAGCAGATCTCCCTTGCTGGTCTTATCAAAACAACCTTAGGTCTCTAACTCACTGCTAGCCCCGATGCCCTGCACTGCCTTGTAAATATCCTGTGAATCCTTGGACAGGGCCCAGGTAAGTTCTCCATGGCTTTTTGTCTGTCACTATTTCCAAACAAACCCAGCTTGGATCTTGTTACCACACAGGTTCAGATTCAGTGGGTATCAGAGCCTCTTTGGCCTGAGATTCTAACAACCTGCAAAGTGATGCCAGCACTGCTGTGTTTGAAATACACTTTGACTAACAATGCAAGAGATTAAAAGAAAAAAAAGAGGCCTTTTTCATCCACAAGGTTTCATTGAGAATGGTCCCCACTGACATTCTCCTCTGGCTCGTTATTAAAGGCAAAAAGTATTATTTTAAGTGGGTTTTCTATTATATATTAGGCTCTAATAATTAAATTGTTTTCCAATAGAAACAAATTTTTTTAAATTGCTGTGTTTCTAATTGTGTTTACAAACATCAACAACAGGGATTTCTCAACACAAGCACATCTAAATTTAGTAAAATAAGATACAGATGTCTCTTTCTAGGCTACTGTCAAGAACAGAAAGCTGGGGACAGGGGAAGGGGCCTCACCGCAGTGGGGATAGCGTCCCTGGTGAAGATGGGCCAGGTCTTCCAGTCCGTGTTGTGTCTGTACTGCCCGTGCACGTGTTCTCCCAGCCCATACACATTGGTGCTGGGCAGTCGGAAAGACAACTGCAGGAACTGTTGGGCAAACTGGAGGGGCCCAATGCTTGTGTCCAACCTGGGCCATGGCGGGGAGAGAAAGGGTCACTGAAGAAGCATTCTCTCATCTCTGCCAGGGAGTTGTTTGCTCCTTTCCACATGCCCTCCGCTATCAGTTACTTTAGGTTTTAACATCAATTTTCATGCTACCTTTGGAGAACCTTCCAGGGAATTTCTCATTCTTTGAATCTAGGGGAGGGGGGGTGGTACTAGTAATGGTGTCCCCAGGGCTCAGTTTGGATGATTAGGAGGAAAGAAGAGACCTTGCACTTGCTGTGCATCAGCTGCATGCCAGACACTACACTGTGTGCGTTCTAGGGATTAACTCATTTCCCCTAGCAAAAGTGAGTATTTTGATCCATTGTTTTTATGGACAAGGAAACTGATGCTGAAGGTGCCTTATATCACATGATTGGTGATTCTCTAGGGTCAGGATTTGAACACGTGTTTCACTGACATTACTACTCGTATTTTCTCCAGTACGATTCATGATGCACATTCAAACTAAGTGCTTGATGACAAGATTCACAGGTAGTGATACTTTGGAATGATAAACAGTGAAATTTGACCTACAGTGTGAATGACAACTCAAAGCAATAAAATTCCCTGTTTCATAATGCAAGTGAACTATAAATATATGTATGTTAGTGTACATTACAAAACTAAGCAAAGTAGTTCATTTTCGTGTTCTCTGCTGTACAATGATGACAAGTTGCATTGTGAATTACAGTAGATCATTTTACGTTTTTCTTAAATTCAAGCCTGTCTCCAAGCCATTCTTATTTTACTCTGCATCCAGGGTGTGTCAAAATGAGTGATAGTAGGACTCTACACTCAAAGATGTACAGAATGTTGAAAAGCTCACAAGACTCTATTGTTGCTTTTCCGCATTATTCTGATGCTAAAGGGCTTATGAGTGACTTCTACGTGATAGCTCCCATTGGATTTATAAGCAGTATCAGTATCTTGAGCCAGATCCATGATTTCATCAGGGACTTCATAGCGCAGTGCATTAAAATCAGTGATCTGTCAAAAGAAAAACAGAAGAGGGGAATTCCAGGTAAGACCACTTCCTTGTAGAGCAACCAAAGGTTGTCACTAACAGCCCACAGCTAAGAACCGCTTCTAATTCTTTACCCTGTGTTTCTGATTTGTGAAAAGAAATCACCAAGTACACTTTCCCTGTCAAGTAAAAATTAGCCTGCCCATCCCATTCAGAGACTCCTGCAGAAAAGAAGGAGGTGCCTTCTGCTTCAGCACCTTCCCAGGATGGGGCAGTGGAGCCTCCAGCAATGATCTCCAAACCAACCTTAAAATGAAAGCGATTGGATGTCTGATAATCAGCTGTGAAGAGGGTATCAGTGACATCATTTCCAAACAGAGATGGGGATGGCAACTTTTTCAACTGGGCAGTAAACCCTAGGATGGAGAAGAAGAGCAAGAGAGGGAGCTTTAGCTTTTATTTAGCTATTGTCTTATTTGGGTCACAAGGAGTTGTTTCTGAGGCCACGATGGGGACAGTACTGACCTGTGCTTGTATTTGTAGGGCCACTGTGGACTTCATAACCCCAGTTCCTGGGGAAGAAGCACCTAGGAACATTGGTGTCTGCATCAGGCTTCCAGCAGCATTTATGTTGCCATCTGCAGATTTCCTGTAACAATGGCACAGAGATGGCATTACATAAAATGATGAAAGGAAAGTATTATTTTTCTATTTATTTCAAGGAGAATTTAAAACAAACCATAATTATGTTCATTCATTTATTCCTTCTTAACTTATTCATACAGTTATATAGCCTTCAGTAATGTGTTTATAATCTATCAGATTATTATCTACAAGACAAGGAAGATAGTGGTAACACAGATAAATAAAATATTGCTTGTGCCTTCAGTAGGCTTACATTGTAGTGGTAAATCAAGACAACTAATATCCAATAATATGAAGAGTTCAGTGCCCCAACAGAATGTGCCTAGGAGCTAAGGAAACACACACACATCACCCAGGCTGGAAGGCTGGGTGTGAAGGAGGATGGGCTTTTAGGTAGAAAAAAAGGTAAATTCATCCTAAAACACAAGGAGGAGTTAGACAGATGAATAGCAAAGCAGTATTCCAGGCAGAGAGCAGCAGGGCTTGATAGGAAAAAACACAAATGTATTATATCCAAGAACATCAGATAAGAGCAGTGAACATTGAAAGATCAAGAGAAGGATACAAAGGGACATGAATGTATATAGGTGACTATGGGGGGTGGTTAATGGGAGGAGGGGAGAACAGAAAAGACAGGAGGAGTGAAGAGGATTGAAGTATGGTGTATATATACATCTGAACACTGCATTATGAAATCCACCAAACACTGTTTGAAAGGGAAGGGAAGAGGGAGAGGAGTAATGGGAATACAATGGAAGGGTAAATTTGTTCAAGATACACTGTACACATGTATGGAATTATCACAAGGAAATCCTCTCATATTATGAATAGTTGAATAATCAAAATTTGAAAAGAGAATTGAAAAAAAAATTTAAAAGGGAAGGATACACAGTAAGATATTGACTTGATTCTGAGGAGGATATTTGGAGAAAACATGAATTAGAATTTCCCCTTTTTATTCTCTATATAACTATAATGTCTTAATCTTATTAAATGAATATATTCTGTGTAGGTTGTTAAAAAATAAAGAATACGTCACAACACTACTTATTTGGAAAAGATATAGTACTGACAAGTATTTTAGATGCAATATCTGAGGTAATTGGCACAATTACAAAAAAAGCCACAATGTAAATATAACTTAGACCAACATTTCATTCCTACTATGAAAAATCAATTACATTATAATCATACAATCTTTCAAAATACTTATCTATTCTCCACAGATCTAATTGATATTCCTGCCTCATTCTTTTCGGATAACAACAACAACAAGACTGGAAGGGATCAATAAAGAAAGAATTTGGGCTCTAGATGGCCTCTAGATTACTGATTTTTCCCCGACTCTGAGATATCATACTCTGTCACTTCTGAAACTGAGGTCTGCAAAGTCCAAAAGGTGAGTTTCATTGCCATAAGTTGATTCAAATCTACAAAACTCTATGAAGATCAATAAACATTCAGGCAATCATATTTGTATGTGCAATTCTTCTTTCAGTCCCAGACACTGAAGGTCAAGCTATGGGGACAATTACTTACCAATTCTTCAAATTCCATATCTCTTCTGCTATCGATATATATGCACATATATTAATGTATATTTCATATATAATATCATACTATGTTATACTAATATTTTATGCATGCATATAATGTTAATATACACAATGTTATTATATGGAAGCAATATTGTTTTCCTTCTTTTTCATTTCCATTTTCACTACAATATCACAGACCCTCACAAACTATAGTCTGGGCAATTAAATTGACTCACAAGTCTCCTTATATCTATTCTTTCCTTAATACTGAGCCTTCCTGATGAATATTACCAGTTATCTTTTCAATCAGATAATATTGACCAATAGATTTAAGAATTGACTTGGAAATTGTCTACTCCAACTTCTATTTGATATAAATATTTCTTCAATAGGGTCTCTAATAGAAACTTAAATTCTGTCAATGATGTACAGCAAACTTTTTCCAAAATCAGGAAATCGTACTTTAATATTTAGTATTTTAAAACAATGATGTCTCTTTTTTATCTGGATTTGGTTCCAGAGCTCATAGCCCTTTCATTAAAAAAATGTTACCTTTTACATTATAAAGCAATTAGTGGCACAATATCACAATAGCTTAGAGAATTAAATGATCTTGGATTGTCTACAGAAGTTGTTATAATCTATATCATGAGTTCAGAATTTAATTCATTAAAATAAATTATGCATCACTTAAAATTCATCATTGTGTTTTCCCCCAAAATTCTCATCTCACGTTCACGCTTAAATGACAAGTTATATTTGAAATAATATTTCTTATGTTAGATAAAATCAGCCTCCAGAAAGTTCTATTTTTTAGAATCTATGATGGTTGCACATTACCTTTTAGATAAACTATCTCAAACCACATTGAAATTTTAGAAAGGAAATGGAACCTTAATGCTATGAGGTAAAGTAGTAGTGGAATATATATTAGAAAAACACTTTTAACTATTGTTATTTTCAGGTAACATTACCATATCACAAAAATCCAAAATATTCTACATATAAAAGAAGAGAATTAATAAATAAAAGAAGCATTACTTTTCAGTATCAGCTAAACCTAGTGAAGTACACATCCTACAAACTGGAAATTCCATCCCTAGGTATAGAACCAATGAAATCCTCGTATGTTCACCGAAAATCATGTACTATACTATTCATGGCAACATTATTCAAACAACAAATTCTCCCCTGAAAATTCACAAATGCCTATCAAGAGTAGAGTGGATAAAAAATATCATAGTGTATTTCATACAGTAGACTGGCATATGGTGAAAGAGTTAAAACAACTCTAACTCCTCCCAACAACAAGATAAATCTCATAAAAATAATGTTGAGATAAAGATTTATTTATTACAACTCTGAACTTATTAATTTGAAAACATGACAAAGTGGACAGTTTTCTATGAAAAGCAAATAGTACTGATAAGAACATTTTAGCATATACCAATGGGAAAAGGGTTAAACAAACGGTGGCATATTCATATAATGGACTATCCCCCAACAATATAAAGACAATTCTAGTATTGTACATGCAACAATATAGATGAATCTCAAAACTAGGCTGAATGGAAGAAACTTTGCACCACACTGTGATTCCATTCATATGAAGTTCTGCAGCAAACAGAACTAAACCCTGATGGAAAGAAACTCTATCTGTGATTACCTCTTGAGAGACTACAAGCGGGGATGACTACTAGGAAATCATGAGGGAGCTCTTTGTAGTGATGGTAATATTCAGTATCTCTACAGGGATTTGTGTTCCACAGGTGTAGCCAATTGCCACAATTCAACAAATACTGTCAAGTATTGTGTGAAATGTACAACTTTCTGTTTTTGCACTGTACATAAGCTTAACATCTTAAGGTGAACACTATAATAAAACACTGGACTCCAGTTAACAACATGCATGATGAAGTATCTGTGGGAAAGTGAGTTGGTGTCCAGAATTTACCTTCAAAAACTTAGAAATAAGATGGACTGATGGATGGGTAAAGTGTGGAATAAACTAATATATATGAGAAAACAAGGTAAAATATTAATGGTAAAATTTAAGTGGTGGGTGGAAGACGTTACTGTAAAATTCTTTCAAGTTTTTATGCTTAAAATTTTGACATTAAATTATTGGGAAAAATTCACATTCTCTTCTTTTAAAAAAAGAAAACTTTAAAAGTAAGAATATAAAAGTGGTTCTTAAAATAAGCAAAGCAATTCTCTTAAACCAGTAACCAACTTCATGCTTAATAATTTACATATGAAGAATTTCCATTAAACTCAAGCACAAATAAGTTTTACCAGTCTTCCCTCTTTCATTTATATCATTCTGAAAGAACAAGAGAATGCAATTGGACATGTGAATGAAAAGCAAAATTATCATTATTAGTCTTCCCATAACTTTATAATTAACAACTCAAAGGACACAACTATAAAAGTCTTTTCTAGAGACAATAGGACATTTATATTGGTCAATTACATAATAAATACATAAACATAATTTAACCTAAAAATAATACATACAAAATAATCATTAATAAGAAAAGAAGCATTGTAATAAAAGAAGCATCAGTTAGAAAATACAATGGATTATAGTCTCCCTAGAAACTAAAAATATGAAATATCTAGTGACAACCTCATAATGTATTTGCAATAAAATATAAACTAAGAGAAAATAAAATTCCTATATATGTATACATATTAAAATGTCAACATTATTTAATTTAACCAAAAATTCAATATAGTTTAAATTAATAACATGACAGGATATTACAGAATATAGAATGAATACAGTGTAAAGAAATAAAAGTTGTATAGACAACTTTTATGACAGTCATAAATTACCATTATGTACGGTTCAAATAGTTGATATTCTTATGGAATCTACTTAGGGAGAAAAATCCATGTTCTTTACCATATATTCATTGGGACTTCTGTTGCCATCTGCATAATTCCAGAAGGCTCTTATTATAAAGGTCATTTGAGTTCTACAAGTGACTCTAGCATTCCACGTGTGTTTTATAGCCTCATTCTCAAGAAATACATAGTGTAGCTGACAGATGGCTAACTTTTCCATGGTTTACCTTAAAATCATACTTAGGATAAGTTCAACATTTGTTACTTCCCTCCATTTTGGACACTTAATCGTGTCTTACACTTTCCTTCTGTCTGCCTTACTCCACTCATTTGCTTGGTGTTGCTGTTTATTTTCATTAAGGCAAGAAAGAAATACCTCCAAACAATTCACAGGCCCCTAAGCCATTCCACCGCTACCCTCTTCCACTTAACATACTTAATTTCTTTTAAATAAAACCCAGTGCACCACCAGCAGAGACCCCATTTCTCTGACCTCTGTCACCACCTGGCCAGGTGTGCAGTCTATCCTTTCTGACTGAGGAATCTCTGGGCACTCTGGAATAAATGAAGAATCTGCATAGAAATGAAAGGACAAAGTTGAAATTTTTAGTGTAACCACTACTCCAGAAAGGAAAGTAACAAAGTTACAGACTTTCAGTCAGTTCTCCAATCGACAAATCACTGGTATCTGATCTGGTACCTACATCTGCATACAATATGTAACGCTTCTCCAAATGTTAAAATATTTGTGATTTTTTGGTTTGTTTGGTTTTTAGAGATATAATTCACACACAATAAAATTCACACTATTGGAACATATAATTCAATGGTTTTTAATATTTAAGAAAGCTCTGCAACCACTGACCACCAACTAATTCTAGAACACTCTCAATGAGCACTCACGTGAAAAGGAATCACATGACTATTGGTTATCACTTCCTCTTGCCACTTTTCCCATTTTTGGTGAATATTAATCTAATTTCTGTTTGTATGGGTTTTTCTATTCTGAACATTTCATATAAACGAAATCATAAGTGACTTTTGTGTCTGGCTTCTTTTACTTGGCACTGTGGCTTCATTCTCTTTTATGACTAAGTCATAGTCCATTAGGTGGATATAACACATTTTCTTTATCCACTCACCAGTTGATGTGCAATTCTATTGGTTCCTCTTTTTGACTATCATAGTCTACTGTGAGCATCCGTACAAAAGTCTCTTTGTGAACATGTGTTTCCAATTCTCCTGTTTATATGCCTAAAACAGGAATTGCTAAGTCATATGGTTAACTCTACCTTTAACTTTTTGAGCAACTGCCAAACATTTTGCTAAGGTGGCTACACTACTTTATGTTTCTATTAGCAATATATGCGGATTCCAAATCTCTGTAACCTAAACAATACTCATCATTTTTCTTTTGTAATAAAATCTAAGTGATTCTTGTAACTGTGAAGCAGAATCTTTTTTTTTAGCTTTCATTTCCTAAATAACTGATGATGCTGTATCTTTCATGAGCTTAGATTCATTTGCAAATTGTCTGTAACGAAATATCTATTTAAATCTTTTGTTCACTTAAGAATTAGGTTAATTTTCTAATTTTTTTTTGAATTGTAGTATTTCTTTACATATCCTAGGTACTAGGCCCTTACCAGATGTATCATTTGTAAATACATTTCCTGATTCTGTGGATTATCTTTTACTTGTAGCACAAGTTTTTAAATTTTTTAAAGTTCAATTTGCCTAGTTTTCCTTTGGTTGGTATACTTTGGGTATTATTTCATAAAGCTGTTGCCTAATATTGATTGCAAATACTAAATATTGGTTCTTCTTTGAGGTTTATAGTTTTACATTTGGTCTTGATCCATTTTGAATTAATTTTCATATATACTCTCAGGTAAGAATCCAACTTCACTTGGATATCTATTCATATTACACATTTGATTCTTTTACTTATTTGTTGCTTATATTTGATTTTGTTCCACTCCCAACAAACTTTGGTGTAGACTAAGAAGATATAAAATATACAATATGCACTTTCACTGTCAGAGTGCTAAAGTGATAGATTGCCTACCTAAGGAGCATGAGGCCTTGAATTCAAACCCTAGCACCATCAAAAAAACAAGTTTGTTCATAAAATAAGCCCTTTCATTCATATTTAGTTATTCTTATTTTGGCTTTATAAACTTTTTCAAACCTTTTCTCATTGACAACAATAGAAGAAGGTCTGGGTTAGTGTGCTCCATGAGCCATCCAAAACACAGGATTTTATGTGAAGCTGTGTCTTTCAATAAAAGAAAGAAGCCCTGCATATACAACATGAATGAACCTTGAGAACATTAGGCTAAGTGGAAAAAGTCACTCACGGAAGGACAAATACTGCATTGTTTCCTCTTATATGAAGTATTTAAAACAGTCATACTCATGGAGCCACCATTGGGTAGCTGCTGGTGGCTGGGCAGAAGGGAAATGAGTAATTGCTGCTAAATATATATAACTTTTCAGTTATGCAGGATAAGTCCTAAGTATCTGATAGTCAATATCATCCCTATAGACAACAATGCTCTTTTGTATACTTAAAATCTGTTAAGCAGATAGATCTTGTGTTACATGTTCTCACCACAATAAAAAATTAAATAAATCTGCTGTTTGTTTCATGGAAATATATCTTCAAAAACATCTAAGAGAAAAGTCCAATGTGCAAAACAATTAAAAGTATAACTATTTTGGATGGATCACAGTGTGTTTTGGCATGAATGTAGGTGTAAAGTTTAGTGGTGTGTTAAGTAAAAAAAAGTACTTGTTCATGCACACTAGACAGCAATCTCATGGCACTTGTAAGTAAAAAATGTTTTATAGGGAAGAAATAGGAATAAATGCAAAGTGGTTGATATCAATGACTTTCAAGCCATTCTGGAAAGTTATGATTTTTCTTAGAAAACACCTCAATGCTAACTGTGAGCAGTAGAGAGAAGGCACTGAGCAGGTAGGGTTCTACCATCAGTACAACTTCAATTCATTCTGCTTTTAATCTAAATCTATGAAAAAATATCATGCAGAACAAACTCCAAGTTCAGTTTTAATTGAAAATGAAATTTTATTACACATGCTATTTTATTAGAGTATTATGTGTGAATAGAGGAAAAAACCTTCTGTTTGGTGCTTCTGTGTGTGTGTGTGTGTGTGTGTGTGTGTCTGTCTGTCTGTCTGTCAGTCTGTATGTGTGTAAGTGAAGGAAAGGAATGGAGAGAAAGTACAAGCATCTTTAAAGAAATCATAGCTATTTCAGTCATACACAGGACCTAAATTTTCCTGTGATCTAATGTCTTTTTCCATCATGTAATGGAGTCGAGCACTCTCACTTTAACTGTTCCTTCGCCTTGAGGGCTCTATTGCTTGTGATACTGGGTTGAAGTGCAGGCATCTGGTAAATCTAATTTCACATCCTGTTAAAATTGCACCAAATGAGGCTTGGGAGACCCTGAATATCACTAACACTCAAAGTTTAGGTGCAGAAAAAGAACACTTATCTTGAAGCCACTTTAAATTAATTGTGGATATAGATTTTGAATACGGTAATTCAGTGGCATCCTGGAAAATGAAGGAATAAAATGATCTCTTTGGAATCCAGAGGGGCTTCCTTTACCCATCCTTCCAATTCAGCAGCCACAAGACCACCCTTACCTGAGGGTTTCTCCAACACAAGAAGCAGCAAGAGGATATCTACAGCCAATACAATTAGGATGAAGATGATCAGAAGGATTTCCAATACACTGAGTTTCTTTGCCATCTAAACAGACAAGGATAATTGGATGAAAGCAAACCGCAAAGAATAGCTAGGCATTGTGATTAAAATGTGACGTTTTGCAGGACTACCTTGATCATCAGCCTTTCTCTTTATATGCTCAAGAGAATAGTTGCTTCTACCATCACAGTGTCTCCAACTGTGTTTGCACATTCAACAGCTTTAGGATTCTTACCTTGTTCTCTGCAAAGACATTGAGTATTGTCCCAAAGTATATCAGTTATAAAGAATTAGGGGAAAAGAGAGAATAGAGCATATTGAAGAAAGAGTGAAGAGGGGTTGAGATGCCTCACAAAACCCTTGAAGTAGTTTTTTTTATGGGACTAGGGTTAGAACCCAGGGCTTCACGCTTGCAAAGCAGGAGTTCTACCACTTTATCCACACCTCTAGTTCTCACAAAGCTCTTTCTTCACACTCACTCTGTGAAGGTGAAGAAGAGTACACTCTGAAGAGTGGGAGAAAGCAAATCCTGATCTCAGCCTAATGCTTACATGTTAATAGCACATGAACTCATCCATATTTGGTGGGTCACATCTTAAAGATCATGCACTTAACCATGTTAAAATATTTGTGTATTGGAGAGTATACTGAACAGGGAATCAAAGTGAGGCAGCTCAAATTAGGGAAAGTTCAGGACTCACAGAAACTTAATATTGCAATTCAAATTGACCATGCTCTAGAGAAGAGAAGACACTCACTCTGCCTCTAGATTCCACCTGGCCCCACCACACTCCCTTTGTATTTCCCCTCCCTAACTTTTAATAAACTCCATTTATACCCACGTGTTCTACCATGGATTCATTCACACAGGTCAAAGAATTTGGAAATCTTCTGATCATGGACTCCACTGTGCTACCAACAAAAGGACTGAATTCTTGTCCTCGTTTTCTTACTAACAGAAAGGCTGTCTACCTGCTTGAAGCTATGTTTCTTCATCTACAAAAATAAGATCAGATTGTGGATGTGTTCTCACAATTTTGCTCTTATTATAGTAAGTCTAGCATTATATGTACCTCACAGTTCCAGGAAAGCCTTCAACTCCAATGACTTTTGTCATCTCCATATCTCAGTAGGGATTTATTCTCCTCCTAATTTGCTCCACTTTTGAAATCCTAAACTTTTCGTTTACGGGTCACAAGCTTACATCCTTTTATTCTCCCACCGCCTGACTTCAGTCTTCCTATTGGTAGATCACCTCAAGGTTTCTGTTCTTTTTCCATTTCCCTTGTCCCCTTAGTCCCTCCTGACCTAGGCCTCAATATTATTAACTTGCCATTGCTTTCATCTTCCTTGCTCCCTTATCTACTAAGTGACTCTATATGATGAAACCATGGGGCCAAACACCTGCCTCTGTGTTAACGTACTATCTCAAGGCAGATATTACTGGAGTCCATTGTCTCAAAACAACAACAATTGGGACTGGAAATTGACCAATGGTATTTCCAGCTCCTCTTATTTCCTGCAACAGAAATTTTTTTATATTTAGTTTCTGCATTCATATTTTTATTATAAATTTTTTATTAGGATTTATTCATTATACTGGGTTGGATTTATAGTGACAATTCTGATTAGGCTTATATTGTACATTGGTTCCATTGCCTCCATCATCTCTTCCCCTCAACCCCCTCCCCACCCCATTTAAAGCAATTGCAAGAGGTTTATTTGTTCCATGTCATGTAGAATATGAAGTCCATCAATCATATATTGTCACTTTAATCTCCTTCATTCACCACCCCCACTGGTACCCCTATACTCACACTGTACCTGTTTTACAGTCCTGTCTTTCATTATTAATATTTAAGTTGATGTTCAAAGGGGTTTCTTAATATATACCCTCTGTGGGTGTACTATACTTTGGTCAGTTCAACCCCTTCCATTACTCTCCCTTACTCCTTTGCCTCCCACCCCCTCTTTTTCAACAGCTTAAAATACACATCCTTATATCCTCTACCTTCATAGATGTTACATTTTATGCTATTATTGAGGCTCTAACATTCTCTTTTCCTTTCCCTCTTTCCCTGAGTCCCATAGAGTAGTTCCACTACTACAAATATGTTCTACAACTGAGTTTGTATATAATTATGTTTGTTTTTGTGTATATGTATATTTTTTGGCTCTGTCTTCCATGTATGAAAGAAAACATGCAGCTTTTGTCTTTCTGATTCTGGCTAAGTTCACTTAACATGATGTCCTCCAATTGCATCCATGTACCTTCAAACCACATGCCATTATTCCTTATGGCTGAGTAGAACTCCATTGTGCACATATACCACAATTTCTTGATCCATTCATTAGCTGTAGGGCATCTGGGTTGTTTCCATAGCTTGGCTGTTGTGATTAGCACTACCATTGGCTATTCGTGTCATTAGCACCATTGTGATTAGTGCTGCAGTGAATGTCGGAGTACGGGTGTCTCTCGTGTACCTTGACTTACGTTCCTTTGCACAGATGCCTAGGAGTGGTATCACTAGTATCGGCGGTATCACTGATCATATGGCAGAAGTTTTTTAAAAAGATCATTCTTTCCAATCTCTGTTACCTACATCTTTTAAAAATTTTTTATTTAGTTATGTTTTTGCCATTCTGCATTGAACCCAGGGTCTGTGCATGACAGTGCTCACCACTGAGCTGCACCCCAGACCTACATCTGATTCTTATGCAATATCATCCCCAATACCAAAGAAACAGTAACTAAACGTTAAATTATCATCCCGTTTCTCAATCCAACTTTTTCTACTAACTAGATAAATTCCTATCTTTCCCCATCTGTTAACAGAAGAGGGGTTTTTTTCTCTTCTTTTCCAAGCAGAATCCTTGCATCTTTTGTGTAACTCTTGCCACAATTGAATTCTCTAGAACGTACCATTTTAACTTTCTTTTTTCTTTCTTAGCTAGCCTTCCCAAAAGGTAATTGAACATTGTCCTTCTTACTTCCTCGCACATTACGAGCATGATTTATGTTTCTTGCATGCCACTAAAACTGCTGTTGCCAAGGTGAGAAGCAACTTCCATGCTAACACAATGGGCCCTGTCTCAATCATCAAGCACTATCAGCTACTCCTCCTTGAAACTCTCCACCTAACGGTAGCCTATATATCATGCAATGTTGATTTCCACCTACAGTTCTTACTCCTTTTCTTTTTTCCCCTTTATTGTTGTTTGGGGTGGTACATTGTGGCATTTACAAAGGTTCTTACAGTGTATCAAATATATCACATTTGAGTTCATCCCCTCCATCATTCTCCTTTATCCCCCACCCCTCTCCTTTTCAATTTTTTAGTCTCTCATTTCATTAAATATAGATATCCTATATATTTTTGTAAAAATTCTATTTTTAAACTACCCTTGAGAAATCTCTACCACTCATCTGACTTCATATAACATCAGACAATATTCCAACCTCTATTTCTAGTCCAAATATTGATAGATGTCTCACTTGAGCTTCCCAAAGACAACTAAAATGAACATGTTTAGAGATTAAATCTTCCCTCCCTGCACCCCAATCCCAACTTCTTCCCACTCAGCCAAATCAGTTACTTGATTTTAATCAAATAATTAATAGTGTAAAGAACAGCTCAAAATGTCTTTTAAAACATCCTGGGACTCTTTTTGGACTACCCTCTTTCTGTTACTTCTAACAGCCAGTTCCCAGTTCAGTTGGATAATTTTAGCCATACCTTTGGGTCATTTCTGCAATGACCCCACACAAACATGGTCATTCAAGTCTCTTATATTCTTGTTTTTAATGGTTCTCTCAATTAACTCTAAATGTTTTACCTTGTGATCAAAGTCTTAACCAACCTCTGTGTCTAGTTGCTCAGCTTCTTTTCTCTTCTGGCTCCCACCATACAAAACCACAATTTACACAATGTGTAAAAAGAATTTACTGTCTCTTGTTTTAATTTTGATTTTTTTCTCAATTTATATTTTCCTACACTCCTGCCCTTCTTCAGGACAATGCAATGACTATTTCTACAAGCATTTTCATGTTAAGTGTATAATTCAATTTCTGATTAAAGCAGCTTTTAGGAAACTTCGTAATCACCCAAGAAAAAAGCCCTTTAATACTGAAATGAGAGTGAAGAGCAAGGATCAACAGATAATTTACTAAAAGGGGTTTAGGGGAAACCCTTCACCCTTGGAGAAACTAGAGTTGGGAATGGAAGTTAAGGTTTATTAATTATTCTTTTCTATTAATCTAAATCTATCATAGCTCTCTTCTACTCCAAATTATTCAAAAGATTTCCAATTTCCCATAAAATATATATGCTATATTCTCATCTAATACCTACATCAGAGTTGAGCAGGCAGGCATTATGATTCTTTTTTATAGACAAATGTTAAGAAATTCTGCCTAAGCATGGTTAATGGTAGAACTGAGGAAAATACTGAGAGCCAGTGCTTCTTAAACCAGTTGTCAAGTGCTCTCTCCACAACATCTCTCAGAGTGCAGAGCTTAAATCTATAACGGTGGGATTTCAGATACTGAAAAAAGTCTGAGAGACTCACCCAAAACATTTATAATTCCTGACTTAGTTTCTTATACACAGACCACAACTCAGTGTCAAGGCAAACATGGCAGCCATCAATTACCCTCCTTCTCCATGTATTATTTCTCACCACAGGGAGATTTTTCTTCCCAACCTCTGAAAACCAAAAGTAGGCACTTCTGCATAGCTCCATAATCTTCCCAAGGGAACAGTCTCCACATGGTAACTCAGGAAGTCTAAAAAGACTCTGGGGATACCAAAACACTTTTCCTGCCATAGAAGCTATTTTCATCCAGGCAAAAAGAGTGGAGACTTGTGAAAGTAGAAACTCCAAAGCTGGGACATGTTCACCTTCCTCTGAATCCATGCCATTTTCAACTAGTTTTCAGAAGAATCCCATATCTGTTTGTTCTTTTCATGTTTTTTTTTTTTTGGTGACAGACGGACACTTCACACTAGAATCTACACACACACACACACACACACCCCTTCCCC